ATTGAATAATCAACAATTTCACGTTGTTTTTGTGCTTGACATTCATATTTCAAGAAGTACTACCAAAAACAAATTAGTGATTTAGTAAAAAAATAGATAAATCCTGCATAAGCATTTCGGAACATGCTGAAACACTGCAAAGGTATTCATCGAGTAGTAGAAATAAACTGTTTTTATCTCAAATTCGTAAAGAGAACGGGATTCTCGAATATTTGGCGAAATTGGAGCTTACTTTTAAAATGCATAAGATAGTCAATGATATTTTTATCCCTAAAAGTCTACTTGGTATCTTTACCCATTTCAGACCAAAAAGGTTTATTTCATTATTATGATGATCACTTCCAATATACATACTCTCTGTTTTTTCTCTATTAATACATAAACCTGATATTAGTCTGAAATCTTCAAAGATGTCCAATGCTTTTTGTAATGACGTTACGTCCTTAAGAGTCAACGTGGTATCATCTGCAAAAATCGCTAGTTTTTGACTTGCCTCGCCAATGTCAACTCCCTGTATACCATTGTCTTGTCTAATTTTTAAGGCTAGCATCTCTATAACAAGTAAAAAATTCAAGCAACTGATCGGGTCCCCCTGCCTGCATGAGCGTTTAACGCTAAACCAGCCAGTTGACACGTTGTTGTTAAGGACGCAACTTTTAATATCATTATTAAACATCTTAACCCATCGGATCAGGTCATCTCCGAAATTAAACACCCTTAGTACATGCTCAATATAATCAAACTCGACACTGTCGTAGGCTTTGAGAAAATCCACCATACAAACAATTCCATGTATACCCCTCTTCTTGGTGTATTCCAAAAGATCCTCAACATAGCGAATATTTTCTCCGATAAACCTCCCTTCAATAAAAGCAGTTTGATCCGATCCAATAATTTTACCTAGAACAGCATTTATTCTCTGTGCTAAATATCATATGACACAAATGCAAATAACACGGATAATTTTGAGAGAAAGTTAAATATGCTTGAAAAGGTTCTTATATTGTGGTCAAAGCGAGATCTTACTTTTTATGGAAAGGTACTCATAATTAAGTCCCAGGCAGTGTCGAAGCTAATATACTCGATGACAATGACCAATACGCCTGATGATATCTTGACGAAGGCTCAACGACTAGTCTATTCTTTTTTATGGGGAGGAAAGGGTGAGAAAATTAAGCGAAATACTTTAATAGGTATTTTGAGGATGGGGGTCTAAGAATGATTAATATGTTCACAATGGAGAAAGCCTTGAAATTAATGTGGCTAAGACGTTTACTTGACACACGAACTAGTCACTGGAAGCTTATTCCTCAAGTTTATTTCAAGCGTCTTGGAGGACTGAGTTTTTTGTTGCAGTGTAATTATGATGTTAAAACACTTGTACACAGTGTTCCTACCTTTTATATGAATTTGCTTCGAAACTATTCAGAATTAAGAAATGTGTCGCCGCCTAGAACCAGTTCAGGGGTTAAAGGTGAAATAATTTGGAATAACAAATCAATTCTTATTAATAATAAGGAGGTGATGTACAAACATGTCATGGAAAAGGGAGTCATTTATATTAATGACCTTCTTAACGAGAATGGGGGGTTTTTACAGTACAATGAGTTTAAGACTAAGTATAATATTAATATCAACTTTCTTGAGTATTTTTCAATCATATCGGCTATACCAAATGATTGGAAATTTCTATTGAAATCAGATTTAAATTCGACCTTTGAACCCAGCATACAGGAAGAACTCGTGTATTTGAAACTTGGTGAAAAACAGGTGACAATCTCTAGTATAACGGTTAAATCAATTCAAACAATATTAAATGGAAACAAGTTCTTGGAACCGTTATATAAAGACAAACATGATCGTGAATTAAAGAGAACCGATTATTTTAAAATGCCTTATATGTGCACGAAACAGAATAAAACGCGACAACTTCAGTTTAAAATACTTCATGGTATCTGTACTACAAATGCCTTTTTAGCGCAGATAGGCATTAAAAATGACTCTAAATGTAACTATTGTGCCTTTCGAGATACGTTAAAACACAAATTCTGGGAGTGCAAAAGGATTCAAATATTTCTGAAAGCAATCAAAGGGAATGTAAAGCGTTTATTTAAAGTTGATTTTGATTTTAACGCCCATGACATGGTTTTTGGAAGGCAAGCTAATAAGAAAAATATCTTACCAAATAGACTTACCCTTGCAATTTAAGTACTATATTTATATTAAAGAGTTCGACGAAGTGAATCCCAATTTGTATGGGGCGCAATTTGAAAAAAATATGTTTTATTATGTACCTGAACTTAAAAGTATGACTGTTGCAAATGTCTGAATGAATGGAGGTGGTGTGAAAAATATCTGAACTGTTCTAATTATTGTACTTGTACTGTTTGAATAGAGAAATAATAAAAAAAAAATAAAAATAAAAAATAAGATAGTCAATAGTGGCCTGATTTTTATGAAATCTGTTCAATGATCATTTCCCAAAAAGAGCAATAATGATTACTTTGCATTTTCTACAGTATTAGAAACAAGCTAAGGTACATAACTTTCAATATTTTAAAACAAATTCAATATTTCATTTAATTTTTCAAAAAGTGTCATTTACCTGCAGCCAAGGTTAGAAAATAACAGAGGCACAAATAGAGAGTTGGGGCAATTTTTTTACTTGGTTCGGTTTTTCATTAAAGGAAGTATTTCATTCCCATGATTCAAAGTGCTTTTCTGCCATCGGTTCGGTTTAAGTTTGTACAACACACGTCTACAAATCCGGGGCAGGTTGATATATGTCATTACATTTGTTTCGGGTGTATACTTTTTGTTTTGACACTAATCAAAAAATTTCCCACAATATATGGTGAATTATGGGTAGGGACTGCTCTGAAATAATGAACGTAAGTGACATCTATCTCAAATTAAATGTTCTTATTAAGTTATTTATCGCGCATGCGTGATAATAAATTGAACCAATTAAATTGCTGGATTTGATGCGCATGCGCCAAAAACCGAACCAAAAAATGGAATCTCGCGCAGCTTGCCTCTAGTGCAAATAGAGTACTCTTGAAAAATCGAGCATATTATATGGTATTAAAAAAACATTTGTTTATGTTAGTGTGCTCGAGATACAATTTATGCACAATGAGAAAATATAACTATAGAAAATTAATAAGCCTTTTTTATTCTCACTTTTCAACACTACGCACTGGCGTTTTGGCGTACATTGTTCCTACGCCACTGCTTATCTACAGTTGGGGACAAAAATAAATGACAGGTCGATTTTCGATCACCATTTCCTAATTATGGTGGTCTGAAAGCCCATAATTTCAAATATTGTCTACAATCAAATTTTTTATTCTGTCAATCAGTTCATATGGTTAGAATAAGGAAAGAATGTGATGTAACCACGTGTCTACTTACTAGCTTGTTCTATGTCATCTATCGGACTAGGTTACATCGTGGAACGCAGCCAAACACGACAATGAAGCCAGTATTCTGAGGTTATAAAATCTAAATCTAAATAATTTCCCATTTGCAGTCCCTTGGAGATTTCCGGAATTGAACAAAGTAGCGAACGTTGCGATCTTTCAACTTTAGTTCGTTGTTTTTTCACCACCTTATGTGTACTGTTTTCATTTAGGAGGCGGTCTTATTTGAATGCATCATTACAGGTCTTTATGAATCAATAGATCAATAAACAGCTCTAAAAATACATTTTAGCAGTTTCTTTCATTGCGTACTGCGCATGTAAGGCACGAAAACAATTTAGCAGTTTCGTTCGTTGCGTAATTGGGCCTTCTATAATCAGTAGCAAATGCTCGGAAAACATTTTCCAAAATATTTACTTCCGTTTTCCTTGAAGACATGATTGGGTGACACGTCATTGACACGTGATTAAGTCACATGATCGATACAGTAACTAGTCACGTGATCAGACATGTGTCACGTGTCAGTCACGTGAGCTTGCAAAATGGACGATCTTAATTTCCAAAAATTCGGCTAAGATCAAGATAGATATGCTGTTGCCTTCAGCGTCCTGTTCGGCTGCGTTCCACGATGTAACCTAGTCCGATGGATGACATAGAACAAGCCGGTAAGTAGACACGTGGTTACATCACATTCTTTCCTTATTCTAACCATATGAACTGATTGACAGAATAAAAAATTTGATTGTAGATATATATCCCTTAAAATTTGTATATTTTACATTTTGTATAATCTCATCCACTGATGTATGGCCTCTTGTAAATTCTCTTATTTTTAACATGGGAAATCCTCACTTCAGCAAATCCACCTGTCATTTATTTATGTCCCCAACTGTAGACTAGTCGAGAAAAATTCAATTTTTTATCAAAATTGAAAATTGGTCAAATTTATGAACACCAAAATAAACCTTTTATATTTATTGGATTCTCTTGCTAATCTGAAATACCATAATTTGTATGTTCATGAACATTTTTTCACGCCAATAAAGGAATTCAACTTATTTTTGTATGTAAATTGGAAAAAATAAATTATGTTTACCTGGACCAGCAGCCATTGCCCTTTTTCAACTTTGCACGAATAAATCAGGTTTGTTGTAATCAATAAATTGTATGACTTTTTTCTCTTCAAATTCAATTTTTATTATTCTGTGAAATATACTAGCTCCAAAACTAGAAATATGGTTATTCAATACATTTTTATTGCTTTTTAGGCCAACAAAATCTAATCCATGTTAAATCATTAATAACAGATAAAATTTTCTATTTTTATTATTAGCTATATAGAACCTTATTTTTGGTACACACTAGAATGCAAACGTTTTCAAAACTCGGAAATATTATAAACTAAGATCTTGACAACTTTCTAAGGTCAAAAATATACCTCATGGAATATATCAGTATGTTAATGATTGTAAAAACAATATCCACAACTTTGATATAAAATGCAATAATATTGATTCTAGTTTTTCGCCTAGTATTTTCCACAAAAAAAGAAATCCAAGGTTTTATTTTAGATCGATTCTTCAGCTGATCCCACTTTTATTTTTTTTCCCATGAATTCTCCCCAAATATGTAAAAGTTACAGCAGGTAGGATACAAAAACTAGAACCATCTTATGAAGTAAATAATAGCCTAAATTATCTGTGATTGGATTGCCAGTCAAGTGTCGAATAGTATACAATATGCAAATAAACAATCTGATGAAATATTTCAATTTTTTCAAAATTGAAAATCTTTTTCAATTTTTTGATCACTCAGTTCTGTGTCAAATGAAAAATATGATTTATGAACATTGTGTATTACAAACGCTAATTTGTTTTGATATTTTGACTCACTTTCTCCGTTATTGTACTGTAAGTTTACCACAAAGTTATACAAATGACCTCGCCTGACCTCTGGTAATATAGAAACTAACTTTGCTTTCTCGCTGAGTTTAAACTTCGCTTTGGTTAAAAGGAGGGTAAGATTGGATACATAGCCAAATCTCAGTTTCATTATAATCAGTATGGTGCCTTTTTCAGAAATCCTTGTCAACATGTTAGATGCACAACTCAAAAGATAACAACTGTTCTGAAATACATAGACTACAACACAATATTGAACACCACAAAATATTTTTGGTAGAAGCATAAGGCTGGGAAATCAATTCAAGATGGCGGAGTCGGGAGTCCCTGTAATAGAGTTTCACATGATGGACAAAAGTAGATATTTTCCATTAGCTGCATTGAGCGGAATAACTATACGAACGTTACTCTATCCTTTCACGTTAGTTAAAACCAGGATACAGTTACAAAAAGGGAAGACAGTATATAAAGGAACATTTGATGCATTTAGGAAAATATACCTTCATGAAGGTATGAAAGGCTTATATAGGGGCTATTGGGTCACTCAGTTACAGATTGTTCCACAAATGGCATATATTTCAACATATGAGAATGTGCGAACTTATCTTGCTGATAACACACCTCTAACAAATAATAAAATTAGGTCATTCATAGCCGGTGGATCAGCATCATGTGTTGGTCAGACCTTCATAGTGCCAATCGACATTGTATCGCAGTATTTAATGATGCTTGGAAAAGGCAAGGGAGTTCATAAATCCAAGGTATCACACCTTATTCCATTAAATATACCTCATGGGGCTACAGAGTCTCGTTTTGGGGCATTCTTTGCCATTACGAGAGCAATATATATGCGTGATGGACTATTAGGATTCTACAAAGGTTACTTAGCATCTCTTGCAGTATACGCACCTAATAGTGCTGCATGGTGGTTCTTCTATGACATCTATTGTGGTAGGTATTAACTGAATAATTATTATTTAATTATTCTAGAAAAATATTCTTAATGATATCTCAATATGCAATAGATGTAACTTGTATTTCCCATGTTTAGATGTTAAGTTTTACCTGCTCATTGAAGAACCTCCCATCAATTGCTCGATCACACTTTTCAAAATAAATATAGACATATTTTTATATCCACCTCAGGTCTTCTGGCAGATGTGGCTCCTGATAATGTTCCAAGGCTAGCATTACAGTGCATTGCTGCACCTATGGGAGGCGTATCATGTGCCTTTTTGACAAACCCACTGGATATTGTAAGAGCTAGAATCCAAGTAAGTAGATCCATACATATATTTTCATTTAAATTGTTGATATCTATGCAATCCATGAAATGATTAAAAGAAAAAGCAAGTGGCCATTTTGTTGGAAATATGTGATAGCATGATTATTTATTGTATGCATTTAGTTTTAGACCAGTAAACTATACACTATGGGATTTCTCAACCATTCATGAATTGTTTTCATCAACCTTTTCAGGTACAACGAGGCTCGTTTCTTGAGACCACAAGAACTTTGATACAAGAGGAACAAATAGGAGTGTTTACTAAAGGCCTCTCAGCCAGGATTATCCAATCAGTGACATTCTCATTCTGTATAATTCTTGGATATGAGAGTATCAAACGTCTTAGTCTATTGGATGAATACAAGGACACTGTGCGATGGTGATCTATATTGTATTAGGAGATCGTAAGATGTTGATCTATATTTTACAAGGAAAGTGTATGATTTTGATCTATATTTTGCAAGGACAGTGTATATGATGGTGATCTATATTGTACAAGTACAGTGTGTGATGGTGATCTATATTGTAGAAGGACACTATAATGGTGATCTTTATTGTAATATGGTGATCTGTATATTGTACAAGGACATGGTATTATGGCACACATCACAATATGCTATGGTGAAATGTTGTAGATGGAGAATGTATAATGGTGATCATTGTTGAACAGTGACAGTGTAAAATGGTGATATTTTGTAAAATTAAAGGACGGTGTATAATGCTTACCTAATTATCAAGGGAATCCTTCTCTTTTAAAGTTCCCCTCTGAGGGTTTAAAATCAATTTAAAATAAGTACTAGGTATAGTATTTTTAAAAACTGATTTTTATTCATGGAAAGTCAAAATTCAACTCTTATTTTGCCTAATTGTTTTGCTTTATTTTCTTTTATCCTAATACTTTTTTGTTACTTCTTAATCAGCATTTAATTATTTTCTTTTATCCTAATACTTTTTTGTTACTTCTTAATCACCATTTAACCACAAAGTCAGTTTAACGGTTTAACAACACAACAGCAATGTCCAGGGTACTACAGTTTTGATATCTCAATGTATTTTGAACCACATCTTTAAATGTTTTAGTGTTAGGAAAATCATTATTTAGCAATTCACAACATGAAAAGCAGGAGTGATTTACAACATTACCAGTTTTCCAAATTTAAAGGAAATTGTATCACCATACTGTACAGCACACTTGGAAAGATAAACTGTAAAAGTATATCGCAAAATGGAGATCTAATGTAAGCCATTCAAGGGACCAGCTCAAATGTTAAAATACCATTAATACGTAAATATATCAATTTTCTGAGTAACAAAATCATCTTAGTTTGGATAAAGGGTAAACGCCATTTTCCATTTGTTTGAGAAGGTAAACCTTTATTTCATTAAGAATGAAAACTGATATAATGAGACTTAGAATTGAGTATAGGTGTTGAAGACTCAATTTTGGTGTTTGTGTTTGAAACACAGTTTTGTTTTGGACCTTTGACTTGCACTTAAACATTTTGAAATGCAGTTTTAGTACTAGTATTACAGTATTAGATGTATATTTATAGTCAGAAAAATAATATTTAGATTTAATTGTGATAAAATAAGTACAATGGACAACATTATAACATTTATAATAATTTTAGTCATTTAAAGTAATAATTATTAGACACATTGTATATAATATTTATGGCTCAATTTTAAGAGATAAATAGACTTGTAATTGTGAATGTGAACTGTTCATCACTTTTAGATAGAACAAATAATTCAATTTTTATTTATGTAAAGATGTATTGTTAATAAAACAACCTAAATAAATATAGTATTCATAAAGAGTATAATGCTCCAATTTTATTTTATTATCTCACCGAACAAAGTTCGTAGGGATATTGTGAAGTCATTTGTCAGTTCATTTGTCCTTTAGTCAGTATGTCTGGGCGATAACTCAAAACTCAAAACCAGTTGTCAGATTTGATTCATATTTTGTAGGCTTATGCCTTGTGGGTGTATAACCTCTGCTCAAGAATGAATCTTCAATATTGCTGCTCAATTTAAAATGGCTGCGATTTTGATTAAAATTTCACATGCTGATGCTTTTAGCTAAGTTCACACCAACAGCGCTTTGATGGCGCTTGAAAGTGGCGTGCAAAGCCGCTTTGCACGGCGCTTTGTCCGCTTAATGTCTGCTTAATTCAAAATGGCTGCCATTTTTTTGATAACCATGTAATCATTGATATCTCAAATATCAGTTTTGTTTGGTGGGATTTGCTTTTTTGTGGAGATGCTATTGTGTAGTTATGTTATGAGTCGCATGTTCCCCAAAGCCAATTTGAATAAGGATTTAGAAAATATGTTTGTCCTTTCCTCCATCCATTTGTGACTGGGGCATAACTCAATTATTGATCATCATTTGGCCGTGGCTTGTGGATTTTTAGAATTGTCACTCAATTCAAGATGTCCAACATTCAAAAAATCTTTTTTGAGAAATTAACTTGATACCCTATGACCAATCCAATTCAATTTATTCATGCATTCCGTCATAGTAGCATAGATGCTATTGTTAATATTGATGAATTGTTTGATTAAGGTGCTCATAGTAAAGATGCAATAAGAGAGTTACATGTTCTAAAATAACAGTTTAACATGTAATTAAAAGCAAGCAATAAACCCTCTACTTATAAATCCTGACATATTTGCTGAAAAAAACTGACACATTTTTTGGCCAGATTCATGATGTAAAAGGTTGCATGTAAACATGTTTACACAAAATCAAAATTTTTCTTGCTGTTTGGAAACCAGAAGAAGTGAGTAGCTCCCATAATTATTTGGTATTGGCTTGGTATTCATGAACATAATGTATCAAAATCACGTCCATCAGTATGTAATGTCAAATCAAATTGCAGGATATGATCACGTGAACTATCATGAGCACATTTTCTTTCAGAGTCATACATGCGCAAAGTAAAAGTCATGGAAATGGCGTTTATTTCAGTTCAACTTCATCATTTCTACGGTATATTACTACGGTAATACTATTTAAGTTACTCCATCCAAACTCGTAGAGAATAATCATAAAACAACAGCGAACATTGAGAGATCCATTTCAATGGCAAATGAGGCAAGTTTATACCGAATGTGCCAGTACAAAAGCACATCTTTGGGAAATACCCCCCTCCCCCTGTTTGGAAACATTACTACCTGCAACCTTGATCTCACATATCTAATATAATGAAAGGTGGGATTGGGTCAAATCAGCTGATCCATGTCTAAGAATGAATAGGTGAGAGTGGCTTTAAGTAACACCACAAATGAAGGGCATTAGTGTATTAAGGGCTCTATGCAATGTTTAAACGAGTGCTTTAAACTCTACATGGTGTCTTTACATAACATGAAGCTAGGGACTCTTACAGATTGTATATCATACCAGTCTTAGTTGTTTCATTCTGGTCCATTATCTCAAAATATATAAGGGCTAATTATGAGTTACAGTCTATTAATAACCTAATTTGAGTCATTACTTAAAAATTACAATTTGAGGATCAGGAGACTTCAGAAATTACTAACAATATCCAAAGTGTCAGTTATTCTCGCTTCACTCTCTGCACCCTGAACCCCTATGGCTTGATCGGCACTCGGGTCTCATGTTTGCATGACCAATTCCTTTAAATATATAACCATTGTCTTTGCTTTCCATACATATTTCAAGTGACAATATATCAAAAGACATATGGGGATGTAATCATATTTACATTGTATTTTCCAGAGGTTATTATGCTAAACCATGTAAACTGGTGTCAATAGCTACCATCAGATATCTTTTTAAATGTACTCTACAGTAGTTTACTAAAAGGAAATAACACAACATTCTCATGTGTTAATAGATTTGATTTTATTACACATCAATAGCATATAAAGCATGCAACAATCCATGGGATGCAAATTAACGTTTTTTAAAACAATTACAATTAAATGAATCTGTTGGGGATTTCAATTTCATGCAGATTATTTACTACGATTTCATTTGTTGGAAAAAACAAAATTAAAAACTATTGTCTGGATATTGTTCATGAACCAAAATTCACAGCAACTTTTTCTGTCTCACTAAAATGAATATGTTGAGATTATTATCGTTAGCACCTTATAAATCATGTGCAAATAAATTGATATATAGTATAGGCCTAATATAGACATGAATGAATATAGTATTACACTATGATATATTCATTATGAACAAAAATGGTATCCAAAAAATTTTTTTTACAATATGTACAGGCTTTGAGTGTATATTATGAAATATATGAAATACAATAATACTACAACTACACTACATTTTTCCCATTTAACCAAATATTGCATGTTTACATTTATAACTTTATAAAATGGAAATCAACGCAAGTCAACTACAAAAACAACAAATCTTGGCACAACTTAGGTAATGTGTAATAATATGATACTCTGCACATTTAATGATCCTTTTAATACATTAATTTACACAGAAACACTTTGTAAAAATGGCCTTTTATTAATCATTGGTTCAGTATATGTGTGAGTATGAGATTTTTATTTAAAATATGTGGTCACTTCAGTTCTAGACTGTGCACATTTAAGTTAAAAACATCCTTATGTTAATTTAGTACAATACTCACTCATCACATATAGTACATAAATTTAAATTATCATTTAAATATTGGCTTTGAGTGAAAATGTTAAAACTTCGCAGTCAGTGCTTCCTTCAATTTACGAAGAGACATTTATGCATAATCTTTAATTCATATAGATGTAGGAGTTTCTCAAAATATAAAATTCTGTATCGACTAAAAGATAAGTCTCAGTGAGCTGAGCTCCAAAACATCTCATATGATATATGTTTGTACATGTACTTCTTCAGATTTCTTTTTTTCACTTTTTACCTAGATTCAGAAATGGGTTATTCTTTTTTACATGTACTTTATACATATACATTAAAGTGATAGATAAGCAAGCAAATTAGTTCTATTTATATCAGGACAAACAGAATAATGTTTTGAATTTTTAAAGACTAAAAATGATGAATATTACTCATCATAGTATAGTATAAAACTCTTCACCACCAATTCTAACTGAAAGCTCACAAAGAAGATGTGTACAATTAACAGAGTACAACTACTATCTGTAGATCTCATATGGCATATATGTCTGGTTGTGACGACTCCTATCATCAAGTACAACAATGTCTTGCAAAAAATAAATGCAATTTTTGTTTGAGAACCTCCATTAAACTACTGGTGTCTACTGTTCTTGGTTAATGGCCCAGGGGCATTATGTGGCAGAGAATTCAATAAGAATCCATGACTTAGTTTTGCAATGTTCTTCTTCAGCACATATTTCCATATGGTAAAAATATAGTTCAGATGGTGGTTCTGATCAAGAGACATATATGTATATTGCATGAAAACTAGGTCCGTATCAGACACGATACATCTCTTATGCATCTCCACCTCCACTTCCATTCTCTTTTCTGTTCTTTCGTTCTGTAAAATAAAATCACGAAATATGAGCATGGAGTATTACAGTTTGCATACTAAACACTGATTTGCATTTTGTATTATTTTATGACACATTTCTTACTTTTCTAAGAAGGTTGTATCAGGATGGAAATCAACATGTTTGTAAATAACTCCATGAATAAAGACCTGAATAACTCTACTTTTACAATGGGTACAACCATTCCACTACAGCCATTGTTTTTGCCTGATCATTTGAAGTGTGAGTAAAACATCAGAGTAATGGAAATGACATTAAGAAGTAGCCTAGACATAGGGATGACAAATGAGAAACATTGGACAAAATATTACCAAAACATAGTGACAGCAAAGATAATGATCTCACAATGATTTAAGCAAGATGCACCCGCTTGAGGTTTTGGGGTTTTAGAAGTAGACTGGGACCAACCTGAAGACCATTTGCAATGAAAAATTTCATAAAACATTTAATGACTACTTACTGTTGTCAATGTTGCGCTGTATGCTCTCTGTGACTCGTACTCTGGCACTGGGGATTTGGAAATGCATTCCTAAAGCCTCAATGTTCTGGTTCTCCTCCATTAGCTTAGCAATAGCCATTTCAGTCTTCACACCAAGTACAGATGGTTTCTGAAGAGACATATTACCATATTAAAGATAGAACAGAGGTTGGTTTGTGTCATATAGGGCACACCTGAGTTAAATTTTCAACATTCCAGAGTAAGAAGTGTATTCATGATGGGACCAATAACTTCGTCCAAATATTTAGAAAATTCAAGGACTTCATAAATACACTTTGACTGGTTTAACAATACAAAACAATGCATTAGCATGCCAAATGTCACCACCAGCCATTTGTTACAGACACTGAATGCCGGATGCCAAACACTGTCAAAAAACAGTCTGAGACCATAACAATATCTCACTTTTGGTGATGACATAAAAATGTGAAAAACAATTTCCAATTAATAAGATTCAGCAAGAAGTAGTGTAATAAATAAGCCATTATGTTTTTAACCAAAATATTGTAGTTAAACGCTTTATACAGGTATATCCAGAAGGATATCCAGCGGATTAGTTATTGAATTAAATATACAAAACTTGTATGTAATATTTCTGCTGAATAAAAAAAATCTACTTTTTTTGACCCAACTATTGACTTTTATGTTATCAGATTTTGATGTAAACCCTCATTGAAAAGATGATCCAAACTACATATAGTAATATAAAGAAGGTTTTACACAAAAATCCAGACTAAAAGTACTTCGATATGTCTATTACCTGGTTAGCCATCCTGACTTCTATGATGGTTTGATTCTCATTGACAGCTGTTAACAGATTCACTTGTGCTGCTGGACTGATGAAGTTGGACTCTACATTTAGCACCTGTAAGGTCTTGTTGCTTTCTAAAGCCTCTGAGAGAGCCTGGAAATAGTCATATGTATTGGAATATGGTTGCCTAGATGTGTTAATAACAGAAGCTTAACTAGGTCATTCACCAGTGTATACTAAGATTTTATTTGATAATACTTGAGTTTATGTACACACTACATTTACTGCATACTTAGCAAACATGTACTCACAAAGGTACAATATACAATCAAATAGCAAATCTGTCTACAAAAATGTTATGATACTCATCTGTATATAGCTGGCTTTGGTTTCCTTTGGGGACAGTTCACATTCCATGTACATATTAATTATTTGGACAGAAACTGTCACTCTGAAGTGTCAGGAACTTGACTGGACATCACGTCACAGAGATGGTAATTTTTCTGTTGAACCTAATGCAACTTGAAACATACCTTAGCAACTTTATCATTAGCCCTAGTGTTGGCCATGTGGAACTTGACAAGGTTTGTGTTGGACTTGAGGGCCTCTGCAAACTCTAAAAGCCTCTCAATGGAGATGTTCTGTAAAAGACTCAGATTAGGAATTCCCAGCATAACAAACAGTCCTAGTTTTTTCAAACTTTTCTGCCTATCTATTTTTCAAGACATCATACATAAAAAGACATGAAATACTGTTTTAATTTTAGAAATATGTCTGATCCTTTATACAGTTTCTGTTATGTTTCTTCATTGTGGTACATACATTTTCATTTTATTTACCCAGTCCACTTGCACAATGTCCAAATGATAAATAGCAAATACCTTAATGTTGTTTAAGTTGAGTTCTTCTAGTTTAGAGTCATTGGATTTTATTTGTTCAAGACTCTCTTCAACATCAGTATTGTTTGGAGGCTCATTGGGGACTAGTTTAAGATCTGCACTTCGGGCAATACCTACAAGATCACGTTACAAGAATGTAATAATTTGCTCTCAGGCATCTTTTACATAATTGTGTTGTTTTGATGAAAAGTGAAATGTTAGGACTTCCAGTGTATCATATTAATAGAATAACAGACTAGAGAAAATGTTCATATTTCTTTGTTAACTTTTAATTCAACATTATTCTTAAATTATCTCTATTATTTGTGCTTGACTCAGACTTAAAAAGCAAAAATTGCATAAACATTAAAAAACATTCTAACTATGACATGTATGATGTAAAAGTATCAAAACATTTTTAAACATTTATTCAGTATCAACACAACTTACCCAGTTACTTTCCAGCCTCAAATTTTAACAATTTTAACTATCTTAACTACTTCAACATGTCACAAAATATTTAAATCAACAAATACTTTCCAATTTTCCTCTGAATTCCTAATAATATTTCATGAAGAAAAAGTCAATAAAATGAGATATTTCAAAAGATCATGTAGTGATTATTCTCTAAGTTTGCATTGGATCATATTCTAATGAAATTATTTCCATCACAAATCAGAAAAATTTAACAAACTTCTTCATTGTAAGTTCAGAATAAAATGCATATTTAATTCCAAAGTACAGGGTAACCAAAATACATTTCAAATGCAGTTAACCTGTACCTATACCAATTATAGGGTGTTCTACATATATAAATCCTTACCTCTGAAACCATCTGTTATCTTATTGTCATCCATAGACTGGTGGTACTGGACCTGATTTAACATTCCATGGAACCCAAGCACAGCTGTAAACAGTTCAAACACACTTCAAACCATGCACATGCCAGAATATGGTTACTGTTTTGTTAGTATGAAATAATAATATACAGACATACGCTTGAATTCCAAGCTCCCAGTGATGGGGTAAAGTTAGTAATGAAACAGCAAAATTCTGTAAAATTAAACAATTGATTAGTTTAAAATATGTAACAGAGGTGGAAGTACCATGCTCTTTATTTCTGAAATAAAATGTATTCAGTCCTATTTATTGAAAATAATTACTACTCAACATGTCGGTGAAAAGCATGCATGTTGTTAATGCATAAAACTACATGCCAATTGTAGCTGTGGATTAAACACAATGACAAACACTACACATAAGAAAACATTCTGCCTTAACAAAGTGTAATCATGTATTATTTGTTGATACATATATCAACACTCTACCTTAGCTCTACTCTCTCTAAACACCATGCTTTTATTTCATATTTCCAAAACCCCAAGTCTAGAAACACTGCGACGCAATCAAAAATCACTGCATTCAAGATGACATTTGAGATGACAATACCTTTGAAACCACCAGGGATGATGTTTGCATTGCCACTAGAAGCGTGGAACTGAGTCTGGTTCATCATTGAGTAAAAGCCAAGGACAGCTGTAGGAATTGTGGCACAGAGGGTTAAACAAAGTTATATAGGTAGCAGCTGTCAATGTTGGTGTACAGGTTTTCAATAGAATGATGCATATAGCATGTAGATTATAGGTAGATATACAGGTACAAATCTATTGGGGCAGAGGCTTCATAGATACATATAGTATGTAGATTATAGGTAGATATACAGGTACAAGTCTCATTGGGGCAGAGGCTTCATAGATACATATAGCATGTAGATTATAGGTAGATATAGAGGTACAAGTCTATTTGGGTAGAGCCTTCATAGATAGATATAGTATGTAGATTATGGGTAGATATACGTACATGTCTAATTGAGGCAGAGGCTTAAATAAGTACATGTGTAACAGATGTAGATATTAGGAATGTTGGGTTAAGGCAAAAATCAACTAAAATTAGGAAAGATGAAAAGATACACTTTACTCCTGGATGGGATACCACAATATGATAGATTTATAGAGGAAATCAATTTGGACTGCTAAAATGATTTGTGCAAAGTGAACACGGGATAGTATAGTTCTGAAACACAAGAAATCATACTGGAGCACAGCACACAAAACAATGAATCTGGAAATTAGAGATGGTCGATCACAATTTGGGTCAGTTTTGTTGTTTTTTGTTGCATCTTGGTTCAGGTCTGGTCTTGTCTTACAAGTCCATCATGGGCATGATTAAATATGATCGGATGATGACTGATATGTGGTTTTATTTTGCTTGATTGCCTTTGAAATTGGTGCCTGATTCAGATGAAGATGATCCAACAGTTTTGGTTGACTTGTAGATCGAATGATTTACAGTTAACTGAACCAAACCTTGATCTACCTTCCACTACTGGAAATGATTAATGATTGGTGGTTTGGGAATAAGGCCTGGATGCCAAGGCCTTGACAATGGATTTGAGAGCCTAATTAGTGGGGCCTAGTGGAACTGAAGGGCCTGTATGGTGGGGTACCTTTAAAACCACCATCTAATTTATCCAAGGCTCCACCGTTGCTCAATGAACTGTTATACTGGGTCTGCGTCATCATTGAGTAGAAGCCAAGCACCGCTGTAAACATGTCACAATAACATAAGATACATTGTACAGTACATATAATGTCAACTAAGCACATTAACATGGCCAGTACTCTTGTCATGGTCTCGAAAACAGACAATTTTACTCTCTAATGTTGCATGCTTTGTTTTTCCCTGTTTTGCAAACATCTATAAAGAATAAAAATACTAAATTCATAATTTGGTAATTCTGCCTCTTAATATGAAGAACATGACTTGAGTATTGCGTAACCATTCAAAGCACTAACAAAGCACATTTAAGAACAGAACTTGGGTGAGCTGGGGCCTGAGGCGGTACCTTTGAAACCACCCACTACTTTAGCCATCTTGCCACCATTACTCAGAGAGGCATTATATTGTGTTTGATTCATCATGGAATAAAAACCAAGCACCGCTGTAAAAAATGCAAGTAAAACTCAATGTTCTTGCATCTTACAACTATAATACTTATATTCTATGTTTTAAAATCTAGGTTTAATTTTTTGTAAATGTTACATGGATAGAATAAATGCTTAGTATTCTATTTATTTTCTTTTGCCTGAATTTTGTTACTTTTTATAGATAGAACACATTGACCTGAAACAGAACATTAATCAAAAAGTCATACATTGATGACATTATCTATTCAACATACTGTAGTTCTTTATTTGAAGAAACTGAACCAAGTCATAGAAGAACATGTGTTTATAAACAAATGTATATGGTGAGCCAAAATTATTTTTTAAACTAATTGATCATTATTAAACCAAGCTACATCTTACTAACTGGATCAACAAAATGATATTTATACAGGATTTTAAAACATTAATTGGCCAGCGAAGGAACTTTTACAAGAAAAAGACTTTATGCTTTCAAAACCCTGCCTTGCTTACATCAATGGGCCATTTAATATCAGTCTTTTTTTCAAATTCATGTATACAAGTCTGCTATGTATTTTCCACTGTACCTGCAAGATCTACCAGCTCTTCTTCAGTGGCATGTTCCAAAATCTCATCAAATTCTGTCTCAATGTCATCAGGATCTTCACTCTTAGGTTTCTTTTCTGGCTCTTTAGGTGTCCATATTTTACCTGGATAACACATATAAATAATATTACCTTTTACAAGAACTTAGTTCATATCTATCATCAATGTTAAATTCAAACCAAAAAGAGATCCAATACACCACTGTAGTTTGCGAATCAAAAATAGGACTATAACAATTTTGATCTTGTTCTTCTATCATAAAAAGTGAATATGTATGGATGCAATTATTTTATTGTGACAATTGATCTGGTTTATCATAGACAATAATCACTGAAAAAATTTCTAGAATGTTGCCATACCTCTGATTTCATGTACGAAAGGTTTGTTTTGTTCCCAGTCAGGATCTTCCCTCGACTTCTTTTCAATAAAATCTAGCAGAGCTTTGCGATCAAATTTTCCTGTGGGCGCCTTCTTGGTCTGATCTTTGCACCTTTGGTCGGGAGGAAGGAGACTGTCCTAAAATGTCAGAAACGTAAGGCCTTAATAGGAGATGATGTATATGACCAAGAAAATATGTGCATCGTGTTGTAAAACATGAAAACCACAATGTTATAACACTTTCAAATATTTTAATGCAATTATTCTACTATATGAAGTTACATCAGTGCTGGGAAGATCACTATTCAATATTGTAAATATAGTATATTTCAGGTTCAGTCATATATCTGACAAGATTTACTCTATTTTTTACTAATTTAAATATAATATTTCAAAGCAAGTAACTACAGTTGTACATGGATTGTTGTAAAGGCAGGTAATATAGACTTACCTCACTTTGATCAAATCACCAGACATACTTTTCATTGTTGTTTCATTTACAAGATTTTGAAGGTCATTTATAGCATTATATTGATTTATTTAAGTACCAGGTAAGTTTAATCATCTTTAAGAAAATGAAAGGATTTTAAATAATTTTTGTTTTAAAAATATGTACATTTTCAAGCTTATTCAAGATAGCCATGTCTCGAAATGAACTTCATGCATTTTACATGCAAGTATTCTACATGGTAACTACAAGTGAACCTGTGTTACATTTGTTTGCTAAATACTTGTCTGTTTGTGATGACACAAGAAGCTTCATATTATAATTAGTAATTGTTCACATTTTCTCAAATAAAAAGCAAATAATAAAAATTACTTTAATAGCTTTTTGTGCAATATTTCAAAATGTTAAAGGTCAGAATCTTAACTATACTGTTAGATTCTACAAATCTATGTGAAATTGGCCTATAATGATACTAGCTTGAGTGACAGCAAATTATTCAAAACGTGGTAAGATAAAACAAGAATAAAAATCTGGTGCAAAATCTTTGTGACCTTGACCTTCAACTTACATCTGGATCAAAATCATCATTCAAAGCTTCAATATCTTCTTCTGTGAGCTGAGCAAGAAGTTCATCAAAATCCATGTCATCATATTTTGCCTGTTCCCCTGATTTCAATTTATATAGTTCCTTCGCCATTTTGATTTGATAATGAGGCTATAAACCTGGGTAATTTCAAATCACACAAGCGTCAACAGCACAGGTATCCTGGAATCATGCAAGTGAAAAAGGTTGAATATAAAATGAGGGACCAGTCTACAAAGTCTACCTATAGATGTCACTTCTCATCCATTGCGACACCCAACAGTCCTCATGGTAATGATCACAATGCATATAATAGCATTTCAATGAAATAATAATCAACTAAGCCATCTCCTAAACTGCAATAAGCATGAAATAAAATAAAGCAATTATAAAAGCACTAATGATGGAAGACCAACACAATAATTGCAAATGTAATATGTTCTTGATGAATACTGTGATGGTCCTCACCAAAGAGCAAAACTATTAAAATGTCTTAGCAGCTGAAAGATAAAAATGCTGGTTCAGCTAGTTAGGTGATAGCTATAGACGGGCCAGGGAGGGGGGCAGGGTATGTATGAGACAGAGAGAAGACTTAAACCTAGTTTGCAGACACCTAAGACTACATATAGGTGCATCATCACATGGCTGGCAAGATTTCATAAGGTTTCACTAGATCCAGCCCAAATGGTTGGCCTACATTTCTAACTGTTTCTCTCAAATGGGTTCTCCCAATGCATATATCCAAAGGGCTGTCGCATGTATAAGGTCCTAGGTTACACATGGTTGCAAACTTGCAAGCACATGAATGGAGAGCAGCAATCAGGCCATATTTATACAACTATACATAGAAACTAAACACTACCCTTATGTCAAACTCAATATTGTTCAGTTATCTCCAACAGAGTGTTCCTCAATTGAATATCAATATGAAATTTCTAAAAGTGATTGACTGAATAAATTAATTTTCATGCTTTAAGTCCAACTTATTCTTGGATAAGCTGAGGTTCTCTGATTGGTTTAAACCCTTGGAGGTCGCTGTTTTGATGTAATCAAAGTATCGTCACAACAGAATTGATTTTGATAAAGAAGGGCAATATATTTAGATTCAGCAAAATAATAGTTGTATAAAAATAGACAAAATGGTTGCCTGCAATAACCAATCCCATGCTGACTTACGTCTGGGTCAAAATCATTGGCAAGTAAATCTAATTCTTCCTCTGTGCAAGCTTGCAACAACTCGTCAATGTCCATTGCTGCATATTTACGCAACTCCTCCGCATTTTTGAAGTGAGCCATGGTGAAACCTGTCTTATCTGAAAATCTTAAAATCTACATAGATTATATTCAGCAATTACTATGAACCATATTTAGTCTCCCTATATCTGAAAGTGAAATGGATACATACATATACAATGAAATGCATATATACTGTACTGTGTCAGCGGTGTAGCTTGGGTATTTTGTGAGTGTACGCCACAAGCTTTGGGGGGGGGGGGGGGTTTGAGGGGTTCTCTGAGATTGCATTTGAAGCGTTCTGAGGCGAAATGTAAATTATTGTCAATTCTTTTTCAAAATATCCAGTATTTTTAAAGTGTGGGGCAATTCGATGTAAAAATTAACTTTTCTTAAAACTTCGAGAGTATGCCATGGCGTTTTATATATGACGCTACACCATTGCTGTGCTGATTCTTCAAATATGTCTGTATTGTTACAGTTATATCATTTTTTGTAATTATAATCATATCAAAATATGTTTAACCTTTTAATTTATGTATGCATATAAATGTTTACTGTTTACATGTTACAGAATAAATAATAATGCAAGTTAACATTTAGAAGTTCCTTACCAATCAGTAACATTAAAGAACATAAATACTATTTTGATACCTAAAGAAATATTATATACTCACTAGACATACACAATAACAGCTATGTCAAAGGCCATCAAAATAAAATATATCCCCAAGGTATGTTTTGATTGCATGTTTGATCATTTTACATTTTCTCCCAAGGGATTTCACATTTTGAAATTATTAAAAATATTTATATTAGTTCATATATCTGGTAGAAACTTAGCAGTTAATTAATATAAGGATCATATCATACCCCCGGGAACATGCTTCTTGGCTGGATATTTTTATACATGTTCTTGGGCCCAATATATATCACATATACAAAAGTCATGTAGTTTCATTGATCTTGCTTAAATGGACCCCCAAAGTGAACAAAGTACTCATGTTAGACAGGCTTCTGCCATTATCATTCTTACCAATAAATTTTTATATTCATGATGTCAAGGAACCCAATGTTCAGTTTAAAATTGATCATTTTGGAATAAATTTGAGAGTGGTATGTACACTGTCTATCCATCACAAATGCATCAAGTGAGTGATGTCTCGATATCTGAATCTGAAGCTATCAAATCATATTTCATGAATCATGAGTATCATATAAAAGGGTGGTATTTTGATGGAATCAGAAAATATCATTAATGTGCTCCTGAAATGTTTATGGCAATCAACCAATGCTCCAGCATGTATATCAACAATTAATAAATATCATTTCATCACCTACCCACCAAATTATTTACATTTTATAAATCCCAATAGTAATACCCCCTGGTTCTAAAAGTGCCGATCATAAGTGATGAACAATTAACACAAATTCCACTGGCGGATCTGGGGGGATATGGGTGGGCCCAGAAAAAAAAATTGGGCCCAAAAAAATTTTGAGCCAAAAAAGGCCTTGAGGCCCGAAAAAGTGGGCCTTTTTGGTCATAAATGGGCCTTCTAAGGCCTTATTTTTTAGTTTTAGGCCAAATTTTGAAGAAAATGGGCCTCAAAATTTCAAAATTTGGACCCACTTTTTGGTTTTAGGGGCCCAAAATTTTTTTTTCTCGGACCGGAAATTTGGGCCCCCCCCCCTTGTTGGTTCCTAGATCCGCCCCTGAATTCATTCATTAGATTAAAACAGATTTCTTTTGACATTTTAAATTTTACTTGAGATTGAAATGAAATGTTCTGAGACTACAGGAGTTAAGGGCTAAGTGTTTCCAAAACACAAGTTGCTATGAAAACTGATATGAGGGCACAATTCCAAATAGTTACCTACATTGATAAGGTGCTTCAGTAGGCAATTTAAAATGACCATTTTATGAAGTAGATGACAAATATTTGACATAAAACTTGCCTGATTCATTTTACTGGCAGTAAGAATGTTTAGTTTTGAATTAGAATATTTGGATTTGGTGTTCTATATGAAAATCGATTAACAAACAAATGCTTTTACAGTGAAATTATTGAATTTAATTCAAAAACTATAGCCTACAGGTGTAGTTATTACCTGGTATGAGAGAACAAATGAGTATCTATGTTTGCTTTGAAAAATAGATTTTTCCCCAACTTTCATTGAATTAGTGAAATTGTTTTTTCTGACAAACACATAAAAACTGTTACACACATAGCATCCCACATACAGTCAAAAACCTAGAAATGAATCATAAATATAGGCTATCATCTATGTACTGAAACTTGTTTTCAACTCAGGTCAAATTGTTTTGTTATTGAAACCTAGAAATTAATGAGAGAACATTTAACAAGTCAGGCATTGATCTTACCCTGGATAATGTAGCAGCCAGTTAGAATCACTTCCTTTAAAATAGACAAACCATTATAATGTTTCACCAAGTCTACATGGACTTTTCACTTTGCTTATCTTTTATAAAACATCTTACTATGAGATTTTGCCATTCTGGTTTATTAACCAAAATGGTATTCTATATTTTTAAGAGTTGTGCTTTCATTAAATTTATCAATATGATAGTCTTGGTATAAGGACCCAAAAACATCAGGGTTTAAAACTTTCTACTGTCTGAAATCATGTACTTAATGCAGATGACTTCAGAAATGGTATTTAAAATGAGTTGTTGATAAAAACAGTCCATGCACTATTTACACTTTCTGTTTTCCAGAGCCAAGAACCAACCCAAGGTCAGTAACCTTATACATGTACTTGCATTATGATTAGAACCAATACAGTAAAACAGTGGAACACCTCTTGAAGGAGAACACCTCTGTTAGTGGAACACATTTCACAGTCCCAAGACCAACTGATTAAATGTTAAATGAACCTCTATAAGTGGAAAGCTCCAAAGTGGAACACTTTTACAGGTATCAAATGTGTTCTACTTAGACAGGTTTTACTGTATGTATGTGATTCTAGAAACTGTCCTACTTCTTAACACCACATAATATAAAATTCTGGCATATTAATTTGCCAAATTATTTAAACAATATTATTCATTGAAGATTAACAAACAAATTGAACTGATTTCTTCTTTAGGAAGACTTCATGACTTGACAGGAACAGATGTTTTCTATTCATATGTTTGCACTTTCCAAGGTTCTTTCTTTAAAATACATAACAAATACTTGTAGTATGATCTTGTTTTGCATTAACATCACAATATTTGATAATTAAAAAAAAGAAAATATAAAATTTGCAACAAACATTTGCAAGGAAATTATCAAAGGAGTTTCCCCAAGTATAAGGTTACTACCTCCTTGCATTAATCTGCTACATATATCCTCACATACAGATTACAGCCTGACTAATGTGTTAAAGCTATTTTCAGAAACAGCAAGATTATTTTGAAACTGGCATGTTTCATCATTGCTGGCTCAACCAGCTGGTATTATTGAATTAAATATCATCCTTATACTAACCTTGATTGCTCTCAATATTGTTAAATATGTAAAATAACAGGTAAGTATACTTTTAGTGCTTTTGATATTTCATGCACATAAAAAATATAATATATGCATCACCCGCTATGGCTCGGTGGCAGAGAGAGTCAAGGTTACCAATATCGCTTGGCCCCGGGTTCGATTCCCGGTTCAGACAAGTTTGTTTGTGCGTTATGTAATTCTGGGTGTCTGACTGAGTGGTTCACGACTCGTATAAAAGGCTGTGGTGTGTACCTGTATGTCTGTGTACCTGTGCACATAAAAGAAAACAGGGCTCCTCCAAGGAGGGGTTTCTGGCTCTATCTTCGAGTGTAAAATACGTAAAATACGTATATATACCAATGAGGTATTGCTCGCCAAATATGGCGGTAACCAAAATATAATAATAAATAATAATCACCATGATTGTATATCAAAATTAGCAGATCTAGAATATGTATCTTCTTACTAGTAAATGATCAAATTCATGTGATGGAGAATATAATCAGTACAGCTTTCTTATCTACTTGTACTTCAAGGGGCTATAAATTCAAGAAGTTAAATTAAATCTGAAGTTGAATTTCTGGAGTAGAAAAGTTCAGTGAGAAGTCAAGAAATAAGAAATGTAGACCTGACATAAATCTTTGAATATATAGAAGTTGAACATATGCAAATGTTAGATTTCTATAATAAGTAAACATAATGATCATGGTTTTAACTTGATATGTTAAATAGCGAACATTCCAAAACAGATTATGTCCAGTTTTGAGTACTATTCAAATTATGTAAATATACAATAATATTGATTTTAACTGGCAGTGAAATAATAAGTAGGACAAATAGACATGCAAATAAAAATGAATTGAGATTGAATTTAAGAAATAAGTGAAAGGCAGAAGGCCTGTCTACCAGACAGTTATAGGTAATGTTATCAATCAAGAAATAAGCTACTAACAACACTGTGAATTACTTAAAAACTTTCCTATGTTTTCTTGTATATTCAAGAATGAGTATGACTATGATCCAAGCAGACAGCATATTTGAGTTCATCTTTTTACGCATCAACCTAAATTTACCTAATCCCAAAATCCTGAATAAGTAAAGACAAGTTAAGAATTCAAATCTTAATTTATGGCTATAAACTATAAACTATCAATTTCAGCATTTAGAAGTGTAAATTCAGTTCAAAGCTTCTTATACAATTTTAAGATCCACCACGTTTCAAGAGGAATATCAGCTGAAATAATGTTCATCCAGGGGATTTCTTAGTAGATAATGAAAAAAGATCTTAATCTTGATGAAATATCCAAACCTAAATTGATTTTGACACTGGTCGACGATCGTTGAATGGCCCCCCTGCACTAATTGTTACACCTTTAAGTAATATTCTAAAAACTGTCAATTGTCTGTCATGTTAATATTTCATGAATTGAAATTGTAACGGATTGTCTTGTTGATGAGATATTGAAGGTTTTCATTTAAAATAGAAGTCGTCCCGTTTTTGTCTGTTCTCAATAAGCTTACATATAGATGGCAGTCTATTCGACAGGAAAATGGTGGAAATCGGAGAAATTTTATTTCACTATAAAAAAGAATAAATATCATGCGAGGTAGATGATTCTAGGACTGCATGTAAAGATCAATGAAGGTGAGTTTATTATGTTTACATCAATAAAGATAACCTGGCCAGGCATTTTAAAGGCAAATTCATATTTATATTCTATGGCCACACTCACTGGCGATAGAAAAGTTATGTTCCTGTGCATAGATGTTGGCAAAGATCGTTTTGTTTTGATCTTATTGGCTCAAAGAATAATTAAGAAGATGAGACACCAAATTGGAAAATTTCAAAAAAAGTGACCACCTTTCAAAACATTCCTTATAGTGCCTGAACGACAGTGAGATTCCATTGTCGATAACGACAATGTTATTTCTGTTGCCGATAGCTAACTGTCGTTGCTAAGCCCGGAAGTAAAATTGTGTTCAATCTAAGATTTTGTTTGAGGCGAAAATGAGCTAGAACAACTTGCCCCATCATTGTAGCGTCTATATAATCAATACTTATTTGAAATATCCTGACATCGAACTAAAAAAACACTCTAACTATAGTTGTTATTCATTTTTATTCACCGATCAATTTTGAAGAGCGATTTCAGCATTTGAGGCAATCTGCGCCAGTTCCTCTTGGTTCGGAATTTAGTTCATGAGCATGAGAATGAATAATTTGATTGGCCTAAATTCCAAACACACATGCACACTTGTAAATTATTTCAAACCATTAGGCATGCGCGAAGAATTGAAGCAAAAACGAAACTGCTGCCAATGGCCCTACTTATTCTGTGGCGAAAAATTCTTAATTCAAAATGTTTTCCCGTATTGGGGAAAAGAAACACAACCACATGATAGATATTGGACGACAAACAAGACAATAATAAGTAAGAATCTTTGATGAAACTTTACAGAAACTAAAGTAAGTGACACAGTTTTAAATGTGTTCTATTCCCTGAGGAATTTGGTCCACGACAGCGACAGCTGATTTTAACTGTTGACAGATTTTAATTCTATTGTTTCTATTCCTACTTGTTTGGTTCAAGTAAATAACATATTGATGCAGTAATTTGACTTTTTATATGGCAAATGTTTATCACTTGATCTGGGCTCTTGTGTGTCCAAATATCATTGTAATTCTGATGTCACATTTCTGGAATCATGGGAGCACCATTAAGATTTGGACAGACAAGAGCCTGCCGATAAAATGTTTTGGCCTCTTATCAACGCAGTATTTCTTGAATAACGTTCAATATTGATAAAAAAGTTAAAGAATAACAAGACGCTTCAAATGAGGTATGATTTGTGTCATATTGTTCAGAAATGGCTGCACAATCGTCATTTTAAAATTTCCATTTTTTTTGGTGCCTCATCTTGAGGAATATTTATAATATCCTACTACAAAATAATCTGGCAGGGATCTATGTTCCTGAGGTTCATTACACTCCAGAACGGCAACTGCACACCTCGGAGTTTGACGAGGCTGTTGCCGACAGAGGGAATTATTTTTTGAGAAGTGAACTCAGAAATCATTGTTCTTTTTCAATTTTTGAATACAATCGTAAAATAGTAAGCCAGATTCCTACTTACCACGCTGTTGTATGAGTCCTTGGTCCCTTTTAGATAACCCCAAAAGGGTTCTTAGTAGACTTCTTTACGAAATACAAGTGAAAACCTACAAAATATTTGACAGGACTCTAAAAATAGCAGGTACTTGCAAGTAGATGGAAGAGCCGAGAAAGGATGAGAAAATGCGAGACTTCCGCTGTTATAGACTCCTCCCCCAAATATGACCATCTTGTTCTCCATTTCTTTCGAGTCAGTGTGCAAATTAGACTACCAAAATACACAATAAATTACAAAATATTCAAAAATATCAAGACGGTCATTGATTTAAATGTATTATGCCGTTTAGATTGTATTTCAAATAATTGGAGTTTCCCTCTTGTTGCCTGGTAATAAAAAAAGCAAGATGGCCGACTGTATTTGGAGAAAAAAGTAGTTTTCAAATAAAATGCGAATTTAAACAGGATATATAATATCTAAGGTAATTTTTTTGTGATAACTAATTGACGGAAATGGCATGGATTAATTTTGAAGTTAAATGCCAAGGTTCAGAATGTCAAAATCAAGCATATTTTGACACAATGTTTTTGTGTGTCAATGTTGACATTTTTTGATTTTTTAGCCCGAACTCCTATGCAGTGTCTCGATATAGACACTGCGGCGGGCAGATTATGGAATCCCCAAAATTTGGGGAAGATAGTCCCCCTTTTTGTCACAGATGTACTTGTTTTTCACACAACTTATAAAATATATGTTATCTTATGTTCACCAATATATCTAATTATTTTGTCAAAATATTCCGGAATCAATGAAATATAAGAGGAAATCCCCGCGGAAGGAATTCTGAGTAAAAGTTGTGTAGATAAAATTTACTGCACGTGTTGTTTATTAGTTAGTACTCGCAATTCAACCAATGAAATTGTCTAAATTTTACAATCACGCGACCTGAGCATGGGACTAGAACCAATCACGTCAGTTGTTTATTACGATGTTACCATGCTTACGGTGAGATACCTGCCCGCCGCAGTGATATATCACTGCACGGGAGTTCGTTTTTAGCCCAGTACTAGTAGGCCCTTAGCTTAGGCCTAGGGTTATACTACACTTAGAGTAGATCGACTAGAGCTTAGAAGTGTTCAAGATAATAAACACCCCAGCATGCTTCGTAGAACCTAAATGTGATGTCGTTACATTCCAAGCAATTTATTGTCGTTTTAGTGTAAGCTTAGGGCTATCTTTGCCCTCAGACATAAATGTGCTAGCCTACATCATTGAGAATAAATCATTATTTTTCTCATACTAGCTAGGCCTATAGGTTAGGCTATATGCTTTTAGTTCTGTTCTATCTGCTATTAGTTCTGTGATAGATACATGTCATTCATGTACATTATGAATACACTTTTCCATATATTATTGCACAATGGTCTCCCAATTTCCTATATTTGCCGTTCTACTGATGAAATGAAGCAGTGAAATGGACTCTAGTACTGTCTTTGAAAACAAGACATTAAATGTACGTTTCGAATGTTATCATGGAATATTAATTGATAAATATAGTTGAGATCAACAGATCAATAGACTTGTTTATTTTATATAGCGTCAAGGAAAACTATGTTTTAAAAACAACTACCTTACTTTTGTACCCCGAAAAAATTTCAGATAATTATTTTCACAACCAGGCTAAAAACTTAAGTTCAAATCCTGAGTGTATTATCTGGAAAGTTAGACCACATGCTATGGAATATCATTCATATCGACTGGGGGAAATTTTTAATTTCGAAAAGTTCTTAACATAAATTTTGTTTGATTTTAGCATCTGAGTGAAATATAAAAATCGAAAATGTCCACCAGGCATTCATTAAGCCCCAGGAGGATGAATGGTGGGGCCATGAATGGGGGACGAATGGCTGAAACTGGCATGTCACTCCCAACAGTGGATGCTGAAGGGTTGAAGGCAAGGCTCTATTCCTATGCACCACAGCAGGCTCCTATTAACAATACAGCTTTAAGGCCAAAACAAAGAACGAAAGCTCAGATAAAAAGAGAAAAAAATCCAAATGCCCCAAAATTAGAACCATTGGTAAGTGTATTTTTACATTTTCATGATTCCATTTAAAATTAAGTAACTGCATGTCTTTCAACAGTATTTGACATTTCACTATAAACATGATTTATCACTGTTCTAAACTGGCACTAAAATGATTTTTTCCAGCCTGGTCTACAAAACTTTCAAGCAGTCAACCAACCAGAATATATACATAGAAAGGCAAGAGAAAAGCTAGAAAAAGAAGGTTATTTCAAAGATCCAGAACCACAAAAGAAAATGAGAAGAACAAATTCAGTTGAGCCTTTCCAAGAAAGACCATCCAGTGCAAACTCACTTCCAGAATTACCAGAAGATCTCAAACAAAAACAGGTAAACAACTTGAAAGCCTTAAAAATCCTATGTGAATAAAATGTATTTGCCTAATATGTGCAAGATTCCAAGAAATAAGAAAGAATATCACTCAGGGGATCATATCAAATAATTTAACACTGTGGCTGACTTCAACTACACTGTAAAGGATTGACATCTTTACTTGACATTGGTACTTCTCCCCCTTTCTATTCTATAGCGATGAGAAACATTTTCCATTTTTTAATGTTAGCAACAAAATATTCAAGATGGAGATTGGTGTTAAACTTTGATTTGAAGATAATGAATCAACTTTCTATATATAGGGTTTATGATATACCACACAAGTTATTTCTTAATATGTAGTCAATCATTCTCCCCAAATCCCTGGAAAACATTCTGAAGGTTTCTCTAATTGACTACAATACACGGGAATGGTTCATTCATTGTTATTAATAGGAGACTTTAGATGATACAAAGAAAATGTCCCCTACACCTCCCAAGGACCCTAAACCTCAAAGTGTACAAGGTAGACAACATACAAGTGGAGCCACTGTACCTATTGTCAAACAACCATCAGGTAAAGTTAAAAAGTTATTAACTTTTGCTTTCCTACCTAGAAGATCGTAACAAGTTGAACAAAATGCATCAACAATACAAGAACCTTATTTCGTCTTTAAATTTTTCTCATAGTAAGAGCCAGTTCCAGTAGTTCCATAGGTCATGGAAATTAGTTTACTTATCCAATGCCAAGTAGAAATTTAGGGAGATAAGTTGGTAAGATATATCCCGTATCCTCATGTAAAGGTCTCCATATTCAGAACCTCCATATCTACCGCTATATCTCCCGCTCCAGGGCATATATTCCCACTTTTGAAAATATGTTGAAAAAAATTAGAAAACTCCACTGAGTATATCCACTCAGTGGATAAAGTAGTTAAATGTACAGTTGGTTTGGATATGGGGTTTATCCCTCATGAGATACGCACATTTACCTTCGGTCCCTACAGTCCCTCAGATAGATATGCATTATATTCCTCTGGATAAACCCCATATCCAAAACCTCCCAGCTCATAACCCTTATTAATTATGTGTGTATAAATGCTATTTGCCAGGTGCAAGTACATACCTGGGCATATCTGACCCTGAAGAGATGATCCGTATCGTGAGAGAAAACCCCAAGCTTGGGTTTCTCTACCTCAGCCCTGCAGTACCGAAATCATCTGTCAACTATCATTATTACAAACTAAAGTAAGTTGGATACATTTATGGTTTAAAAACTACCTGTAGATTGTTTACACTGCTCTTGATTTTGAATTTTTCATCAAAAATATTTTTCAATTTTTAAATAGTTTTGAGAGTTTTGCAGTCTGCGAAATGGAGAGAAAAATATTTCCGTCATACAGAATATGATTTGAATAATAACATTGAATTCTGTTTTCTTATTTCAGAGTGGTTGATCATGAGCGTATGAACAAGGCGGATTGTTGCACTATGAGTATCAAAGGTGTCACTAGAATGAGGAATGATGATGAGACAGAATTTTGTCAGTTGGACAGATGGGAGCTGGAATATAAATACTTCAAAAGATTAGTCAAGGTATGAATTCGTTTTGGAGAAACATTTAGCTGTCTTCAAATTGAAGGTTGTTTGCATGCAAAAACTTGCCAGAACAAGACATATAATCCTGAACTGTTACTCAAATGGAATTTGTATTGGAAAATGGGAAAGCGCAAAAGTATTGATTCATAGATTGATATGTTGCAGCATCAAAACAAAATGTAAAAATAAAGATACAAATTTTTCAATTCACGTTGTGTTGTTTTTATGATTTCAGATCAAGGCATTCAGGCTTTTTCGAAAGTGGAAAGCATTCAGTGTGTGGAGAAAGAACGTGGTGACCAACAAAGCCAAAAAATGCAAGAAGGCACTCAATGAGAATCTGTTCATTGTCAACCCAGTATGTCAAAGATTTGGGTTTTTACAATAAAACTTCTAGTATATCTTTCAAATCAATATGTTGATAATGCCTTTATTTTTGAAAAACTATAAAATCTTTGATGTTTTTTAACAGATGGATCTTATTTTTTAAGTTAGAGATCTTTTCTTGAATGTATAGTTTTTCAATCTGATATATCAATCAATTTTTTAGTTGTTTGTATAATGTAATCATAATTTTACAGATACATATATGTATTACAATTTTCAATTCATAATTATTTCAGTCTCTGAGACCAGCTTTGTTGAATGTGCGAGAGATGTGTTTCCGCATCAGTGACATGGGTCTGTGCAAGGTAGAGAAGGGGCACACCTACACACTGACTGAATTCAGAGAGGCACAGTTTGCTCAGCTCAATGAGGTATGATCTGTTAAGTCTGGCATGTCTTTGCTTTATCACCAAGGGTTGATAGCTATCCTTGGGTTACAATGTATTTACAAAAACTTCACAAAGTGAAGAATTCCTAAATCAGTTCTAGTGATGGATACATCTCAACATTTAAATACCCACGAAATGATCATGATCATTTTCCTATTTTATGCTGATAAAAAGCACAAAGAGCAACATTTGAAAACACAATTTTTTGCAAGTCGAGAAATAAGTTATGAATATGGAATAACCTTGGCATACATGTAGGTATGGCACCTTCACCCATCTATTTCCAGGGACCCATAAAGCTATCAACTCTCAATTTGAATAACTATAACATTTATAAAGGTGCTTACACATATTATCAATCAGCTCATTTTCAGTGTCAAAACAGCTAATATAAATTTCAGATGTCTTCTGTAAAAGATTCTGTGTCTATTTGCTTCATGATGCTTTCACATTTTATTTTTAATTTCATTATTTATCTTTCTGATACTTTTTGCATAAAGTTGCTTCTTATTTCAAATACTTAACACATAAACTATTCATTTCTCTAAGTAGGCCATTAAATTTTATTTGATTGCTGTTATTTTGGAAAATATGTTCATAGAAAATGAGCATATGAAGCAACTTCATGCATTATTTCTGTTACTGAAACATTCAGTTTAAAATGGGTCAATTGACAGTCTTAGATTTGTTGTTCCCCAAGCTAAGGTGGATATAATACAAATCAAGTCATTTGACATCATCTGAGATTCACAAAAATCTCTTATTCACATTTCACATAATTTCAACTGTTACTTTGCATGGCTTACATATGACACTATAGGTGGCAGGCAGGTTGACTGAGTTCCGAGACTTGGTCAAGGAGGTTGTACGAAGTGCCTGTCGTACTGCACTGCTTGAAGCTGGCTTCACACCAGACGATTATTTCTATGATGGTATGAACACGCCAGGAATGTCTCCAGGTAGGAAATGAACTCATTCAAACGTTTGGTTGGTTGAACTCTAGAAATCTCACCCTCAATATGGGAATTGAAGCTAAAACATTATGCTGTGCCTTGAATCCTAAAATTCCTTCAATATTGTTAGACAAATAATTCAAATTTGTATGAAATAATCATTTTCAAAACAATTTTTTGAACCTGAATTCATGTCTCTATTAAACATGATTTAGACATGGAATCTTATGAAAACAACTTCGTAAGATTAATTTTTATTTGGTAAAAATAAAAATGTTCCAAACAAAATGAGATTTGATTCCTGGATGAAACTCACACAGCTATGTATTGTAGATGGAGGTCCCCCTGGTACAGCTAGCAGCTATCTGATGCAGAGTAACTATGACATGGACATCTATGGGGAGGCACCAGACAAGATGACATACACAGAACAAGCCAACAAGAGAGCACATTGCAAACGACTCACATGGTAAGTGAAGTACATTCTGGAGAGTAGTCAGAAAGATAAACGAAAATACATGTATGCTAAATTAATGAGAACACCAAGATCCAACAGTCTGTTTAATATGTATGATCATGATCACAATACAGTATTAATTTGAAATCGCATGTTTTATAAGTGCAAATGAATCTATTTTCAGCTTCATCCGTCTGGCAGATTACCTCATAGTGAACACAATGCATGTACTAGCAGTGAACTCTGTCTCCACTCTTCTGAACTACCTGACAGAGCAGCTACAGAACACACCCCCACTAGCTGATATACAAGGCTGGGATAAACAAGACCATGACCACAAACCCAAAGCTCTTCAAGAGGAGGAAGAGAGAAAAAAGGAAAAGGAAAAAGCTGAGAAAGGAGAGAAAGCGGAGAAAGAAAAACCTAAAGATCCAGAGGTAGAATTGAACCAGCTGTTTGAACAGTGAATAATTTTTGTGTTTAGTCAACCATAAGAGGAGAAACATGGCTTCATTGTACATTGAATGAACCTGATGTAGCCATCACTGATTTTGAGGTTTTACGATTTGTTTGTTTGTTGCATTTTTTCGATACGAACTGTGTTTTGAACATGTCATCAACAATGTTAAGGATTAAATTAATGCTTTGTTCATCTTTATTGATTAGAATGAGGAGGAAGAGGCCCCAGTGCTGCCACCTTTATACATCACAGAGTTTGTACTGGAGCCCCACCAAGTTCTCTTCTCACCCGATGAGGATGAATTCCAAGATGGTGTCGCAGAGGTTATCAAGAGATTCCAGGATGCCGTCCTCAGTGTACAGAACTTGGTTCCTGATACCTTCTTTGATGCATTCACAAGGTATTATCTTGTACTGAACAGCATTTTGCATATACATGTACCTAAATGTATGTATTGATAACCTAAAAAATAATGGACAACATTTAGATAAATGTTTGTTTCATATAATATCTACATATATTATGTTTAATTCTCAAAATGGTCCATGTTACCCTAAACCATGATGAAAAGAAAACAGTTTGAGAAAATTATTTATCACCAGAATATACAATGTATCAAAAACAAACTATCTGATTGGTGACAGACTGTCGTCAGATGAGGCAATACATTCAACAACATGAGAGGCAGAAACTAATAGCTTGATCTCTCAATGTTTGTAATTGAGGCACACATGTACATACAGTGTATGTTTGTGTTATTATAGGCCTATCATCAACAGTAAGTTTGAGGAGAAGACTTGTGGAGATGGCCCTAGTCTACCAACTATGTTTGATGATGATGGTCACTTACAACAGATCATACAAAGCATCAGGGTAAATACTATACAATAATCTCAAAGATTTTTAATACAAAACTACATTATTAGTTTTAACATTGAGTGTACATACGATGTGCAAATTGATTACTTGATTTACTATGTATGTGAAAAGTAAAAATTATCTATTGTGACAAGATTTTTTGGGAATTTACCTAGGTTATGAATTATCCATGTGTATTGTACATTATAGGAAGCAGTTATTGCTGCCTTCAATGCTGCCAGTCAGTATGGAGATACATTTGAGCCTCATAGAGAATTCTACAAGGAGAATGAGGCCACAGATGTGGAGAATGTCCGTGTCCAGACACACGGTGAGTTATAAACTTAACATGTGATGTCATTGAATGATGATATAGTGCTGCTGATATAATAACATGTAATTAAGATAGTGTTAAAAACGAGATTCCATCAGTATATTTCTTGAATCTTATTCAAATAATTGGATATAATGCAATTACCATTCATATTAATTTTTAGATGTTCCATTCTTTGCTGAGTCCCTTGCCCGCTACCACAAGCAGCACCGTATGGCCCAAGCTATCATACCTAAGAGGCCTATAGGCATGCTGCTCATGGATGCAGATAAAATGAAGAGCATGTTGATACCATCTCCAATCAGATGTCTGGATGTAAGTGCAATTATAATTAAGAATTCCCAAGGAGCAGCAAACAATTAGGATTGCATAGCTTTTAAAGTTGAAGGTTTATTTAATCCTGTGCTCAAGCAACTGATAAAGTGATCACCTGAATGAAGTACATTTATTCAATAAAACAACCTTACAAGATCATCAGAACAAGAAATCAAATCAAATGTAAAATCCTTTGTGTCTATTCTCAACTCGGAAAGAATATGTAAATCATGAACTTTTAATACAGATGTAACATATACATCTCTCTGTAGGTTGTGAATGATTTACTGCCTATGAAAGCACGTAAAGAAGTGGACAGACTGATAGCTGAACTCCAAGATGCCCAATTTAAACTTGAGTTTACTCCCACTACCACTAATGAGTTTGTTGAGAGTCTTACATTCCTTGATGAAATACAGGAGAGAATTGAGCCACTTGACAAGTAAGTAAAACAATGGTGGAAATATATATGGTAAATGTCGGCATTGTGGTTTACTACCCTTTGCATTCGTTTGACTTCACTTCTTAAAAGAGAGCTTCGTCTTCACTCTTTCAAACTAAAACAAACCTGTGAACTCACCGCGCCAACCAGTGTTCGTCGGCCAAATTTGGCCGACGTTCTATATATGGGCATTCCTTCTGACGTCATCGTTGAGCCCGGTATTGACCAATGACATACGCATATTTAATTAGAACGCATTTGGCGTATGTTTCTTCAAGCTCGCTGATTGGTGGAAGAAGGTCAGCACGTAGGTCAGAAGTGATTTACTACCCAAACTGTCACCGGTACCCGTCCTGGGGGCGGGGCTACTAAACTGTAATATGGTCTCTACTAGGCAGAGTGTAGTTTAACTAGACTCTGCACGCAGGGTAGTGGTTTACAGAAGGACTTTGATCAAATTTTAAATGCTTGATATTTTCCATTACAGAGAGGCAATGACTGTGAAAGAAATGTATGATCTAATAGAAGAATTCACAGTGCCAACACCTCCTGAAGACTTTGCAGTGTACCAGACTCTAAATCCATCCATCACTAATGTGCGTAATGCAATAGACAAAGCCCTAGCTGAGAGGGATGCTGACATTGACAAATTCTGTACTCATCTGGACAAAGATATTGCTGAACTGGCCAAGGAGGTGAAGGAAGTAAAGCAGGCAGCACAGGTTAGAGAATTTGAATAGTTTTAGAACTTCTTTTTGCCAAGGTCTTCCAAACTAAATATCAAACATGATTGATTGTCCAACAGAAAATCCTGTATCAATCGGTGTTGTTTTGACTGGTTAAATGTTCACATTGAGAGGTGTTTACGTGTATTGTTATTGCTCAATGTGAGTCTTGTGAGATGTTTACATAAAATGGTCTTACTTAACTTTTCCAAAGAATTTGTTCATGACATTGTTCAGCAGCAGATAACAGCCATTATTTTGAGAGCCCTGTGGATATTTCCTAATATTATCTATAACATTTCAGAATCCACTTATTCTGGATCCCAATGCAGACAACCAGAAAGTACAACAAATTCTCAAGAAGCTACAAGACCAAATGGATGAACTACAAAAGAGAGCATATAGCTACAAAGCATACCAGAAGAATTTCAAGGTTGAGGTGACAAAGTATGAGGCACTAGAAGAGGCCCATGCTGAACTGAAACTGAAACAACTCCTATGGGACTCCCTGTCAGAATGGGATGAACTTGTCACTGCATGGACAGATGGGCAACTTGATACATTAGACCCAGAAGTCCTTCAAGGCCAAACAGCAAAATATGGAAAATCTGTCAACCAGCTGGAGAAAGGGCTACCACCAAATGGTGTCGTACCAATCTTGAAAGAGCGAGTAGAAGATATGAGAGAGAAATTACCCATGATTGCTCATTTGAGGAACCCTAGTCTCAAAGCACGACATTGGGATGTCATTGAACAGATTATTGAGTATCATTTCACTGAAGAGGACCCCATGACATTGGGTAAGCTTGTTGAACTGGAGGCATTTACCCACACAGAGGAGATAGAAGAAGTCTCAGGCAGGGCTAGTTCTGAACAGAGTCTTGAAGGAATACTTAAAAAGGTAAAGAGTCTGGTCATATGTATTAGTAAATTAAATTTTGACTGTTACAGTAGCTTGTTTCCCTTTTAATGGTGCGTGTATCCATATGAGTGATATCAATTTGTTATAAATTTTGGTTTGAGCTGTCATCTTTATCATTATTGGAAACTAATAAGTAGAAACTATATCATCTATTCAACTATTCAAATTCATTCTGCTGTTAATAGGTCGAGGATGCATGGAAGTCTATGGAGTTTGTAGTACTGAATCACAAAGACACCAAAGACATCTTCATCCTGGGTGGAACTGATGACATACAGCAACTACTGGATGACAGTGTGGTGAATATCTCCACCATTGCTAGCAGTCGTCATGTTGGACCCATCAAACCCAAAGTGGATGATTGGACTAAACAGTTGGAACTGTTTGGCAAGACATTGGTGAGTCGTGGCTTTTAAATATTAACCTAGGTTTTACTGTTTACTGATATTAAGTATTGTAAGACTGGAAATACAAATACACTAGGATGTGGTTAACATTTTTGTCCTCTATGAAAAAGAAACAAAAATCTCAACAATCAACATATAAACATTCAAGTATTATACTAGCCTTGCCCAAGTCGGTATTTTTTTACTTATCTGATCTTGAATTATTACCACCTTGTACAATCCAATACATCTCCGCTGTTATTATGCTGAAATATTCAACGGTTTCGAGATCTCCATAATACCCACGCTATCAGGGGTATCACGAAACCTTATTGATTGACAGATATCGCGTGGACACGACGTGTGACTTCAGGCTGAATGACCAATAGTATTATATGTGTTCTAAATGTTTTTGTTTTCAGGATGAATGGCTGGATTGCCAAAGAAACTGGCTCTACCTTGAGAGTATCTTTAGTGCTCCAGACATCCAACGCCAATTGCCAGCAGAGGCTAAGATGTTCATGACTGTTGATAAATCCTACAAGGACATCATGCGTAAAGTAAACAAAGTCCCTCTTGCATTGAGAGCTGCCACCCAGCCTGGTTTACTAGAGACCTTCCAGAATAATAATGCACTCCTGGACCAAATTCAGAAATGTCTTGAAGCATACTTGGAATCCAAGAGAGTTATATTCCCAAGGTGATTACCAATTGCATTTCTATATTCAACAGTCATTTTGTATTTGAGGTAATTGTGGGTTGAGTTCATTTGTACTGTGGTCTGATTTAGTCTTAGTTTCTGAATGGGCTAATTTGTCAGTATTTTCACAAAATGAATGTACCATTGCATATTCTTTCCTACTGTAAATGGATCCACACCTGTACTTTCAGATTCTACTTCTTGTCCAATGACGAGCTTCTTGAGATCTTGGCTCAAACCCGTAACCCTCTTGCTGTCCAGCCTCATTTACGTAAATGTTTTGATGCTATCGCCAAACTGGAATTTGGTGTCCAAGCACCATCCTCAAGCCATGGCAAGGACACTCCAGTAGGTGGGGAACAGGAAGTACAATACACCAATGATATCCTGGCTATGATCTCACCTGAAAATGAAAAAGTCTCCTTAGGAAAGGTAAACATGTGAACATCTAATTGATTCAGTATGACACACAATATTTCAAAATGAGTGCTGCCGTAAAATGAAGAAAATGCTGATGTTTAAACAGAGTGGTAAAATCCGAGTATCCATGCCATTTGAAATAATAATGATTTTAATAAGAGTGAGTAGTGAAACTTTCAAACTAGTGGTATTACCACTTATGAATCAATGTTCTATCTGAGTAATACAATCTTTTCAATTTCAGGGTCTAAAAGCCAGAGGAAATGTTGAGGACTGGCTAGGCAAAGTTGAAGAAGCCATGTTCAGCAACCTTCGCAAACTAGTCAAAGCTGCAATTGCAGACTTTGAAAGACGTGAACGCACAGACTGGGTGGTGTCTCATGCATCCCAGGTGGTGCTGACAGTTGCACAGATGGTCTGGTGTAGGGAGGTCACTGAGATTCTCGAAGGTGATTTTGATCGTTTGGAAGCCATGGAGGAATTTGAACAAAAATGTTTTACTGTAAGTGTTTTGCTTTTCAGGGAATTTACAAACTTTTGGGCTTGAAGAAAACATATTATACCAATAGGGAATGGTAAACCCAGTCCACACTCTTATATGTTAATTAACTAATTTTTGTATGGTGTGCATTAACGCCTGTATGTTTAATTCCACTAAGTAATATGATATTTTATATTATATTTTGTGTTTGTAATTTCCAGGAACTTCAAGATCTAGCTAAGGTTGTCAGAGGAGAGCTGCCCAAACTGGCCAGAAATATCTTAGGTGCTTTGATCACCATAGATGTACATGCTAGGGATATGATCTCTGAAATGGTGAAGATCAAGGTAGGTCAATGCATAAATGATTAAATACAAAAGCATACATGCCAAAATCTAAATACACTAATCAGTCATAATAGGAATCAAACCTCAATATGCCAGTTTGAATAAAGAAACAATGTCTTACACCCCCTACCCAAACAATTCAAAGAAATCATTATCACAATTGAAAACCAAAGACCATGGCGATTAGTATCAAAGTATTTTACCGATTATTTTATATTTTAGATAAATTCATCCCAAAATGTTTGCTTCTAGGTGGATAGTGTCCTAAGCTTTGAGTGGCAGAAGCAGCTTCGTTACTACTGGGACTTTGACATGGACAACTGTGTTGTAAGAATGTCCAATTCTCAATATGTCTATGGCTATGAGTATTTAGGAGCATCACCACGTCTGGTCATCACACCACTTACAGTAAGTATTCCTCAGTTCCGTGACAGTGTGTTCAACTGCTGATCACTGTGGTTGAATTAGAGCATATTTATGATCGTCATATTACATTTTTGTGATAGGTAACAAATTACAGCCACTATTTTTTGTGACACATTTGACATCTGTAACACATGTTACAATTTTGTAATCGCAACCACCTATTCACATTTTGTCATGTTAATGCCTTGTTAAACATGATATCATTTATGTATTTCAGGATCGTTGCTATCTATGTTTGATGGGTGCCCTCCAATTGGATCTTGGGGGTGCTCCAGCAGGTCCTGCTGGTACAGGAAAGACTGAGACCACTAAAGATCTCGCCAAGGCTCTGGCCAATCAGTGTGTTGTCTTCAACTGTTCTGATGGTCTGGATTACAAAGTAAGCCTACTTTTAGACTATAATATGTTTCATCCATAGTTTTATTTGTTTGATTGACAACTTTAACAATAAGACAATGTAAATAGTTAAGCATGGGTGTTTCTTCTCTTTTTAGATGATGGGAAGATTTTTCTCTGGTTTGGCCCAGTCAGGAGCTTGGTGCTGTTTTGATGAGTTCAATCGTATTGACATTGAAGTGTTGTCTGTCATTGCTCAACAGCTTATCACCATCAGGAATGCTAAGGCATCCAAGGTAAGGTTATAGAAGTACCCTGTAAGGAATAAAGACTTTAATACTTTGCAAAGAATTGGGACTTACCTTGTAAGGAATTTCAATGTAAACACTCTCAATATTGAAATTATATAAAAAAAAACATTTTTCTTCCAGCTTTCAAGATTCATGTTTGAGGGTCGAGAAATCAAGCTAGTAATGTCATGTGCTGCCTTTATCACAATGAACCCTGGGTATGCAGGACGTACTGAGCTCCCAGACAACTTGAAGGCTCTCTTTAGACCAATATCTATGATGGTGCCTGATTATAGTAAGTACTTAAAATCTAATTATGATGTAAGTTATAAACCAAGCTGCACATTTTGTACATATTCAGTCTTCAGAAAATGAGACAAATAAATTTGTTTCAATTATGTATTGGCACTAACAGTCATATCATTTGTGTTAACATTATTGTTAGTGGACACATCTTCTAATAAAAGACATGCATACATATAAGCTTTAACATTTCCAAATGAATGTATCCCTTCACTTTGATTGTCATGTAAGTAATATGCCAAGAATTAATCCTCTCATTGGTAATACTAATGCTATTGTGGATTGTTTTCTTCTAGGACTTATTGCTGAGGTGATCCTGTACTCTGAAGGTTTTGAGGATTCTAAGAATCTAGCCCAGAAAATGACCCAGATGTACAAGTTGTGCAGTGAACAGCTATCACAACAGGATCATTATGATTTCGGTATGTTGTTACATGAAATACAGTAAAACCTGTCTAAATGGAACACCCTTTGTACCTCTAAAAGGTGTTCCACTTGGGAGGTGTTCCACTTATAGAGGTTCATTTAACATTAAGTTAGTTGGTCTTGACACTATGAAAAGTGTTCTACTAACAAAGGTGTTCCACTTCTAGAGGTGTTCCACTTTACAGGTTTTACTGTACATAAAAATCCAGCTCAACATGCAAATATTATAGTATTTGAATATAAATCATCTAAAATAAAAGTTCATTTTATAAACCATCCTTTTTTACATTGTATCACACTAAATCAAATGAATCTCATATTTCCATATTACTACGACTTGAATAATGACAAAGATTATTGGCAGTTTATTCATATGACAACTCCAGCCCTATTACATTATTTGTAGGTATGCGAGCTGTGAAGTCTGTGCTGGTCATGGCAGGATCATTGAAGAGAGAGAACCCTGACAAGAGTGAAGATGTTGTGCTCATCAGAGCTCTGAGAGACAGTAACTTACCCAAGTTCTTGGCAGATGATGCTATACTCTTCCAAGTAAGCAATAAAAAAACATAGGGTCTGGTTATTTTTAAAAAGTGCAATTCTGTTTTGGCTTTACTGATCAAAAGGAGCAATTAAGACCAAATAATATTTAATTTATCAATTTTCCAGCCTAAGCATTTTCTACCTTGTGAGTTTTGACTGCATGAATAAGCATTGCAATGGGTTTAGAAAAGTGTGACATCAAACTGTAACATTTCTTGTAGGCTATTCCACTATTTAATCAGTTATCTGATCAAATACCAACACTAACCTTTGTTTCTAGGCTATTCTACAGGATCTATTCCCCTCTGTTGTCATCCCAGAGCATGACTATGGTATCCTCCAAGAGGAGATTATTGCAGTTATGGAGGACAAGGGACTGCAACCTGAGCCATGTATTATCAAGAAGACCATTCAGCTGTATGAAACTATGGTTGTCAGGCACGGTGTCATGTTGGTAGGGCCCACTGGGGGTGGCAAGACAACCACCTATGAGGTAATCATTTGTTTTAGGCAACTATCAATCTCAAATGTTCAATCTTAAATAACCTGAGTATATCTATTTTATTTGAATGATTAGATTAGCAAGAAAATTTTAATTTTTCTTTCCTAAATATAAAACATTTTACGATACTTTTTGTTTATACAATTAGAAGTTATTCTGCAACCTTCATTTCAAAACAAATACGTTATTTCATTATTTTTTGCCTAAAATATGAAATTGAGCCATATGCCTTTATGTTTCAGATCCTTGGTAAAGTCTGTGATAACCTACACGAGAAGGGAATCGAACACCCAAACAACTTCTATGTCCCCACCCACAAGTTTGTTCTCAACCCCAAGTCTATTACTATGGATGAACTGTACGGAGGCATCAATAAGCTCACCCTGGAGTGGAGTGATGGCCTCATGGCTCTCACTGTCAGAAGATGTGTACAGGTAAGTTGTATTAAGGATTTAAGGTAGGCAGATTGGCAGGTGTCATCTCTTGCATATTAACTCTGAACTTTTGCATATAGGCTTGAAACTAGTGTCACAGAGAAATACATGTAAGTCAAAATGTGTCACAAAACCTTTAATAATTGTTCATTAGTCTTCAATTTAGTTGATTAACAATTGTGCTCCTCCAGCATTGGTTATAAACTACCAAGTGAGAGTTACAGTATGCGTGGAAAGCAAATGTTTCAGTGAACTGAAATTTGTATTTTGCAGGACACAACAGAGGACCACCAGTGGGTGATATGTGATGGTCCTGTAGATGCATTGTGGATTGAGAACATGAACACAGTACTGGATGACAACAAGATGTTGTGTCTTGCCAACAGTGAGAGAATCAAGCTGACCAACTTCATACACATGTTGTTTGAGGTTCAGGACCTGGCTGTAGCTTCCCCAGCTACTGTCAGCAGGTGAGATCTCTTGTCTCTCTCTATATACAATAAGATATATGCACTTGAATCACCAAATTAGACTCTGTTCACTGGGAATTGCCTCGCTTGTTTTTTTGATAAATGGACTACTGTAGGTTTAATCATTTTGAGTAAAAAATACTGTAACGTTGCAACTAGTCAATGATATGATTCTAAAATGAAAAAGTACCAAAATATGAGCCTTTATTATTCTTATCATAGATGCGGTATGGTGTACATCGACCCTGGAGAGTTGAAGTGGATGCCATATGTGAAAACCTGGTTTGCTACAGTCTCAGACAAATACAGAGAACCAGAGACAAGAGAATACATCTTGGAGCTTTTCTCTAAATATGTTGATGCTGGGCTTAAGTTTATCAACAAGAAATGCACACAAGCAATAAACCAGGTATGTTAGTGTATTGGTCCATTGGATGTTGATATTTTGCATCGTAAAAGACAGAACCCTTTGTGAATACAGTACAGGGGATCGAGATTGTGAATTTACTGTCTAATTATGATTATGCCTCTGTGAGGCAATGGGAATAACTAACTGTCACACAATGTTTCATCTTCACATTTGAAAAACCAGCACAGTATTGGAAATTCTCTTTCGATTTTTACATTACAATTTGCATGTTTTTCAGGTTGACATAAGTAAGGTGACAACCCTGTGTAAGATGTTTGAAGTGTTGACCACATACAGTGGTGGCCCAGATCTCCGCATGGACCCAGCCAAACTGCATCCATTGCTATGTACAACATTTGTGTTCTGTTATCTGTGGTCACTTGGAGGCAATATTATTGAGTCTAACTGGGACTCCTTTGATACATTCATCAGGGGGCTGTTTGATGACAATGGTGATGCTAAGGTAAGAGAGAAAAATAACTCTAGTGGATGGTACTGCAATAACAAGCACTTAAAAAGTAGAATTTGTGCTGATAAATGAATGCGTTTGATGAAAGGATGAAATGAAGCCTTTTCATCAGGGAATAATCTTGTTTCCTTGAAACTCATAAATGGAATAAAATGTTCATCGTGATAATACCTTGATAATATCAAGTACGTTTGAATCCATTGTATTTCCATTTGTTTCATTTCCAAGTGTGAAGATGTAGGTGGGAATAATTCAATTTGCCTTCAAAGATTGATCATCATGAATAATTTTTCATTGTCCTATGAAAGATGTAAAGAATGTGCAAAGATTCAGGTTTTCAATACACTTATCTGCATCCCTGTTATTTACATTCTCCTTTTTATATTGCCAGATGCCACAACAAGGTGACCTATGGAGCTGTTACATTGACTTTGAGACAAGACGTTTCGATTTATGGGAGAAAATAGTCCCTACATTCAAGTTCAATATTGAGGTCCCCTTCTTTGAGATGGTGGTACCAACTGTTGATACTGTCAGATATGGTTACCTGTTTGAGAAGATGCTGGCCATTAACCACTCTGTGCTGTTCACTGGAAACACTGGAGTAGGAAAGGTAGGGCATCTGCACTGATGAAGTACATGTACATTTAATCTTATGGCATAGCATTGTGCTTTAAATCTTTGTTGACTGTGGTTGTATTATCAGCTCAGGGATTATATTAGTTCCTGTATGCATAAACAGTCAAACTGGTGTATGAGTGGAATGCCTCTGGTTCCCCAAAATAGTGTTCCACTTGGGAGGTGATTCAAATACAGAGGTATTTTACATTAAGTTATGAGAAACAGGAAATGTTCCATTTGGGAGGTGTTCCATTTACAGAGGTGTTTCACTTTACAGATTTTACTGTACTAATAGAATGCATACTTTAGACATTACAATATTTTTTTTCAAATATAGTGACCATTTTTCCAAAAGATGTAAATCAATTGTTTTTGTATGTTGTTACTTTATAGTCTGTGATAGCGAGACAGCACATACAAAACATAGCAGATCGTCAGGGTTATGTTCCAGTTTTCATCAATTTCTCAGCTCAGACCAGCAGTCAAAGAACTCAAGAGATGATTGAAGGGAAACTGGAAAAACGAAGAAAGAATGTTATAGGTGGGTTTATATAATAGATTATGACATAGCATATTAAGCTGGTGTTTTGTTAGAATAATGATTTCTGAAATTCTGAAATTGAATTTTCAATTTTTTAATATTCCATTTACTTTTTCAGGTGCCCCAATAGGGAAGCGTGTAGTGATCTTCGTTGATGACTTGAACATGCCCAAGTTGGACACCTATGGCTCCCAGCCCCCTATAGAATTACTAAGACAGTACCAAGACTTTGGTGGCATGTATGACAGAGAAAAGATGTATTTCAAACATCTTGAGGACGTCATTATATCTGCTGCATGTGCTCCCCCTGGTGGTGGCCGTAACCCTATAACACCAAGATTTGTCCGGCATTTCTCCATGTTGACTATTCCTTCACCCTCTGAGCATAACTTGAAGCACATGTTCATGGCAATAATGACAGGGTTCCTCGTTGATTTCCCTCATTCTGTCCGACAATGTGCTGAACCAATCGTATCAGCCGCTGTTGAGATATATTTCAGAATCAGTACAGACCTCCTCCCGACACCTGCTAAATCTCACTATGTGTTCAACTTGAGGGATCTCTCTAAGGTAACTTAAAAGAAAATTTATGCTACATAAGGGTACTGTTTCATATCAATAGTCTGAATTAATGATAATAATAAATTATCAAATCCTTCTTGTTATTTTAATCAATTTTAAGTAAAATAAAGCATTATTTTGGATAACAATATTATCTTTAAGACAAAACATTTTGGGTATGCTATATATTTATTCTTAACTCATATCCTTTTTCTCTCCCAGGTGATCCAAGGAATGCTACAGGCTGATGTAGGTGTCATTAGAGACAACAAACAGATGTTTAGGTTGTTCTGCCATGAGGCTCAACGTGTGTTTCACGACAGATTAATCAACCATGAAGACAAGTTCTACTTCCATCAGATCATGGCTGAAATGGCTGGGAAACATTTCTCAGAGGTAATTTAATTTCATACAAATGCATACAATCGAAAACATTTGAAGAATTGATAACTAATATGAATTGAGTTGAAAGTAGAATTACTTTTTGAGATCCAGAATTTGGGAGTTAACATTATTTTCAAGGAGAGCTTTTTGAGTGATTCATCGACAGTGGATTATTTCACATTCATACATTAACCCATGTGTTTCCCTATTACAGAACATAGAGGCAGATAGCTTTGTGAAGACCCCTATATTGTTTGGAGATTTCCTGAAGATTGGAGCAGAAGGAGATGACAAAGTATATGAGGAATTCGCTAACATAGAGAAACTACAGGGTGTTCTCCAAGATGTAAGCTCAAAACATTGGAATTATTTTTTCATAAATGTCATGATAAATATCACAATCACTAGTCCATAGAGCACAAAAAGAAGTCATGATTCACAAACACAATCATTTTTAATGTGTTTGTTGACTTTTCAAGCTCAACAACAGAATAGAAATATATATTTAAATCAAAAACGATTTAATGTGTGAAATAAAAACAGATATAATAAGCTCAAATTCTCAACTGACTGTCTTAGTGCTTAAAATAAAAGTCCTCAACGTATGTTATATTATTTCAGTATCTTGATGACTTCAACCTGAGCTCCCAGAAAGAGATGAAGCTTGTATTTTTCATGGATGCTGTTGAGCACATTACACGTATCACACGTATGATAACCCAGCAGCGAGGTAACGCCCTCCTTGTGGGGGTAGGAGGCTGCGGCAAACAGTCACTCACCAGGTAGGGTCAGATTTAATCAATAAAATAATGTTGGTAAATGTCTTTGGGTTGTTTTATTGTGTTATGTTATTATCTTTATAGGACTTATCAAGATTTGTAAAAATATGACTTGGGCTGAAATGTCCTAGTAGGGTTCTACAAGTTGAATAAGCATGATTTCCACAAATTGGTAGGCTGACCATCAATTGTCACTAGTCCTTTTGGAATGCCATGGATAAAAAAGTGATTGTCATTTTAAATGACTGTTTTTTTTTAAATCTGAAATTCTGTCTTTACTCCAGATTGGCCTCTCACATCTGTGGCTACAAGTGTTTCCAAATAGAGCTGAGTAGAGGCTATGGTTACACAGAGTTCCATGATGACTTGAAGAAGTTGTATGACATTGCTGGAGGACAGAACCAGAACACTGTCTTCCTCTTTACTGACACGCAGGTATGTACATTGTGTTGTTTGTAAAGTCTGCCTAATCTGTTATACTTTTGAAGCAAGAGGAATAAGTTGTATGTAAATCCATTTCTCTATGAAAAAAGTTCACATAACTCGGGAATCACATTACTTTCCAAAATAAAATGTTAAGATTTAAATATATTCCCTGTGCATATCTCTAGTTAAACCGCTCTATAATGGTTTCATTAAAATCTAATCTACAACTTCACCAATGTTTTAAGAAATAAACTATTGGATTTAATTAATTTTCTATTTTTAGATTGTGGTAGAGGAATTCCTTGAGGACATCAACAACATATTGAACTCCGGTGAAGTCCCAAATCTCTTTGAGCCTGATGAATATGAACGTCTGATCATAGCATGTCGTCCAGGGGCCAAGGAGGCAGGGATCCCTGAGGGTAACAGAGATGCAATCTTTGAATTCTGCATCAACAGAGTCAGGTATGACCAGTTTCACTTTATCTTAATTTTTAAAAAAGGGTATTTTCACCACTAGCAACACTTTAAATATATGTCTTATGTGATACATTAATATACATCATTAGCAAAAATGTGTCTTAATTGAGTGATTCAAACAACAAAAGTATTTGTACTCAAAAATAATCTTAATTTGCAGAAACAATCTCCACATAGTGTTGTGCATGAGTCCAGTGGGAAGTGCATTCAGGTCTAGGTGTCGTATGTTCCCCTCCCTTGTGAACTGTTGTACAATAGATTGGTTCACTGAGTGGCCAAAGGAGGCTTTACACAGTGTTTCCAAGACTGCATTCTTGGAGGTCAACCTTGGAACTGATGAAATGAAGGTATGGAAAGAAATAAAGTTCTATTCAATACACCTTTAAAACAGGCCAGTATTCACTATAATATAAAAAATTTTATTAAAAAATGAGATGATGCAAATATATTGTAAACACACTTTTAGCGATGTACATCACTTAAACACACTTCTAATTTGTAAATATTCCAACTCATCAAACTGAAGTTTTACTCTCAGAAACTAAATGCACATATGCTAATTAATTAAATGTATATTAATAGTGTTAATGATGATCAATTTATTGTTCACATTATAAAGATATATATGACCATATGTGCTATAATTCCAGAGTCGTGTAGCAGAGATGTGTGTTGATATCCACACTAGTGTTAGTGAGATGGCTGAGAGGTTCTATAATGCTTTGAAGAGACGATATTACACTACACCCACCAGCTACCTTGAACTTATCACATTATACCTAGGGATGCTAAGTGACAAAAAGAGGTAAGGAGCTTTCTTTTTGGAATCCCTATCTTCACTGTTTTGATTATAATTCCAGCTGTATTACCATTAAATTCAGAAAAGTATCTCCTCATCCCTGGAATGAATTTTGTTGTAAATGTTTGGTTGAAAATACTGAATAATATTATAATTGCTTTTGATTTATGTGGACATAGTTAAATATGAAGCATGCAAGGTTCCAAAATTTTAGAAAAATATTTAAATGCGTTTGACTGGTCTGTAGCGATGACAATGTTCCATTGTGTAAAATATCCTCTATACAGAGTTCAGTTTTGCTACAATTTATTTCAATTTACCATGCCAATTTCTCGATCCTTGCTTCATCCCTTCAACTGTAATAAATAAACTGAAATAGATAAATGGCATAATGAAAAATACTTGTGTTACCAGGCAACTAACTGCAGCAAGAGACCGTGTAGCCAATGGTCTCCTGAAGATCAACGAGACAAATGAACTGGTCAAGAAAATGGATGTTGAACTGGTAGCACTACAGCCAGAGTTGAAGAAGAAATCTGCAGCAACTGAGGAGTTGATGGAAAAACTTTCTGTTGACCAGGAGAAGGCTGATGCTGTAAGTAAAATAAATGCTTGAGAACATGGTGAAGTTGATGATAATCATGTGGGCAGGGTTAAAATAGGCAATAAAGGTGGATGAAAAACAAATTGTTGTGATACTCTAGAGTTTAACTGAACAATATCATTACTGCTAAAAAAATGAGAAAAAAATGTCACAAACACTTGTGCATGCTTCTACATTCAGGTACGAAAAGTAGTCATGGAAGATGAAGCTGTTGCCAAAGTGAAAGCCGAGGAGACTCAAGCAATTGCAGATGATGCCCAGCGTGACTTGGATGAAGCCCTCCCTGCGCTAGAAGCTGCTGTAAAAGCCCTGGATGCCCTGGACAAATCAGATATTTCTGAGATCAGGGTGTTTACTACACCCCCACAAATGGTACAGACTGTCATGGAGGCTGTATGCCTCCTACTTGGACAAAAGTAAGCTGCCATTGTATAAATGTTCTCTGCCTCTGTTTTTGCCTGTTCTTTTGTATTTCAGTTATGTGGAAAAGAGTTTAGTTAGTTACATGAAATTTTAAGTATTTTGGAAATGTTAGATGTTTACAATATTTTGACCATCACTCATTCATTAACTTTGAATTAAACCTTTGTGTAACACGTAACTTTTTTCGTTTTTCAGGAGTGATTGGGCTAGCGCTAAAGTTGTCCTTGGAGACTCTAAATTTTTGGAAAAGTTATATAACTATGATAAGGACCACATTCCTGATAAAATGGTAAAAGCTCTTAAAAAATACATAGACAATCCTAAGTTTGTCCCAGATGAAGTTGCCAAGGTCTCTAAAGCCTGTAAGTCTATGTGCATGTGGGTACGTGCCATGGATGTATATGCACGTGTTTTCAAAACTGTCGAGCCCAAGAAAGCCAAACTAGCTGCTGCACAATCAGAGCTTGAACAGACAATGAAACTATTGAAAGAGAAACAGGAGAAACTTGCATCTGTTGAAGCTAAGATTGCTGAGTTGCAAAAATCATATGATGACAGTGTTGCCGAAAAGCAGTCATTGGAGAAAAATATAAATTTGACACAAGCCAGATTGAAGCGTGCTGGGAAATTGACATCCTCCTTGGCCGATGAGAAATTGCGATGGGAAGAAAATGTCAAGGTTTGTTATTATTCATTAAGGCGGTGCAAATAGAATAATTAAATTAGTCTTGGATTAAGTCAGCCTCTGTTAAGTTTGATATTGATATATAAACTTGAGTATCAAGTAGAAAAAATTGAAATACTAACTCTAGAAAGTAAAAAGAATCATTTGGTGTTCAGAAATGCTGTTATATTTTATCTTGTTTTTCCTTTCAGGAATTTAATGCCCAGATAGGAAATGTTATTGGTAATGTGTTTGTGTCTGCTGCCTGTGTAGCTTATTATGGCGCCTTTACCAGCACATATCGGGCAGAATTAGTACAACATTGGACCAGTAGATGTCAGGAGCTGGAGATTCCTGTCAGTGATGACATGACATTGATTAGTGTCCTAGCTGATCCATTTGAGATCCGACAATGGAATGTAGACGGTTTACCCAGAGATCAGCTATCTATTGAAAATGCGATTCTTGTGACAAAAGGTCGACGTTGGCCACTCATGATTGACCCTCAGGAACAGGTGCGTAACAAATGAATCGGGTCTCACAACATTAATGTGTTCTGACCTTTAAAGCAGTTTTCAATCTTATTTGGAAAAATATTCTCTACAGTATTATTTCATCTCATAAACCTGTCAATTATGTCAAAATCTAAACCACTTTTAAACCAAATTAAAACCTCTGAATATTATAATGTATATAAGGATGTTGGCTGGAATGATTTTCTATACTTCCCTATTGTAATATTGCAGGCTAACAGATGGATTAGGAATAGAGAGATGCGTAATGGTCTGAAGATTATCAAGCTGACAGATGGTAACTTCCTGAGAACACTTGAGAACTGCATTAGGATTGGAATGCCTGTGTTGCTAGAAGATATAGGAGAGTTCCTTGACCCATCCCTCGAGCCTGTACTCCTAAAACAAACATTCATGTCTGTAAGTTGTGGGTCTTCTTAACCTCCTTTGTTTTACAGGCACTCATGTAAAAATATGTCATAGCTCACACCCAGAGTTCACACTGACATAAACAAAAACCTCTACTTCTGAGATAAGTTATTTCCAAAATGTAGAGCAGGTTCATTAATCATAATCCTCAATGGAGTAGAATTTACAACAGAAAACAAACCTGTTATTCATCAATGTAGTTTACAGCAAGTAAAAGTCTGTTGAAGCTAGTTCAAGAATGTGCTAATTTCAAACATCGATTAGTGATACTAAAAACAGTATTGATTACACTTCAAGTGTCCTGCATTTTCTAGGTTATGGCAATGTTTTTATCCATTTTCTTGATGTTTCCAGGGAGGTCGCCTGTTGATAAGACTGGGAGATAGTGACATTGAGTATGACAAGAACTTCAGATTTTATATGACCAGCAAAATGGCCAATCCCCACTACCTGCCTGAGGTGTGCATCAAGGTGACAATCATCAACTTTACTGTCACAAAGACTGGACTTGAAGACCAGTTGCTCAGGTATATGTTATGTTATGTACTCATTGGCATCGACTATTGTTAATGCTTCTCAAAATGATTTTAATTATCTACTATAGTTACTTTTTGAAGTACATGTACATGCGATTTTATATGCATAGTTTTGTTTCCCTGAACCATCAAATGATCCATGTCTGTTATTTTTTCAATCTACCATGATAATGAACATACAATTATAAAGAACAAATTTATTGGAATGCAAACTTTGTATTAACTCTCTTATATTTAATACAATACAATACAATACAATACATATAGCATACAATCAGAGTCTAATTAGTGATGTTTGACCTAATTGACTGTGCATGTGCATTTGTGCATTTGAGAGGAAAGTAGGAAATAAACTTACTGATGTATAATGCCAGTTCCTTATTCCAGTGATGTTGTGAGTCTAGAAAGGCCAGATCTTGAGGAGCAGAGAAGCAAACTGATTGTTGCCATTAATGCTGACAAGAACCAACTCAAAGCTATAGAGGACCGCATTTTAAAACTCCTCTTTGAATCTGAAGGTACATTTTTAATATTATAATGGAAGTATTTTTTATCCATGGCATGGTCACTATGATGATTTGTTTAACTATAATCAAAACTACAGTATGGTAAAATATTCCAATGTTTGTAAAGCTCCGCATTTTTTTTTCTTTGTTAGACATCCAATGTTATGATTATGCAAGTTCTAGCATTGGTCTTTACAGTGTACAGTGTGCCCTAAAATTGACAATTTTTCCCTTGAACAATTTCTTTATTTAATAATATATTTAACGTATGTTTGTTTGCAGGAAATATCTTGGATAATGAAGAGCTGATAAGTACACTGAATGACTCTAAAGTGACTTCTAGTGTCATCAACAAACGTTTGGCAGAGGCTGAAGTAACTGAGGAGAAGATCGCAACTGCACGTGAGAAGTACCGTCTTGTAGCCACACGTGGCTCTGTCATGTACTTTGTGGTAGCAGATATGGGAGAAGTTGACCCCATGTACCAGTTCTCACTGAAATACTTCAAGAATCTCTTCAATAATACAATTGAGGCTAGCGAGAAATCTGACGATCTCATGAAAAGATTAAACATTTGTTTGGATGCTACAACTATTGCAGTGTACCAGAATGTTGCGAGAGGATTATTTGAGAGACATAAACTGATTTATTCGTTCCTAATGTGTGTAGAGATAATGAAACAAGCTGGGAAGATAACTGATGACGAGTGGAATTTCTTCCTGAGAGGTGCAGCTGGTATGGACAAGGTAAGAAGGATATTGAGTAAATCACTTATTAATAATATGCTTTGTTAAAATTGTTTGAATCGTCACCCAGTTGTTGTAATAGGGCACAATTTGCAACAAAAGAGACATTAGCAAGAAAAGGAAAAGTGATGCCATAAACATGGCAAAGCTAAAATTTAAAGAATTGTATTAGCACTACATCCCTACATCTAGTCACCCTACTATCAGGACAACTTATTTGTATGTTTCACCAGCACGTGTAGCTCTATGTTAAAGTTGCATGCAATGTAGTGAATTTTATAACTGATGTATTTCCTACATTCACCTTCCCTCACTTTATTGTACATTATGGCATGTAGAGTAGTAGATATATGTTCACTCCCATTTTTACCTGTTCACTATGTAGGATCGTCCACCCAAGCCAGACGAGGCTTGGCTTACACAGCCCCAGTGGAATCTAATCTGTGATTTAGAGGACAATTTAAAATGCTTCAAAGGCATCAGAAAGGACATAACAGCCACACCTGTATGGTGTAAGATTGGACAAGTTGAGGTAAGGCACAACCAAATATTGTGTCCATTCACAGTCACAATGTATATATTTGAGCAGGTTTACTTTGTTTCTGCTCTATATGATTGAACCACCATTGCATTTCTGCAGTTTAAACTAAATCTCAAGGTATATATATATATACTTTTTTCTTGCACTATCTATATGTCATATTAACAGCACATTACCCAATACTTCAGATCCATGGTAATCCAGATGAGTCTCCCAATTATGGTCCCCTACCCCCAGAACCCACTCCCCCTGAGCCACCCAAGGAGGGTGAGGAGCCAAAGAAAGAGCAGGACGATGGAAAGGTCAAAGGTCATTGGGATAAACGCCTGACATCTTTCCAGAAGCTTATCATGATTAAAAACTTTAAAGAAGAAAAGGTAAAAAACTTTTAACTTTAAAGTGTACTAAAATTAATTGAAATGTGGCATAAACAAATAAAAAACAGTATTCTGTTTGCGAAGCATATACATATAAATACATTTTAAAATGAAATAAATAAATAACAATAAGGCTTAAAACATAAAGTCCAATATTCACGTAGTGCAATTTGAAATGCTCTGGTTCGATATGTAAAAACTCTTTTTCAGGTGACATTTGCTGTAACTGAGTTTGTACGTGAAAATCTTGGTCAGCAGTTTGTTGAGAGTCCTGATACATCCCTACAGACACTCTACGCAGACATGAACAAAGTGACTCCTCTGGTGTTTGTTCTGAGTACAGGCTCTGACCCCATGGGAGCCTTCCTGAGGTTTGCCAAAGAGATGGGTTTCTCAGAGAGGACCCAAGCAATATCTTTAGGTCAAGGACAGGGGCCTGTTGCTGAAAAGCTTATAGCATCTGCTATTAAGAATGGAGAATGGGTCTTCTTACAGGTAAGCTTCTTTTCAGAAATCAAATAATAGAGGTGTACGCGATAGTTCAGAATGATAAGGTGTCACTCCTGTAAATAGCACTTCCGGGTAGGACAGTGTTTTTTAATACTTTAAAAACGAAGCGATGCCAACTTCAATGGTGTGTATAGTAGGTTTAAGTGTTTGCAATGTGGCCATTTGAGGTATGTCTGTAAAGCTGAGGCCAAGTACTTTCTAAATGTGCCATTTTAAGAAAACAATCGCAAGAATATAGTCCCGTAAACTGGAACTACTTTATTCGTTAATTTTCATCGGTGAAGCAGGGATTTTACCTAAAAATGAGTCCCTTTGTTGGCGTAGTGATATTTAAAAATTGAGACGCAAACCCTATGTTAAATATAGTGTCAAGATGAAGGTTATATATAGGGGAACGCAGAAATATAGTCATTGTATGGGCTAGTTCGTTCGAAAATGGCTATATGTACCCCAGAACTTGAATTTTGTGATTTTTTCAATGATTTACCGTAGTGACACCTTAAAAACAGTATTCTCACCTCCTCTGTTGAAGAGCTCCAATTCCGGGAACAGATTTTTTACATCTGGGTTTTTTCCCCATTGAAATATACTGAGTCCGATTTTGAATACATAATTTCACCATTATTTGACATTCCTCTTCACGGATGTTTGCACAATCGATAAAAATATAGGTCCTTATGGCAATCTGCAAAGCGTTTTCACGAATATTTTTCAAAACTGACGATAATCATGAAATATTCTATGGTGACGCCACCGACTTAGTTCCCGGAAGCTGAGACTCGATGACTCAATATGAAAAAGAAGCAAGTTCTCTTGTATATAAACGCGGGTTTGATGTCATGTTTATATATGTTTGACTTATTATATATAAATTGTGAGGTTTGTAACTTGAAATTAGTATGACCTTTATCGTCCCTACAATACGCAAAAACATGATTTTAAGGTTGGGAGAATTTGGTGATGCATTGCGGGAGATATTTATGTTAATGACCATTTTTTGTCTATCGCATATTTGTCTATTGTGACCATTTTTTGTTGACTTTTGGACCTTATAATGTAAACAAGGATTCCATTTTAAAAATAGAAGTACAATAGTCATTTGGACAACCCAAACTTGAATATAAGCAATATTTCTAAGATGTTCATTATATGGTATTTAAGTAAAAAATACAATGACTGTATTTCATTTCAGAACTGTCATTTGGCAGCTTCATGGATGTTGGCAATGGAGAACCTTGTCAAAGAAATATCAGAAGACCCAAAAGAAATCCATGATGAGTACCGCCTCTTCCTCAGCTCAATGCCTGCCAAGTCATTCCCTGTTAGTGTCCTTCAGAACAGTGTGAAGGTCACCAATGAGCCCCCTAAGGGCCTGAGAGCCAACACCAGGAGAGCATTCACAGAGATCACCCCTACCTACTTTGAAGAGAATATTCTGGGCATCAACTGGAGGAAGATTGTATTTGGAATATGTTTCTTCCATGCTATTATTCAAGAGAGGAAGAAGTTTGGACCACTAGGATGGAATATTAAGGTAAAATAAAAAATACCACATGTCTCAAAAGGAGACAAGTTAAGCTGTCATAAAGTATATATAAGATGGGAACCTTACATTCACCTTTTCTTTTCAACAAGTTCAAAACTGAAATATAAAAACAGATTACGGCGTACAGTAAAAGCTCTAAAGTGGAACACCTCTGTAAGGGAACACCTCCATAAGTGGAACATGTCTGTGAGTGCAACAACTGAAATTCCTGTTACCTTATCTTAGATAAAATGAACATCTGAAAGTGGAACATCTCCCAGGCAGAACACTATTGAGGTTCCAAAAGTGTTCCACTTACACAGGTTTTTCCCATATCTTCAATGTTTCCTTCGCCTTCATTGTTCATTCTTATGTCTTTTCCAGTATGAGTTCAGTGACAGTGATAGAGAGTGTGCATTGATGAACCTACAGATGTTCTGTGCTGATGGGGAGATACCCTGGGATTCTCTTATATACATCACTGGAGAGGTAAGTCTGGGGGAGGTCAAATGATTATTGTATTTCTTCTACAAGATTAAAATTAAAATATGTTCAGATTGATCTTCTGTTACCTTCTTGAATACTATACAGGTGACAGTTTTGTAACATCTTGGTATTTTCTTAAAATAAATATTAAGTACCCAAACTTAGGAAATTTTCTGTACTTTCAGATCACATATGGTGGGCGTGTAACTGACTCTTGGGATCAGCGATGTCTAAGAACTGTGTTGAGACGATTCTTCAAGCCAGAAACTGTAGAAGATGGTTATCTGTACTCTGAATCAGGTACAGTAAATTATCTTGCATTCGGACATGAAAAGTAAAAGAAAATGTTACTTTTAAAAAGTCAATGTTGGGAACACAGGAAAATGTGATCTTCTTAAAATATTTTTTGAAAATATGTAAAAAATTATGCTTTTCAAAACAAAATGAAAATTTTGAGATCATGGAAGATTTTTAAAATTGAGTAAAATAGTGCTAAGATATTTTTCTGCCAAATGAATTATAGTACGAATACAGCCAAGTCAAAGCATAATGTAAATATATCTGATTCTTTGACTTCTTTTTCTAGGAACTTATTATGCACCTGTGCTAGACACACTGGCAGAGTACTGCAAGTATATTGAGGGACTGCCCATCATTGATGATCCTGAGATCTTTGGCATGCATGAAAATGCCAACATTGCATTCCAGGTCAGTAGTTTATTAATGTTTTATTTTTTACAAATGTCAATTACATACATGTACATGAAAAAGATTTGAACCAAAGTTTAACCAAAATAGTTAGTTTGATTTCTCAACATGGCTTCAAATTAATTGTTGAAGGAGCATAAAATAAAGAAAAATAAAAGTTATAATAGTAGTATATCTGATGAATGAGCCATGTAACTCGATATTTGTTCTCAATTCTGAAAAATACATATCCAGCTTTTATTAACAGATGAATACTGTTTATTTTAGACTGAAGAAACAAACACAATGATAACTACAATCTTAGATGTGCAGCCCAGGATGTCTAGTGGAGGCTCAGGGAAATCTAATGATGATATAGTCTATGAGTTAGCTGATAGTATCCTGGACAAACTAATGGACAAGTTGGATATAGATACTGGCTACCAAGACCAGTTTGATGTATGTATATGAAATATTTGGAAGAATCAATCATAAATGAACAATGAGTCTTATATTCCAAATTACATTTTGAGATAAATGAAAAAAGTATTAACATTTATTGTACATATCACTTTTAATTGATTTTATTTACTATTTGGCCATGCAGAATGTGCACACATATGTGAGACAGTGTTATTTTTGCCATTTCACATATAAAGATAAAAGTGATATCTTAGCAGTGAATGGAATGGACATTTAGTCTGAACCAAATTCCAACATCATGCTCCGAAATCTATATGATTGTTCGGACTGTCTTTCTGTTGCATCCCATGCTAACTATGATGACATACTTTCGATTTAACTTAATATCTAAGTATTTTTAATTGTATTTCTTCCAGCCTGACGATCAAGGACGTGTCAACTCAATCACTACAGTACTTACCCAAGAAATCGACCGATTTAATAAACTCCTTGTTGTTATTAAAAACTCATTAGTCCAATTGAAGAAGGCCATTAAAGGTTTTGTAGTGATGAGTGAGGAACTGGAAAGTATCTACACAGCATTCTTGAACAGCCAAGTACCCGATCTATGGTCCAGTGCTGCCTACCCCTCCCTAAAGCCCCTGGGCAGTTGGGTGAAAGACCTTATACTTAGACTGGCCTTTATTGATCACTGGTTGAAACATGGACCTCCAAAGTCTTTCTGGCTCTCTGGTTTCTTCTACACTCAAGGTATGTACATTTGATAAAAATGACTATATAGCTACAAAAAATGTGTTGTGTGTGATCATATGGTCTTTCTGAGTCTAGTAAACCTAATAGTGTGCTACCTGATTACAAGATTCAAATTCTTAAAGTTGTTCTACACAAGATTTTACAGGGTATGTGTGCTAATTCATAATGAACTTATAATCTTAAAATGTTATCATCTTAATAGACTGGAATGAGAAAATTTCATGGAAATTCAATTCTGCCACATTATTTCAGGATTCTTGACTGGAACTCTACAGGTTCATGCCAGGCAATATAACCTACCTATAGATCATTTGAGTTTCCACTTCCATCCTATGCCACATTTCCGAGAACAAGAGGCAGTGGCTGAGCAATTGGCTGCACTATCATTTGGAGAAGAAATGGAAATGGATAAAGAGGTAAAGACTTGTTCTAGTATACAAAAAAACAAAATAATGTTCAAGTTAATCAATTGTGCAATGTTAATTGATTCTTGCTCCACTTAAGTGCAGTATTCATTGATCAACCTGCAACATGGTATTTGCATGTATGATAAGTTCGCATATAATATATTAAACTCTATCACTATATTGAATCATTCATCACTATAATTAACATTTCAAATAAGAATAAATATATTAAAAGTGAAACATATATGGAGATTCTAATTTTAATATTGTATTATTAGGTTGACAAGCCAAAGGATGGTGTACTTATTCATGGTTTATTCATGGATGGGTTCCGCTGGGACAGTGAGAATAATGTAGTGATTGACTCACTAAAGGGAGAGATGACATCCAAGCTACCAATGTTACATATGGAACCTGCCATGGACTTCGAACCTCCAGCTGAGGATTACATAGCACCCTTGTATAAGACCAGTCTCAGGGCTGGCACTCTATCAACTACTGGTAAGTCATCTAAGCCTTCACTATCATAGGCTCAAGCACATGTATAGAAAATTGAGTCGAATACATCAAGAGATTACTTTAGTATTCTTGCATAATTTTTGTTGAGGAGTTAAGTATTGAGTGGGTGTGTCAGTATTAAAGAGCATTGGCATGGTCAGATGAGTTTACTTTTGTACAGATTAGTCTACTATTTTGTACACCAGTGTTTTATTTTTGAGTTTCTATTAAATAATTTTTTTATATTTATATTTGTAAATCAGACATTATAAGATGTAATTATATTTTCATAAAGAGTTTAGTCATAAATTGTCAGTATTGGATTATTCAAAATGATACTTGTGTTTTCAGGTCACTCTACAAACTTCGTAGTTGCAGTCCACTTACCGTCCAAAGAACCTCAGGATTACTGGATATCTAAGGGTTCTGCCTTACTCACTGCATTAAGTGAATAGACAACACAACGTACAATCACACATTGCATCAAACAATCTACAAATGATCTACAGTCACCGGTTTAACACTAAAATGTATAAATATTTGGATTATTGTATGAGGGACTTTCATATCGTACTAATAATGTACGAGGGTGATTCATAAGAAGGGAGATGTAATGTAGCTTCACTTATAATTCTTGCTCCAAATGGGTTCACGCATGATTTAAGTATCCAGGAATCCTAATAGAGAGAATTCTCGATTGTGGTCTGCTTTGATTGTATGCATTGTGATTCTATTTTGTCATTTGTAAGTTCACCTATTGTAGTGAAGTTTGCATGTAAATATAGGACAATCAAACAAACTGTGTACATAGTGTAATATATACAGTATAGGAAAAACTATTTTTATGTATCTTTCTTTGATATATATTATAACTTATCTACTATCTATACATTTATTGTATATTTTAAAGTTGTTGCACTCAAAAATAATGTTATTTTGCATCTTTTTAATATATTTTCATTCCATCCATATTTTTCCGTCCAACAATTTTATCGTTTAGAGATAAAACATGATTAACAGTACTCTGTTTTTGAAGTATTATTAGAATATCTGCTGAGTATTTTTATGTCTATTAAAATGTTATAATAGATTTATTGATGCAGACTGTGATAATTTTGTACATAAAATGAGTGATATTTCTAACATTGAACTTGTAAATAAGTGAACATTTCCATATGGAAGTATTATATTTCATATGGTAGTATAATGTACCACAATATTGCACAAAAATCCGTCCAGATTGTATAAACTTGTGTAAAAATATTGCTGAAATAAAGTTGTGCTATAAAAGTACCTCTATTGTATTTGTGAATATAGCTTTAGGGTCAGTTCTTTTAGTCATTTTGACCTACTTTCATTCAGTGCTGGATATAACAGCTATTAATTTAGCAGCAGGGGTGTATAAGTAAATGTCATTATAGATCAGGGTGTTTCATGTTAAAAGTATATGGTACTGAGTATCATGATTTTAAAAGATCACAGAGAAAGATTAAAGCTATAAATTATGTTTGAATTTATGTCTTAGGCTGGTAGAATTAAATGGAGTTAAAAATCTAAAATCCACCTTATGCACCAAAACAATTACAAATGCAGGTACAAGTACAAGGCATTTAGATGCAAAATGTCACCAATTGCCATTTGTTACAGACGCCAACTGCAGAACTTGGAACACATAAAAGTTGGAGACTATAACAATATGTCACCATTTCTTGAGATGACATAATAAAATATAGATGTAATATATTAACTTTTCTCCCCTCCCCTCCCCATATCAAAATCAGCTTTTACATAAATAACCAAATTATAAGTTAATAAGTAGTTGATGGACTGTAAACTTGACAAACTGTATAGTAGCTGTAAATGTGGGAAGCAGAATTTACCCAATCCACCAAATAGTGAAAAAATGAAAACAAGCTAAATTGCTGAGGGTTTTGGTGAATCCGGGCATAAGATAGAGAACCCATTAGCCTTGCCCAAGTCGGTATTTTTACTTATCCTGATACTTATCCTGAATTGTCATTATAGAAATCAAGATAAGTAAAAGAGACCGACTTGGGCAAGCCAAAGAACCCATGGTTAATTTAATATCTTTGATATGACCAATCAGAAGAAAATGAGTCAATCATTCAAAACTTCTTACCTCAAGATTATTAAAAAACTCAATAGTGTCACACTCTACACAATTTTGATCCAAATGACAAACGTTTTTTTTTATTTGTATCTTTTATTTCAAAAAATGTGTTGCATATTTATGCAAACAATAATAAATAGTCAATATATTTACAACAATAAGCATTGAGATACAATTTGGCATAATGAAAATATTTCAAAATGATACTGATAAGAATTCAAGAGTTTAAATATCATGGACTGCTCAGTTATCTGTAATTTCATACCACATTTGAATGTCCTTGGAAATTGTGTTATTGTTTCTATGGTGAGCGTCAATGTACATGCCTTGTAGCCAATCAGAATCAATAGCGATGAGCATAATGTTTGGCCAAGATATAATATTCAAGTGACCAATAGATGAGATATAAAAAGTCTATTTTGCAAGGAAGAGGATCTCGTTGTGTCTGTCCAAGAACCTGAAAGGACTGTCATAGCCAGCTGTGTAGTACATATCAGAGCGGAAGGCATTAGGGTTGTTGATTGCAGCTGCGAGCATACTTGCTTGATTGAGAAAATCCATTTCAGTTGCATATCCTGAGAAAGACCTGCAATGAGAAAGCAAATTATAGACGTTTACCATTTGTAAGACATTGATGTTTAATATGTTTATTTTATTTCAACAATTGTACAAATGTGATGTGATGTATATATTAATGAGTGAAATTCAGCAATTTTGTGTTCACAATTTGTACACGGTTTCTGTTTCAATTCTTTTAATGTCGCCCTTAGTGCTGTAAACATTATATGAAATTGTGAAATTCTTAATTGTGTTCAAGCTCATGATTGTAATTAATCCAAAAACGTATTATCCCATTATCTCGATCAATTGTACAAGGCAAGGCATGTGGGTTCAATGCAAACGTATTTAAGTACCCACCTGACGAACATTGTTACTTTAGGTAGCACTTGGAGATACACATCCTTATCAGTTGGGGCGGGGCCCCCGCTCTTCTGCATATTAAAAGGTTGGTAGAATGAGGTGGTGAAGTTGCTCTCACAGGCAGGTCCCTGTCCGGGGATGATTGTTCCCAATACAGGAGCTGTCATGGGAATCTTTGCGTCTAAAATTAAATGTTTCATCCATTTATTTTTGTTTTATTGATTGAATCGAACAATATTCCTGGTTGGTAGGTCTTCGTATATGATAAGCAATAAGTAGATAAAAGTTGGAAAATATGAGTAAGATAGTTGAGATCTCTGGTCACTTAAAAGGCATCATTGAAATTGAAACATGGAGGAGTTCGTGCCAATCAATCCTCTAAGAATCAAGACATGTCATTCAAAAATTAAAGCTTTCAGACTTTTAAGAGAATGACACGAGGAAACTGTGGCAATTTTTCGAGGCTAATCTTGGTTACCTCTTAACAAAGAAATGATTAGACTTACTGGCTGCGTTGTTTCCTGAGATGTAGTTGAAAAGACGACGGAAGCCAAGGCTACCAGCTTTGTCGTAATCCATGTCGTATACATCAGTGCTTGCCCATCGAGATTCCTCATACTCACGGACCTCGTATTCCTGAAAAATAAATGATGACATTACTAGAGTATCTGGTTTGATTGTAAGAATTCAACACACCGCAACTGAGCATAGTTCTTATCATTATTTGCTGTATTTCATTATAATGATTAACTCTATCCAACTACATGGTATTCATCGTTTTACCAATTGCAAAATTACAAATTACCAAACAATTTATTTGACTTTGTAGAAATGTCCTGCATTTTTGATGAAAAGCTAAAGAAAACTTACATCTGTTGTTTTGAGCACTTTGAAACGTGGGCAATCAAGTTTGTTGCAGAACTTGGGCACGTCAGCCATAGCGGCAGCGGCCAGTAGAGTGATCAGTGCGAGTTTGTACATGATGACTGTGGATTTGATGGAATGCTGTAATATCAAATGAAAAATATTTTATGCAACTTTTTTCGTTGTTCAATAATTATCTTTAAGATACATGTCATACAAACAAAAATGGGTTATATAAGAATAAAATTAAGATAGTATAAAACTTAATGTAGAAAATGCTGAATGTATACATGCATTTCTCTTTTTTACATATTTTTTCCTTTATTTAAAGTTTTTTTCCAATTAATCTCAGCAAGAAGTAGTATAGTGAACAAGCCATTCTTTTATAACAAAATATTGTAGTTAAATGCTTTATTCATGTATATCCAGAAGGATATCCAGCGGATTAGTTATTGTATAAAATATATGTCATATTACTGCTGAATAAAAAAAGTAAAGAGGTATAATAGAATACACATACAGAATATAGAACAAAAAAAATAGTTCTGAAAATGTATATTGTAATAATTGTAATAGTTAACATCGAATAAAACCAAAATTTCCCTTTAATCAGTCAATGGTTAATAAGTTCAAACTTACCTTTTAGAACTCTCCAGTTGCTTGTGATTTTCGACCAAGCGATCTCACTCTTTATACTCCTTCATTATAAAACAAAGATCGATCTTATAGTTAAGAAAGTTCTATAATACCCATTGTTTAAGAAATTCACATGTTCATCACTGTCGTGAAAATAAAAGTACTTCTTATCATTGTTAAAGTAAATGTTAAGTAAGATAAGTTGAGGCTGATGCTCTATAGTACATTTCATCAAAATAAGCTCAAATAGATTGTTCAATCTGTTTGACTGTTTAGTGTAAAATGGATTGTAGCATTCGGACATATTATGACAATTAAGACGAGGACAATGAACTCCACACAATCCAGCAAAGACTAATTCATCAATCAAAAGACCAGCATCCAAATTGTTCCCTTAACCCTTTGACTTTCTCAGATTAAAAAGCACCTATAAATGGTTTTGTTGTGTTGAACCCTAAAGATCCTAAACGAAGCTATAGGACAAATCTAGCGGAATCGAGTTTGGAAAAAACGATCCTCCCAAAGATGAATAACTTGCGAACAACGGTGAAACTATTTTTACCGGATATTTGTAGACAAAGAGGAGAATTATATGAAGTTGTGTAATACAAGTATTTGTGTTTTCAGATAATTTGACGCACAAAGCAGATTTTATGACAAGGTGTGATCAAATAATGGTAATTTTGCATTTTTAAAGTACAGGGTGTCAAATAAATATGTTGTCCCCTCATTGAGGTGTTAGAACACCTACCGAATTTTGATAATGAACTGAACAGAATGAAAAAGTTACACCTGAAGCAAAAATTGAAGGTTTGCAATTTAAACCTTAATGGACCCAAGCATATATAGGGACTTTCCCATATAATGTCAGATGTATAGTATGTCCTACTGGAAAGGGAATCCGGTGGAACTCATTATTCCCATGAAACCCTCCCGAGATGTATTAAGAAGACACTTTGATGCTTTACAAATGCAAAAGAAGTTGCCATTTGTATTTAATACATTTATAATTCTCGTGCCTTGCTCTATAAAATAGTGGTTATTCAAAAAAAACGGGTTACCTTCAACCATGATACCTAAATTTCTACCCTGTTGCTTTCTTTTTTATGTTAGAGTCACGGGGTGCCATCGAATAATTTTGGCAACGTACCGGAGAACGACATTTTACTAAGAAATGGCAATAATTTAGCACAATATATTTTTTAACTCGAGTTCTACTTTGATTTTGACAAAAGTAAGTATTCCGTGCAATGGCTATTTCATTCATGAGTTTGAAGGAATTCTGTTGGAACCCAGTTCTGATCAAATACGAAGTTATTGAAATCGGCGCAGTCGGACTTTACTCCGAAAGATGGTTTTTCGATTATAACTTTTTACAACATTTAAGTATAGACTTTTGAAAAAAGTACAGAATAGTCCTTATACTATTGAATAATTCTGTTATTTCTGATTCACACGACTCTGATTTGTTTAATTAAAAAAAAAGTTTTAAAAATATTACTTAGGAACGTAACCGGAGCTGGGAACGTAACCGGAGCAGATCAGTTGAATTATATAATTTAAAAAAATACAATATATGATTTAAAGCATATATATTATTTACAAACACATATGAATATTAAAATGAGCATTTATTACCCTTCACTTACAGGAAAATCAATGCATGGCAATTAGTATAAATTAGAAATTAATTAGAAATTAGTATAACAGAGTGGGTTCTAATAGTTCGCTGAACAAATACAATGGGTGAAATCAAATGGAATTATTTGCTTACTACATTTAATCACTTCATTCTCCATACAATGATTGTTCTATGTTTGATAGCCTTTCTAAGGTAAGTGCACTTATGCATGGTAAATACCAAATTTAATTTTTCACAATGGATACTTTTTTTTCTTTAAATAAAATGTAATAAATACGCATTCGAACAATCCCGTATGTTTTTAAATTAGTATATGTGCTTTAAATCTGTAACGGGGCGAGTGTAAGGCCCGTGGGTGGCAAATAAAAGTAACAGATAACTAAAGTTAAAATATATAAAATAGTCTATTTCAAATAAACTTCAAACGTTCTCTGTACAATCTACATTATCATCTAACTCTAAGCAACCACTGAGGCTGGGCCAACACCCAAACTCAGCTACATGTGAGTGAATGCTATAATATGGAATACAAAAACACAGTACGAAACAATCACACCATGAAAAGCTAAAAATTGCTTTAAATAAAGGAAGATAAAGTAGAAAGTATACAAAAGAATTGAAAACATTGGAATTAAATATTTGAAACACTGGTGTAAAGTAATGAAGGGACCTGTTAAAATGACATGGATGGGGATTGGTCAATATGAAAAGTAGAAATATAAACAATGTGAAAATGACCATGTTACAAATCATATATTTTAATTTTTTGATTAAATAATTCAACTGATCTGCTCCGGTTACGTTCCCAGCTCCGGTTACGTTCCTAAGTAATATTTTTAAAACTTTTTTTTTAATTAAACAAATCAGAGTTGTGTGAATCAGAAATAACAGAATTATTCAAAAGTATAAGGACTATTCTGTACTTTTTTCAAAAGTCTATACTTAAATGTTGTGAAAAGTTATAATCGAAAAACCATCTTTCGGAGTAAAGTCCGTCTGCGCCGATTTCAATAACTTCGTACTTGATCAGAACTGGGTTCCAACAGAATTCCTACAAACTCATGAATGAAATAGTTATTGCATGGAATACTTACTTTTGTCAAAATCAAAATAGAACTCTAGTTAAAAATATATTGTGCTAAATTATTGCCATTTCTTAGTAAAATGTCGTTCTCCGGTACGTTGCCAAAATTATTCGATGGCACCCCGTGAGAGTGTAAAAGTTGAAAGAAAAGAAAAATATATTGGCGCCGGATTACATAATTTAGGAACGATTTATTTCGTGTAAGTATGACCCTAGATCAACATAGAATTCTTTGAGCATAGTTGATAAACAACACGTGGTCACGTTATTTACACGTACATTGCTTTCACATCAGGGATGAACATGTGAATGTATTATCTTATACAACTTTCTTAAAGAAAGGTTTCATAAGATTCTATTTCATAATGGATATGCCTATAAAAGAAAAATAATTTTGTTGGAAATCACTCTCAACGGAAGCCCTGAAGGTGAGTCGAGTTGAAACTTATTCAATGCATCAACTGATTAAGGGAAATTGTTTCATTTCTGTTCTTCATTTCAAAATAGTTGAAAGAATTTATATATTATAAACAGTAAGTCATTTTTGGTGTTATTGATACGAGAAAGATTTGAATTTGTAAAGAGTGTGAGAAACAACAGTGCCTCATATTTCCATTTTGATTCTAAGATATTTTTTATGGAATATCCCATTGCGGGCTAAATATGAATTTAATAATACAAAAATCAAGTGAAAGATATGATGCATGTTCTCATAAGATTGTGTTTGAATGTTTTACAGCATACACAGCAGACTATTTTCCATCGAGGATTTATCAAAACCCCGTCATCATGTACAAACTCGCTCTGATCGTTCTACTGGCCGCCGTCGCTATGGCTGACGTGCCAAGCTTCTGCAACAGACTCGATTGCCCACGTTTCAAAGTCCTCAGAACAACAGATGTAAGTCACTTTAGTTCCATAATTATCTAATTGATTTAATTTGTTCATTCTTGTTAAAATGCAGATTCGTATTTTCAAAAATTAATTTGATAGAATTCGTATTTTCAAAAATTAATTTGATAGCATTCTTCAACTGAGTGTTTCGGGAAATCTACAGTATAATATTACGATCACATTAATTTTTTGTGGCATATTGAACGTCTTAAACTGTATCTCATTAAAAATATCTCTATACTTTCAGGATTATGAGGTCCGTGAATACGAGGAATCTCGATGGGCGAGTACTGATGTTTACGACATGGATTTCAGTAAATCTGCCAGTATTGGCTTCCGTCGTGTTTTCAACTACATCGCAGGAAACAACGCAGCCAGTAAGTCTAATCTTACACTGGTTTCTGTATAAGCAAAGAGGCAACGAAGGTTGGGGATCTTCGAAAAATTGTCACCGTTTTACTTTTTGCTCGCAGCATCCTCGTCTCATCCTTTTAAAAAGTCTAAACGTAGTTTTACATGGAATGCCTTGATTCTTAGAATTGAATTGGTACGAATTCGTACATGTTTCAGTTTCGATGAAGCCTTGTATAAAGTGATCAGGTCACTATCTTTCAAATGTTTTCCAACTTTTTATTTGATATATTTCTATATGCTTATCATAGTAATTTGTATCAACCGGGAATATAATTCGATTCAATGATCAATGTTTGATGTTTGACATATAAATGAATGGATGAAACATTTAATTTTAGACGCCAAGATTCCCATGACCGCCCCTGTATTGAGAACCATCATCCCCGGGCAGGGCCCTGCCTGTGAGAGTAACTTCACCACATCGTTCTACCAGCCTTTCAACATGCAGAAGAGTGGAGGCCCCGCCCCATCTGATGCTGACGTGTACCTTAGTGTCCTTCCTAAAGTCACTATGTATGTCAGGTAGGTACTTTAATACATTTTGATATTTGAACTCACATGTCTTGCACCATTGATCGAGATAAAACTAAACGATATAACCTTACAAAGACTCATCTCAACAAAATAGAAATTAACATTTTTATTTCTGAAGTGGAATAGGTTATGCAAAATAAATATGACAATGATTTACAACGTAGTGATCTCGATCTGTTCCTTGTTTCCAGGAGTTTCTCAGGTTATGCAACAGAGGAGGATTATCTCAACCAAGCTACTCAGCTCGCAGCCTCCATCAACAACCCCGATGCCTTCCGCTCTGACCTTTACTACACTGCTGGCTATGACAGTCCCTACAAGTTCTTCAACAGACACAACGAGATCCTCTTCCGTGCCAAATAGACTATTGATCAACTCATCTCATGGACAGTTGTGTATTCATCTCTTGGCCATATACTCATCGTTATTGGTTCTGAGAGGCTACGTGGACATTGATGCTCATCATTTTAGTTTTCAACAAACTTTTCAACAAACAAGAGTTTAAACCCATAGGTTCCTATATTTTGTATTGTTACTAAGGATTTTACTTAATTACTCGGTACTCGATGAGAATCATAATATTTGAACTCATATCATTATACATCACAATTATCGTCTCCTACATTTGTACATTTACGATTAAACCAAGGTGTGCCAATATATGTAAATACATCTATATCTATTTATTATTGTTTGCAGAAGTGTAAACATATTTTTTTAAATAAAAAGTATTATAATATTTGACTAATGTAATCATGTTATGATACTATATGTCAATAAAAGTTGGATATATATAATATAAACACGTTATTTTGTCATTAATTGATACTCAGCTAGGGGGATATCAAATCCACAAAAGGTTTATCGATTCCAACCAATCCAAACACAATATTTCTCATAACTGCACTACATTATATCAAACTAACCACCCAAGGAATATGACCTAAATGTGTTTTTCAATTTTACAGTTAAAAATTAAATGTTCGATATCTTGATCAACTTTACATTCAATACATTCACTGGTGATCCACTCGATTAGGCTGGTTACCAAAACGGTTCGTTTTGGTAACAAAATGTCGGAACATCGAAGCTACGATTTTTCTCGTTTCCTTATTTTACACGTTGTAGGCAGAATTCCGACGACATTTTTTAACACAAACGTGTATCAGTATCATATGTTTAAGAAATTGTACATTTGCGAACAAATAATTCAGAAGACAACAGAATCGTCGATTTACTTCCTCACTTAAGTTACATTTATAAACGGTTTTTCGAAAAACAGTTAAGATCTGCACTTTTAACCCAAACCCTTTATGTAACTTAAGTGAGGAAGTAAATCGACGATTCTGTTGTCTTCTGAGCTATTTTTTCGCGAACATGTACATTTTCTAAAATATATATATATGATACTGAAACACTTTGTTAGAAAAAACGTCTTGGGGATTCTGCCTACAAAGCGTGAAATAAGGAAAAAAGAAAAATCGTACCTTCGACGTTCCGACATTTTGTTACCGAAACGGTTCGTTTTGGTAACCAGCGTAATCGAGTGGATCACCAGTGACATTGTTTAGCAACATTTCTGTTCCATTTACTCAATAGTTTACTACAAGGTAGAATATTGTGTAGAAGTTTAAAATTGAATTCAGACAATTTGTGGCAATCAATGTTTTTGATTTTAAATTCATAGATCTTCCTGGTATATGATTGGCTAATATCTTGATGAAACATTTCTTTCCAATTCTTTTCTGCTATTGGTTTTACAAATCGTTCATTTGTCAAGATCTTATAAAAGAAGCTGGACTAAGTAATTCTATATTTTTAAAGCCACTTTCTTAATACAGAAAAACAATTGTATGAATTATTTTTGTAAATTTCATGTGTTGCCTTTCTAGGTGTGTTACATCTTACATGTTTTCAAACATTTTTAATTTTCACATATTCTATTATCCAATTCATACTATTTTTCAGTCTTCGGAGTCCATGTCTTTCATCTATAAAATACATTTTGAATTGTTTATTTCTTCACACTTAAAGATTGATTTGTAGAATTGATATCTGTTCAAAAAGCTTTTTCATCAAAATGTAAAACCAATTCTCTTTATTATAAAAGTTGGAAGGATTCTCCGGGATGTATAGAGTTTTTTAGACGTTTTACCCATGCCGCTTTGAGAGCTTCAATTTACTTTGTCTATGCACAAAGTTGATTCCACCATCTGAAACATTATCATTAATGTGTTTCTTTTTATCCAATCCTTTTTTCCACAGGAACTTAAACATAATCTTATCAATGATTTTATCAGGTATTTCTGGAATACTAAAATTATATACAAGTTATGCCAATACCTAAAGTGTTGATAATATGGGCTTTACCAAAAAGAGTGAGTTTTCTTCTTTTCGTTTTTTATTTTATTAGTCCAATTTGTTTCATTGCATTCACTTTTATCATTTCCTAAGTAAATACCTAAACATTTTATTTGTTCTTGCTCAAACTACTCTACTAAGCTTACTGGGGGCTCATATGGTAGCCAAAGGTGGGCCCGTCAGTGAGCAAATTTGAACCACATTATTTATCTAGAGAAACATGTCAGATTTAAGGATTTGGAACTTTGACGCCCAAAAAGCGACCATTATGGAGAGCTTTTTTATGTTTTATACCCCCGAGGTTATTTTAGAGGGGGTCTTAACTCTTTCTTAATAACTTTAAAAATATTAAAGATATGTGTCTGAAACTTGCAGGGAACCTTCATGGGGTCAACACATAGCTGTATAAAAAGTTTGGGATTATTTGGAATAATGGTTGCTATAGCAACCAAGAAAATGTGTTTCCTAACTAGCAAATTTACAGCAATTCTGCCCCGTAGCAACCTAGTTGGAGTTTTGATAACAGTTATGGTCAAATAAAAGTCACTAGGTCCAAAGTTTTAAAAAGATTGACAAATACCCCTCCAATAGCCCCAACCTCAATGGATCCAAGCATATATAGGGGCTTTCCCATTAGATCAGATAGATGTCCTACTGGAAAGAGAATCTGGTGGAACTCATTATTCCCATGAAACCCTCCCGGGATGTATTAAGAAGACCCTTTGATGCTTTACAAATGCAAAAGAAGTTGCCATTTGTATTTAATACATTTATAATTCTCGTGCCTTGCTCTATAAAATAGTGGTTATTTAAAATTACGGGTTACCTTCAACCGTGATTCCTAAATTTCTACCCTGTTGCTTTCTTTTTATGTTAAAAAGTTAAAAGAAAAGAAAAATATATTGGCGCCGGATTACATAATTTAGGAACGATTTATTTCGTGTAAGTATGACCCTAGATCAACGCAGAATTCTTTGAGCATTTGCTTAGTTGATAAACAACACGTGGTCACGTTATTTACACGTACATTGCTTTCACATCAGGGATGAACATGTGAATGTATTATCTTATACAACTTTCTTAAAGAAAGGTTTCATAAGATTTTATTTCATAATGGATATGCCTATAAAAGAAAAATAATTTTGTTGGAAATCACTCTCAACGGAAACCTTGAAGGTGAGTCGAATTGAAACTTATTCAATGCATCAACTGATTAAGGGAAATTGTTTCTGTTCTTCATTTCAAAATAGTTGAAGGAATTTATAAATTATTAACAGTAAGTCATTTTTATGGTGTTATTGATACGAGAAAGATTTGAATTTGTAAAGAGTGTGAGAAACAACAGTGTCTCATATTTCCATTTTGATTCTAAGATATTTTTATGGAATATCCGATTGCGGGCTAAATATGAATTTAATAATACAAAAATCAAGTGAAAGATATGATGCATGTTCTCATAAGATTGTGTTTGAATGTTTTACAGCATACACAGCAGACTATTTTCCATCGAGGATTTATCAAAACACCGTCATCATGTACAAACTCGCTCTGATCGTTCTTCTGGCCGCCGCCGCTATGGCTGACGTGCCAAGCTTCTGCAACAGACTCGATTGCCCACGTTTCAAAGTCCTCAGAACAACAGATGTAAGTCACTTTAGTTCCATAATTATCTAATTGATTTAATTTGTTCATTCTTGTTAAAATGCAGATTCGTATTTTCAAAAATTAATTTGATAGAATTCGTATTTTCAAAAATTAATTTGATAGCATTCTTCAACTGAGTGTTTCGGGAAATCTACAGTATAATATTACGATCACATTAATTTTTTGTGGCATATTGAACGTCTTAAACTGTATCTCATTAAAAATACCTCCATACTTTCAGGATTATGAGGTCCGTGAATACGAGGAATCTCGATGGGCGAGTACTGATGTTTACGACATGGATTTCAGTAAATCTGGCAGTATTGGCTTCCGTCGTGTTTTCAACTACATCGCAGGAAACAACGCAGCCAGTAAGTCTAATCTTACATTGGTTCCTGTATAAGTAAAGAAGCAATGAAGGTTGGGGATCTTTGAAAAATTGTCACAGTTTTACTTTTTGCTCGCAATATTCTCGTCTCATCCTTTTAAAAAGTCTAAACAAATTTTTGCATGACATGCCTTGATTCTTAGAATTAATTGGTACGAATTCGTACATGCTTCAGTTTCGATGAAGCCTTGTATAAGTAATCAGTAATCAGGTCACTATCTTTCAAATGTTTTCCAACTTCTTCTTTGATATATTTTTTATAGGCCTATGCTTATCATTGTATCAACCTGGAATATTATTCGATTCAATCAATGATTGATGTTTGACATATAAATAAATGGATGAAACATTTAATTTTAGACGCAAAGATTCCCATGACCGCCCCTGTATTGAGAACCATCATCCCCGGACAGGGCCCTGCCTGTGAGAGCAACTTCACCACCTCATTCTACCAGCCATTTAACATGCAGAAGAGTGGAGGCCCCGCCCCATCTGATGCTGACGTGTACCTTAGTGTCCTTCCTAAAGTCACTATGTATGTCAGGTAGGTACTTTAATACATTTTGATATTTGAACTCACATGTCTTGCACCATTGATCGAGATAAAACTAAACGATATAACCTTACAAAGACTCATCTCAACAAAATAGAAATTCACATTTTTATTTCTGAAGTGGAATAGGTTATGCAAAATGAATATGACAATGATTTACAACGTAGTGATCTGTTCCTTGTTTCCAGGAGTTTCTCAGGTTATGCAACAGAGGAGGATTATCTCAACCAAGCTACTCAGCTCGCAGCCTCCATCAACAACCCCGATGCCTTCCGCTCTGACCTTTACTACACTGCTGGCTATGACAGTCCCTACAAGTTCTTCAACAGACACAACGAGATCCTCTTCCGTGCCAAATAGACTATTGATAAACTCATCTCATGGACAGTTGTGTATTCATCTCTTGGCCATATACTCATCGTTATTGGTTCTGAGAGGCCACGTGGACATTGATGCTCATCATTTTAGCTTTCAACAAATTTTTCAACAAACAAGAGATTAACTCATAGGTTCCTATATGTTGTATTGTTACTAAGGATTTTACTTAATTACTCGATACTCGATGAGAATCATAATATTTGACCTCGTATCATTATACATCACAATTATCGTCTCCTACTTGTACATTTACGATTAAACCAAGGTGTGCCAATATATGTAAATACATCTATATCTATTTATTATTGTTTGCAGAAGTGTAAACATATTTTTTTAAATAAAAAGTATTATAATATTTGACTAATGTAATCATGTTATGATACTATATGTCAATAAAAGTTGGATATATACAATATAAACACGTTATTTTGTCATTAATTGATACTTAGCTAGGGGGATATCAAATCCACATAAGGTTTGTCGATTCCAACCAATCCAAACACAATATTTCACATAACTGCACTACATTATATCACAAACTAACCACCCAAGGAATATGCCCTAAATGTGTTTTTCAATTTTACAGTTAAAAATTAAATGTTCGATATCTTGATCAACTTTAGGTTTACATTCAATACATTGTTTAGCAACATTTCTGTTCCATTTACTGTACTCAATATATAGTTTACCACAAGGTAGAATATTGTGTAGAAGTTTAAAATTGAATTCGGATAATTTTTGGCAATCAGTGTTTTTTATTTTAAATTCATATATCTTCCTGCTATATGATTGATTAATATCTTGATGAAACAATTCTTTCCAGTTCTTTTCTGCTATTGGTTTTACAAATTTACGAAGCTGGACTAAGTAATTCTATATTTTTAAAGCCACTTTTTTTAATATCTTAATACAGAAAAATATTTGTATAAATTATATTTGTAATTTTCATGTGTTGCCTTTCTAGGTGTGTTACATGTTTTCAAACATTTTTTTCACATATTCTATCATCCAATTCATACTATTTTTCAGTTTTCAGAGTCCATGTCTTTCATCTATAAAATACATTTTGAATTGTTTATTTCTTCACACTTCGGATTGATTTGTCGAATTGATATCTATTCAAAAAGCTTTTTCATCAAACTGTAAAACCAATTCTTTTTATTATAAAAGTTGGAAGGATTCTCCGGGATGTAAAGAGTTTTTAGACGTTTTACCCATGCCGCTTTGAGAGCTTCGATTTACTTTGTCTATGCACAAGGTTGATACCACCATCTGAAACATTACCATTAATGTGTTTCTTTTTATCCAATCCTTTTTTCCACAGGAACTTAAACATATTCTTATCAATGATTTTATCAGGTATTTCTGGAATACTAAAATTATATACAAGTTATGCCAATACCTAAAGTGTTGATAGTATGGGCTTTACCAAAAAGAGTGAGTTTTCGTCTTTTCCATGATTCAAACAGTTTTTCTATGTTTTTTATTTTATTAGTCCAATTTCTTTCAGTGCATTCACTTTTGTCATTTCCTAAGTAAATAGTCTAAACATTTTATTGGTTCTTGCTTAAAATCTATATTTTCAAACTACTAAGCTTACCCTTGTTAACCAGCCACATACCCTCGGTTTTCTCCAAGTTCAAATTCAATACTGAGATTTTAGTAAACTTATTTATTGTTCTTTAATAGAATGCTTGTTTGATAGCGTGAGAGTTGTGTCTTCTGCGTGTTGGACTATTTTGATTTCATCGTGCTATTCGATTTAGTCTTTTGATTCCGTCAATTTTACAACTTTAGGATCATAGTGCACTCTAATTGAAAGCCCATGATGTAGATAAGAGTTCAAGCACGAATTGACTCTCACACATATAACCTTGTAGCTTCCATATCTAAAACTTATATTAACTCATTTACCACTGAACAAGCCAAGAGAGTTCAAGAACCGATCACGTGGCATGATCTGGCGCGACTGCCGGAGATGTTCGGTTTATTATCAAAAATGGATTTATGCTACTCAAATTGCACAGGCCGCCATCTATCTTAAAATTCGACTCGGAATTATAAGAAACGGAATAAATATTATTTAGATTATTTTGCTTCTTTAATTATAATGATTACTGCGATATTGAATTATGTTTATGATATTTGTGTACCACAACATTATTTTAATCTGACATTATCAACGGGAGTCGTAAAGCTATATTTTTGTACGAGTTGATTCGTTTATAAGATTCAGCATTTAGATACAGCTTTCAAAATGGAAAAACTTTTTAAAAGTTTAAAGATTTTCATCAGTTTCAGAAATAATGCAAAACTCGATACCCGGACACAGTTATGCAGGTTGTTTTCAGGTAAAGAACTTTTTTCTGTTCTATTTACGTCCTTCTGCAGGTCAAACGTGTGCAGTTTTTGTGATTCTGCACACTGCGATTTTGATTCCTAAAATTGAAAGTGAAACTGAAAGTGAAATAATTTTGTGCGTAAGATATACCTTACAGTTCCACGGGTGGCTCCCTTGGTAGTAAGAGTGTGTGTGGGGGCGGTCCTTCAAACACAAGTGCAATACCCGTATTGATGGCTGGTAATTACAGTATATAATCAAGTCACCTGGAAATAGTTTACTTTATCGAGTCTAGGCTACATTAGCACTATTTACACTACACGCGACATTTCAAGACGTCTTAGCTAAAACATTTTAGTAAAATCATTTTGAGTTTACAACACAATTTTCAAGACTGTACGATTACAACCCAATTTTCTATGCGTCTTACACTTAGATAACTGCTTCAATAGATTCCTGGGTATTTTAGCATTCTTTTCGTGTAGTTGAATCCACAATTATCTGTTAGCTTAAAGCTGCACTATACTTAATTTAGAAGAAAAAAGAAAAAAGTAATCATTGAAACGTATTACTCACACACTAGCTCAAATGACTCAAATTTTGATTTGCTTTAATATTGAACCAAGAATCAATCCTTCGCATCAAAGATGGCGGACGGGAAGTGTCGATTTCGATATAACGTTATACTTTATTTTTCGTTTCCAGCCCACAACACACCATCGAATTCAACGGCTGCCTTAGATGGCATAAGAGTATTAGATCTTACAAGGTATGATAATGTGTAGAATTATAATTTCTAGCTTTTAAACTGAATAGCATGGATTGACTTCCAAGAAAGTTAGTCTGGCATGTGCACATGATCCAACCTATTTCAGCTAATATTTCAATCCCTCATTAGATTATCATGTTCCTCTTTTTTAGAAGGAATTTTTGCATTGTAGTTGGTCGATGTAATCTTTCATCATCTTAAATAATAATTTTGACATTCTTATTTTCTGAAATATATGTTATATTTATATACACTATATGTAATATAATATTTGATTTTCTTCATCTTTTAGCGACTTTCTAAACAATTTCATGCTTTTACTTTTAATAAAAAAATTTCCCAACAATCATTACATTTATTATCGCATCATACTTGAGTTCATATCATATGGAGTTTATACAAGTAGAGTCAGATATATAACATGCCATTCATGTTTCAACTAGATAATTCAACTACAGTAAAACCTGTATTAGGGAAGACCTCTCTTTAGTGAACACCTGTGTTTAGTGAACACCACTTCAAGACACATTTACATTTACTCCTGTATAAAATCCCCTCTCTGTAGTGAACAGCCACCTACAGTTTATATGCAGGTTTTACTGTAAATTAATACTACTTGATCTGCTGTCCATGTACCCAGTAAAGATCAAGTCTTACACTCTTTATGTACAATGTCCTAGGGTTTTAGCAGGCCCATACTGCACCATGATCTTGGGTGACCTGGGTGCTGACATAATCAAAGTGGAGCGACCTGGCGCTGGAGATGACACTCGTACATGGGGGCCTCCTTTCTGTGGGTCAGAGAGTGCATATTTCTTATCTATAAACAGGAACAAAAAGGTTTGGTGTTTTGTTTTAACTATGCATGTTCATACTTTTGATTCTTTGTATGATTTTTGTTGCACTGTTACCATTTCTTAGTATTTTATAAAAGCTACAGCATTACTTGATGAAAATATACATAAAAATGTCGTCTAAAATAGCACACTGTCAATGGTTTTGATTTTATATAAAGCAGTGATCACCCCAGCATTAAAGCAAGTGGCCACAGCATCCACCTGAGATTTCGAAAATAAGATTGCACCCGCCTGAAAATCCATTTGCACCAACTTGGAAATGAGAAAAATCATGAAAAATTGTCATATTTTGACCAATTTTGGTCTAAATTGTGAAAATGAGAATTTTGCACCCACCTGGGGAGATCACTGTAAAGTATATGGAAATCAGATTTTTTAATGTCTAATCATGAATATGGATTTTTGTGTATTAAATAGGCAGTACTGTACTAGTATTCAATGTTGCTTGAGTTAAAATTCACCATAACAGAAATAATGGACCATTTTTAATTTTTCAGAGTATTTGTGTGAATATGAAATCCAAAGAAGGTCAGGATATTCTTCAAAAGGTAAGCCTTCTTCTTGTTTATCTCTAGGACTTTATTATTGAACAGGCTGTTTCATTATGACTATCCCTCTATCACCTGCCATTCTTAGATAGCATGCCCCCATATATATCATTGAAAGCTTATTCAGTTATGCAAGTTATTAAGACTTTGATAAGCTGTACATATTTTAAAATTTGTTCCATATCAATCAAAAGGTTACGTATTTGACCTAACCAAACAGTATGAGAGCTACATTTTCTCAGATAATTTGCTTGTTCACAAATTATATTCCTTTATGTTCAATCATGCCAATATTTTGGCCATAATTCCAGAATTAAATAGGCTTTATTATGATACATTGATACGGAGGCATGTAATCAAGGATTTCTTCAATATGGGGGAAAAGTATACTCATTTTGAAACACCCTGAACACTTAACTACATGTTTTCTAGAAATCAAATGAATTCTAAAATGTTGCATTTATATGAAGTTCGATAGTTAAATTTTGAAATAAATCAAATTTCAAATTGGGCCTTAAAATTCTTGAATTCAAATGTTGTGTTTATCTGTAGTTAGCCAGTAAGAGTGATGTGCTAATAGAGAACTACATTCCTGGTACACTGGACAGAATGGGACTGGGCTACAATCAGCTCAAGGAGAAGGCACCAAGTCTGATATATTGCTCAATTACAGGCAAGTAACACATCAACTAGCATATACTTCAGCCTTAATAATGAGATTTTATGTTCTCATAAAAGAAGGAATATCTTCATAAATTAAGGGTATGTGACACAATTTTAAATACAGCCTAGTTCATCTGAAACATAGGATCAAATCCTTTGCTAAGGGCTCTGTGAAAAAGTCACTCCACCTCAGTGGGAATTGATCTACTTGAAGTGCTGTGGGACTTAATGCAATACTTAAAGGTGAACTATGAAACAAAATATTGATTTAACACCATCCCAGTCAATTGAAACATGGTCAGTTGTGATGTTCATTTATGACAATGTCTGTTGACCATGCTCAATTTAGACATGATATATTACGGCGCTTTTTGATAATACATTCTCATTGCTACAGGTTATGGTCAGCATGGGCCATACAAGAAACGTGCTGGATATGATGTTATAGCATCTGGTATTGGAGGACTTATGCATATCACAGGACCTATGGTATGTTAGACAGTCTAGGACCAATGGTATGCTATACCGTAAGAGTAAATTAGATATTTATTTGAGTCTCATGCTGTAAAATATATCACAAAGTCATACAATAAATACAATTAAAAATATAACATGTTTTGCATTTAGATTTATGGTATATTATACATTATTATGTTACTGTCATATTTCCCACCCTCTCATTGGTCTATACATTACATGTGACATAAAAATAAGAAATTATTTTTAACGGCCATGCCCGTGGCATCAGAAAAAGGTGTATTCTACAGCCGTATTTATCAGGCGTGCCATTTCATCCAGTGTAAATCTGAAAGTGATATGAAAAGTCTGATAATTCTTGTTCTTATAAGACATTCCAAACAGTAAGAGAGTGATGAATAAAACAGTGAATAACAAATATTTCATACTATTTTCGGTGAATACCTGTTGCACTTTCAATGATGCAAGGTGTATTCCCCTGGCCCTTCGGGCTTTCAGAACATACCTTGTTTAAGAATCATTGAAAGATGAACTTCAATAGTATGAACTATTTGTGTATGACCCAGTCTAGGACATATGATTTGTAATGTAATATAGTACATTTGAGAACCTATTATGTTAAACATTATACTGTCTTGGATTTTCTGTGGTCCTTGGTCCATAGTAAAAGTATATTTCTTAAAAACCTATTTAAAAGGTAATTAGAGCACTTTGTGCAGAACTAGTTGCAGTAAACTGGGTATTTCATAGAGAATTAAGATTTGCCTGATCAATGCTGAAAAGATGAGCAGACCTTATGTAGCTTGACTGTTACATTATGTCATAACCTTGGGATCGAGATGGATACATTTTATCTGTCCAAATCTCACTCTCCCATTTTCAAAACATAAATTCTTAAAATGAATATCAAATAATAAATTATTAAAAAAAATTGTGGAACCTTAAAGGCATGTGATGCATTTATGGTCTGTGTAAGATATGGGATTAAGGTCTCCTAGTAGATAATCCTTATGTTTTCTAGGAAGGGGAGCCATGTAGGGTAGGTGTGGCTATGACAGACCTCTCTACAGGTCTCTATGCCTATGGAGCTATCATGGCTGCATTGTTGTACAGGCAGAAGACAGGCAAGGGCCAGCACATAGACTGCAATCTGCTTGCCACACAGGTACTACAGCAACAGGAAACAACATTACATTAAATTTGTGTGTGTGGGGGGGGGTACAATAAGTACGAGGGGTATTTTTTATATATGTCATATACAGAATACAACTTAATAACTTTTGAAGAAGTAAATCCTTTGTTTTACATCCTGTCAGTTTCCAAATAGTTCAATGAAAATGCACAAACTCAATTTAAAACACGCTCACTCCTGGAATTGTCTATGGTTTATGTCTATTTAAGGGTATGATACTCTTTCTTATTTGAAGGTAGCAACTTTAAGTCATGTGGCATCCAACTTCTTGAATGCTGGTATTGAGGCCCAGAGATGGGGCACAGGACATGTTAGTCTTGTCCCTTACCAGGTGGGTAAATATTAGTACAGCCAACCCCTTCAGTGTTTCTACATTTCAAGGTGTTAAATAAAATAGACATGGTACATAACAATGAACTTACTATATACCTACTATATACAGTTACCAATGTTATATTGTACCCCATGAAATGATTTTGTTAATAAGCATAATATAGCATGCTGTAGCACCGAAATGTCACTAATAATGCAATGGTAAATTGCTGTATGCAGTCGATATGTTACGACATGCGCAAAGCTCTATTTAGTGATATTTTCATTTCAAATATGGCGGCCAATCCGATGCTTGACGACCCTTACAAAGAATCTAGGTAGTGTGCATTTTTACCTTCTGTGAAATAACAAGTGGAATTTAGTAGTTGTTTTGTGTTTAATTATCATTCTGCATCGTAATTCTATGTGATGTGGTGTTAAAATGCCGGCAGAAATAAATATCCATACGATAATCGAGTGAATTAGAATACAGATTTTTCGAAAACCGGTCTCCTGCTAAGAGTGTAAAAACTTGTATTAACATGCTCAAAAGGGCCAATGTGCACATCAATGTCAAGCTAAATCAATGTTGTGTCTAAAACAGGTACCTGATTTACTCAAAACAGCTTGTCATTCACGTATACACGCTTAGCAAACACGGCAAAATGATCGGAATCTTGGAATTTCGTTCGAGAGCTAGTAATGTTTGCTCCGGTCTTCGTCATTAGTGTTTATCAGACTTCACGCATGCTCAAGAGAAAACCATCAACCAATAACGTTTATAAATCAATTTTGCGCATGCGCCTTACAAGGGTAAGAAATTCGTATTTATAAACGAACCAATTTGAGATAACCCGATATCAGTCGGAAAAATCTGACGATCTACGAAACTCACTTCAAAAAATCAAATGCGGACTGACGGCTTATTCTACTATGCTGGGACCTAAGATTTTCAGTATAGATAAAGTCTTTTATGATCTTTCGAATGAGGTAAGTCTCTAGTTCGAAAGACAATCGTATCAACTTGAACAAAAGTTGAGTTTTGACAAAAAAATTTAACATGCGCAGAAGTCCCATTTTCGTTGTACCATATTGACTGTATGTTTCAGGCTTTCAAGACCTCAGATGATAAGTACATTACAGTAGGAGCAGGGAATAATGCTATGTTTGCAGAACTTTGCCAGGTGAGAAATCCAGTGCTCTACAATGTTCATTGATTCATGCCTTACCTTAACAGTTTACTAAGCCAATACCGAGAAGTGGTGACATATCATTAAACACTGTTTTTGTGACTGGAATTTGTCCATTGGCATTCCACAATGGAAAACAAATGTTACCATTTGCTTATAACAGTTGGTGTTATTTTGAAGACTTCTTTAATTATACACACATTTCTATTTGCTGTGCTTACTGTGTGTTTCCATGCTGTTTAAGTGCTGCACTGTACTGCACTTTGCTGTATTTATTGTTGAAGTATAAATATACTGACCTGTTTGATTTAAGAGAATGGACACAGAACATTTCCTTGAGGACCCCAGATACAAGGACAATGAAGACAGAGTTGAGAACAGGAAGATTTTACTCAGCTGCATACAAGAAAGGTATACTAAGATTTTTGTAAACTATGAAATTTTACACATCTGACACACTCATAGCAAATTAATTGTATTAATAGCACAATACACCTACAATATGCTAAGTTAATACAATAGCAGGGCTTTCAATAGCAGGGGGTGAGTGTCTGAAATCGCCGTCTGTTTTCGATAATCTGTCACTTGTTAGAAGTCAAATATTGTCTAAGTTTTGGGGGAAAATTAAAAGTCTTCTATAGACCATCCTTTATTTTATTCAGCGATCTTGTTTTGCACTTCCTTGTCTATGATTTGTACCTCAGTTTCGAACTGCAAAGGAACTCACTATAATCGTAAAGATCACTTGATCTCATTATAGTAGTAAACACCGTCCAATTTTTTACTCGTTTTAGATCACTATCTGACCACTATCATGTGCATGATACTCCAACCTTTGGTATAATCAGAGTTGGTTATTTTCCACTGGACATGCAGTTACATGTATGATTGATACAAATCTGTCCAACCAGTCACCAATGTAACATTCTATAAAGTCGATTAATGTAGTTACATAAAGCTTTGGGTTTAGCAATATATTTAATAATTAAGACAAATATAAGATATACTCGTATATGATCATTATCTTGATACGTTTACAACTCAAGAGTCTCTATTTAAGGTTTAATATCTTAATTGTACATATTTTACTCTATCAAAATACCTGTGTCATATAAAATACTGAGTGCCACTATAACATCACCACACTATGTTGATGGCATGTTGTCACTGCATGTACTGTGAGAGTCCCACTTCGCTGAATAATACACATTGCTGAATAACGACGTTGCCCCACTTTGCTGAATAATACACATTGCTGAATAACGGCATTGTCTCAGATATATGTCCCCTAGGTCACACTAAGAACGCCACTTGATATCAAAAGCATGAACGCCACTCATTCAGTCTCTGTATAAGCACATAGGCAACTAGGCACTAGCATCTAGTATTCAACACATAAGCACCTCACATGAGTATCAGATTCATTTTCATCTTGAATTTCTAATGCTGCTGCTTTTTGTACAATTGGGACCATTTTACTTTTTGAGTAACAATCTCAAACCACTTTGGCTTATATTGTTGTCTTATCCAATGTTATCAAAGTGTGAAATGTGAAACTTTTTATTAATTTCAAAAATGTTTTTGAAGGACTTTTTGTTCAAAATATCGTGAATTTATTTAAAACTAACTTTAAGATGTCACACTTATCCTTTAAAGCGATAATTCACACCGATGCATAGCAATCATCCTCACTTATTTTTTAAGTTTAGCATATTTAAAAAAGATTGACATTGAAAAATGTTGCCCCTGAGTGATGTCACGATGTGGTCACTTAGGTTGAAAATATTTTCGATATGCTAAATCATCGAATTGGCACATTAGATATAACATTTTATTTTTAACATAGTTTGTCCGTTGTTCAATCTTTATATTGGTGTTAAAAAGATATAGAGGTTCTTATATGAGTACCTGTGCAAGATCGTCCATTCTTGATGAGCTTTCATAATTCTTCTTTATCGAGTCGCAGACGAGATAAAGAAACATTATCAAAGCGACTGTCGGATAAATTATGAATGTAGTTTCGCACAGGTGTCAACGGAACCAAACAGTGAACCCCGCTTTCCCGAACCCGAGTTTCCAGGATTTGCCTCGCATGCCTTCGACTCTCTCAAGATTTGGGCCCTGTATTGTACCCCTACCTTATCATCCTGGTGTCTCGTTTATAACACCCTTGTAATTACAATGCGAAGTTACTTAAGCATGATAAAAAGTGTATGTGTGGATGGGGGGAGGTTTGAACCTCCACTTGTATACATGTATACCTTTATATACTCAACAGGCCAAGTATTAACAGTACAAATAAAGGGAGAAAAAATCCATCAGGTCCATAATTCTACACGTTCACATACAAGCTTAAAAATCTTAAATGTATTTAGAACTACGCCTTTGTACCAGCGACACACTTTCACAGGTGCGTCTTTACAATGAAACACAATAACGAAAATTGCAACTTAGGATCCTTCCTGGTTAGAATAGGTTTCCACGTACAACTAAAAACACTATATAAAATAACTATCTATACACCATCAATGCAAATATATGCTTTCTTCCATTCTGATACTCATAGCATCTTTCTGTTTCACCTGAATCATCTCAGGGCTGAGAAGAAATGAGATGTCATGGTTTATCATGATGGCTTTCTTCGAGAATACATAATGCGGGCCTGAGAATGTGGGATGTCACATTCATTGCAACACACCTTGCAACAATGTCTTATGAGGGTAATTTCTTATATTGAGAAGTTTATCATCTATTGAAATTAAATACTTGTAGCTACATGCAAGTAGCAACACATACAAGTCTTCCATGCAAATGGAGGTGCGAATTCACATTAACAAATTAAGATAAGATCCACAATATGTTATCAAATGGTTAAATGCGCAAAATGTGTAGTTCTACATATCTATATGTTTTCCTTAATAATGTGTGAGGAGGCCTTTCAGGCAATTTTTGAAAACGTAGTGAGAACAAGTTTGATGTAGAGGGGAGGGGGATATCTCCCACCTTGGTCTCTCTCCAATGCCTAGGCCACATATGCGCCGGCCGATGAGTAGTCATCGGCCGATTTCTAAATCAGTTTCGACAAAAATTATGTAATTCGGCAATTCTAGTTACAAAACATGAAGGAACATTATGTAAAATTTTGAAGACAATTGGTGTATATTTAACAAAATACCAGCACCAGTCCTGTTACTTTTGGAACACCCTGTACCCTCTGGAGGTGGTAAAAAAACTAAAATGAATCTGATATACACATAATCACAAGTGAATCATCTATTAATACATCACTCTCATTTTAATAATGAGAATTCTAGATTTTGATTTATATCAAAAGTGCTCAATTCAACAGGTGCATTTGGATTTGTGAAATGCAACCTGTGTAAGGGTAAGTTATCTTATAAAAGGTAAATGACATTCTATATAAGTTGCATTCCACAGTTCCAGGTGTTATTTTGTGGAGCCCATGTCTTGCCACATCACACGTGGAAATGACTTTGACAAACCTTGGACAACTTTGTTTCAGTCCATGGACTCTAAAATAACAAGAATTTGCGTTGTTGGGAGCGTAAAATTGGTTATTTTGAATGCCGCCTCTTGTATTTTTCATCTGCCTCTTGTACACAAAGTTACTGAAACCACTGAATAGTACAAAAAGAGTTATAGAAAAATAAATGTAATGTATTGTACATTTATTTCAATCCTCAAGTACTAAGAGTACACTTAACAAGCCTGAGTGAATAGCTTATTGGTTTGTGTATCGATTTGAACTATGAATGAAACAATATTGTGATACTTGTAGAATATACAGCAATTACCTTATTGGGTTTTGTATTTGTTTTGTATTTTATTGAACATAGATGGAAACCAGGATTCATTGTATTTTATTCAAAGTGAAGTTAATGCTTTATTTATCTTAATGGGGTTGATTACTGTCAAAAGATGGCATATGTTATTGGTGGATTAATTGTATGTGTGTACAGGGTGGGCCAAAAAATTTTGCAACTTTTTTAAAAGGCTAGAAAAGTATCAAAACATAAGGGTATTGCCATAAAAAATGATTTACAGAAACTTAAGGATAGGCATATTTTACCAGTCAAATGCTAAAGCTAAAACTGGCTTCACATTTTTTTGTCAGATCTTTGAATATCAATGGTCAATTGTTCATGTGTCCGAGATTTACCATTTTTCCTAGAAAATGTCAACTTTCTATGATTTTATGTGTTCAACAATAACACATTCATAATGTTCACTAAATCTGCTACAATCTTGGATAACTGTTTAAACAATGTCTACCTCGATGTCTAGTTTATATCAGTATATAGTCACTATGGTATTATGTTATATTATATTTATTAACTATCTATTAAACAAATGTTCTATGCATCCCCCCTTTCACATTCCCTATCGCTCCCAGCAATCGGGCAAAAGCCACTTTGGAATATCTGGAGGAGAATAAGCCTTGATTCATTAGTCCTGATGAATGGCTGCCAAATACTCCAGATGCCAACTCCTGTGACTATCACCATTGGGGGCACCTGGAGCAGCTTATTGCAGTTAATGGTAATCCCCCACAAACTATTGTTAAACTAAAAGAAGTTCTGCAGGAGAAGTGGGGAGAACTACCACAAGAATCGCTGGATCGTGCCATTGACCAGTTCCGCCCATGTCTCCCTGCGCGCTGTAGAGAAGGTGAAAGGTGGATGCATAAAATTTGTTTAATAATAAATAATCAATAGATACATAATATCATAGTGACTAGATAATGATATTAACTGTACTAGACATTGGTTGAACAGTTATCCAAGATTGTAACAGATTTAGTGAACATAATGAATGTGTTATTGTTGATCACATAAATGAAACATTTTCTAGGAAAAATGGTAAATCTCGGACACATGAATAATAGACCATTGATATTCAAAGATCTGATAAAAAAAATTGAAGTCCAGTTTAGCTTTAGTATTTAAATGGTAAAATATGCCTATCCTTAAGTTTCTGTAAATAATTTTTTATGGCAATGCCCTTATGTTTTGATACTTTTCTAGCCTTTTAAAAAAGTTGCAAATTTTTTTGGCCCACCCTGTATATTATCATATGAAAATCCCTTTATTCCATCAACAACACTAAAACCTAATAATGTTGAATCTTCAAATGTGGAAGACTAGAAAGGTTATGGTTAATATAGTGTGTATGTATTTGAATTTTTGATGAAGCAATATGTGCATGCAAACAAATGCCAACTATATGAGCTCCATCCTATATAGAAAGAATTGAAATATTCTTAGACCTCATTGAATCGGCTTTTAATGAAAACCTTGTATCGTTGTAGGTTTTCTGAGAAGAGCTTGTCTGAATGGATGGATGTTTTTGATGGCTGTGGCTTTCCATATGGCCCCATAAACAACATAGAGCAAGTGTTCAATGACCCTCAGGTAAATTAAAAATTCTCACAACCAAAATGTGCCAGATGAAATCTTTTTTTTTTTTTTTTTTTTTTTTTTTTTTTTTTTATTATTCTGTATTAAAAGTTGTACAAATACAATATTGTAGAAAGAAAACATACAGTAGTTGCATATGCTATAATATCGTATTTATATATAATATTAGCCTTATTTAGCATAGTAGTTTTGATAACAAGAGGAAGGGAAGGGGGGGGGGGCAAGGGAAAAAGCAAGAGGGGGATTTTTTGTGATTTTCTGCTCGATGGTTTGAGCTTGGTGAGGGGGTTTTTATGTTCCCAGTGTGTATTTTACTACGTTATGAAATGTTTGAGTTTCAACCATTGCTGTTCCATAAGTTCAGGTTTTTTTCTTCTTTGGCTGATTCTTTCTTCTATTTTTTTCTCTGTTTTTAGGAAGTTTTGCCAGCCTATCATATTAGGTCTCCTTATTTTCCTTTTACATGTGTTTAGGAATATCTTTTGTTTCAGGAATAGATGTTCGTTTTCTGTTTTTCCATCTCCGAAAAGGAATGTCTCAATTGTGGGTACATCTTCGTCAAGTTGGTTGAAAGATGTTATTAGGAAGTCTTGTACGGCCTCACAATGGTATATTCCATGTTCTAAAGTATCTATGTCACTACGGCATAGACTGCATATATCAGTGTTATAGCCGTCTATGTTCATTTGTTTTAGTTGTTTGTTATAATATAGTATCCGGAAGAATATTTTTATTTGGAAATATTTCTCTTTTGTCCTGAGAATATTTTTTCTATTTTTGTGGATTTTGGCCCACATCAAAGGATTTTGTAGTTGCAGTTTGTTTTGCCACTTATCTTCCATCTTCTTTGGCAGTTTCACAGCATTGTTCTTTTTTAGTAAAATCTTGTAAACTTCTTTATTGTTTGTCTTTTTTAACCATTCTGTGTTAATTGTGACATTCGGATTCTCGGTTTCTTCTTCATTTTCTCTCGGGTGTCTTAATTTTCTTTTCCAATTTTGGGGGATGGCTGTAATTATACTGTTATATTTCAAAGTATTCCTTTGGTTCATAACAATATCATATTTATGGCCTAATTCTGCTGCTGTGAGGAATCTATTTTCGTCCTGGATGTCTTTTATAAATTCAATACCTTTTTGTATCCATACTTCGTTTTTCATGATTTCTCCATTGATTTTTATCTGTTCATTGTGCCATAATGATTGTTGCTCTGGGTTTCTCGTATCCGGAATTGTTTGATATTTCAGACTGCACCAATTTTTGTAGACTGTCTTCAGGTACCTTAAGTCTAAAACATTTATTTTGTCACTATTTTTTGAAAGGTTCAATGCCCATACTTCTCCCTGCGTCAGGTTCTTCAGGTAGTAGTTCCATATCTTCTTCCATTTGCCACTATATGTAGGGTCTATATATTTCTTTATCCATTTGATGCTTAGGTTTTTTATGTATGATTGTAAGTGGAGCATGTTTAGGCCACCTCTCTCTTGTTCGTTCATCATTATCTTTCTTCCAATTTTGTCTGGCTTCTCATCCCATATAAAGTTGAAAAACATGTTTTCTATTTCTTTGATAAAGTCATCTGTTGGTGTGAGCACTGAACATAGATATGTCAGCTGAGATACGAGGAGTGATTTTATCATTATTATTTTTCCTAGAGGTGTGATGTTTCTACTTTTCCATGCTCTAATAAGACCTTGAATTTTGTTTCTTTTCTCTGGGAAATTTAAACTGTTTATGTCTCTTCCATCTAAAGGAATGGTTATACCAAGGACTTTTATATCTTTATCTTGGTATTTTAGCCCCGATGCCATGCTTTCATCTCTTACTTGTTGCTGTAATAGTGCATTTTCTCTGCCTATCACGGCTTCTTCTGTTTTGTGGAGATTGATGTTCAGTCCTGAGATTTCTCCAAAATTTCTGAACTTTTTAATTACTTTTTTCGCAGATGCAATATTTCTTACAAAGACTGAGGTATCATCGGCGTATTGTGAAATCTTTACTTCTCCATCTGGTATTTGTATGCCTTCAATTTCTTCATCTCTTCTGATTGATTCACTCAATATTTCGGCACATAGAATAAATAAATACGGACTTAGGGGGCATCCCTGTCGTACTCCTCTGTTCAGGTTAAAGTAGCGTGATGTATACCCGTTATTTATTACTGAGCTTTTTGCATCGTTGTATATGGTTTTGATCCATTTTCTAAAGTCTGGTCCAAAATTGAAGTAATCTAGCGTCCGATCAATAAATTTCCATTCCACTGTGTCAAAAGCTTTTTCAAAGTCGATGAAAAGCATTATGCCAGATTCATTGTTTGATTTAAGGTGTTCCATACAGTCTATTATGAGTCTAATATTCTCTGATATATTTCTCCCTTTAATAAAACCTGTTTGGTCTTCGTTAATTATTTTTGTTAAATGGGCTTTCATTCTTTCTGCTAGACATCCTGTAATTATTTTGTAGTCTGTGTTTAGCAATGATATTGGTCGCCAATTTAATAGGCGTAAAATGTCACGGTCTTTTTTAGGTAGTTGGGTTATAATGCTTCTTTTTTGTTCGGTTGATAATTCTTCTTTATCCAATGCTTCCTTGTAGCTTTTTACCAGTATTGGCACAACTGGTTCTTGGAAACATCTATAAAATTCGCTTGTTAAGCCGTCGCTGCCTGGTGACTTCCCGGTCTTCAGGGACTTAATCTGTGTTGTTATTTCTTCTAAGGTAATATAGCCCTCGCAGCTCTGTTTTTCCTCTTCTGTGAGACTGGTGATTGATTTTATAGCAGGGAAGAATGTTTCTGAGTGCTGCCTAATGTTTGGGAGCCTGCTTCTGTACAGTTCTTCATAGAACCTTGCACTTTCTTTCCTTATTTCTTCAGGATCATTTAGTTCCCTGCCATCGTCTGTATTCAGTTGTGTGATGTTCTTTTTTGCAAAATTTCTTTTTTCTAACTTCAGGAAGTAACTAGATTGTTTTTCACCTTCTTCCGCCCATCTTATTTTTGCTCGAAGTATTGCGCCCTTTGCTTTTTCATCATTCATCTCTTCTATCTCTCTTTGGAGTTGTTGTTCTTCTTCTCGTAGCTGTGTTTCATGGATGTAGTTATCTCTTAGGTTTGCCTCTATTTCTTGTAGCCGTCTTATTTTGTTGGTGATATCTAGGTGTTTTCCAGCGTTTTTTTGCTTTGAGTACCTAATGGACTCTGTTTTGATTTTGAATTTTATGAGTTCCCATAAATTTTGAGCAGTCATGTCCTTGTGCTCTTCAACCAAACCTTTGATGAAATCTTGGTTGTGTACCATTGTTTACACATAAATTTTTGAGTGTGAAAATAACTAGGCGATAAAATATTTTGTGATGGATCGGGTTTAGAACTTCAGATTTTATAGGCTTATGCCTAAACGGGCATGGGAACTCTATTAAAAAAAGAAATTTCAAGTAGGCCACTAAATTGAAAATGGTCGCAATTCCTCATGGAAAATATATTAGTTAGCAAAGGAGTTGGGTAAACAAGGCCATTTTAAGCCCCACCTGATTTTCAAGTTTTCTCTTTATTTTATTAATCTATGTGATATATGTGTTTCAAAAATGTATGAAAATTTAGGTCAAGGTCATATTCCCCAGGTCAAGGTCAAATTAAAAAATTCATTATTTTCTACCAAAATATACCTTTTTGGTTAAAATATCACAAATATCTGTAGGAATTTAGTCTCATAGAGGTTGGAATTACAATATATAGTAAATTGGCAATTTGCCAATAATGAGATATTTATATTATTAATATCATAGCAACATCAACCAATTGTCAATCAAATGTCACTCTATATCAATCCAAAATAATCCAAGTATTGGCCTCATATTATTTAAGTAACAGTCCAATATCAACCCTCTTATTTACCAAATATCACCCAATTATTCTGATTGTAATAATATCCCACTGTAAATCCAATATCAGCCAAATATGAGCCAAATAATGGACCCAATATGATAGCGATATCACCCCAATATCAATCCAATATCAATCCAATATCACCCAAATATTGGCCCAATGTGATAGCAATATCACCCAAATATCAAGCAAATATTGGCCCAATATGATAGCAATATCACCCCAATATCAATCCAATATCACCCAAATATGAGCCCAATATTATAGCAATATCACCCAAATATAAGCCCAATTCGATAGCAATTTCTGACAAATATCAATCCAATATTAACTTTATATCTGCCCAATTACCAATATATTGCCATTACATAAGCAATATCAAAAAATATAAGTTCTGATATCAACCTAATATCACAACAATCTCCTCCCAAATCAAGCTTATATTACCTCAATATCAATTCTATTATTAGTTGCAATAGTCAGTATTCTTTCTTTTACCCTATATTGTTGTAATCATGAGATCATTTACAAAGATACAATTTAGGGGTAATTAAAAATTATTGCATATTATCTGTCCAACTTTGGCATTCTTGACTTGTGAAGCTAAATCTTCTGTAACCTTTCTCCGTTTTCTAGGAGAATTTACCTGCTTCCTACATATGCAGCATGAATAGCATTTGGCCATTTTGAATAATCAACAAAAATGGCAGGCAAAATTTTCTATAAAGTTCTAAAATTCACATCGAGCATAATAAGTCTCCATCAAAATTATTCTTTGTATGCAACAATATAACATTTATGTAACTAAAGAAGCACTTATTAGAGTGGAGACTTGTTATGCTCTATGTGAAAACACTCAAAGGATTACTACCTCCAGTGAATAAAAATGTCACCCAGACTCTTCAAAGCTTTACTTACCTCTAAACTGTACATATTGTTTAAATCAATTGTATGTATGGATCAAATAAATATATATTAACATAATACTGGACAGATAAATCAAAAACATTCATTCATAGCTGAGTAAATTGGAATTCATCAAGAGGGTTGCAAAATATGTGAATTTTTTCCTTCTGGCCCCCACCCTCTTTGAAGGTCTCCAGACACCGTAACAATTTTTTCTAAATTTTTTTAAAAATACTACCCAAAAATATAGACTTCAATCTATGCATTTCTGATGTTTTTTTCTCCTTTTCTTAAAAAAAGTTTTTTCACACTTCAATTGGGGCACTCTCTGTTGCTAGTTTACCCAACTCCTTTGCTCCAAATTTTTCAAACTAATTACTGTAAATGTCTAATGGGAATAAAATCTGAGTTTGAAAAATAAATTCAATACATCTGCTCAAATTAGTTTTTGATAAATATAATCTTTGATAACACTACCAGTTGTCCGATTAGGTTCAGATTTTCTGTGCTGATGCCATCCAAGCATAGAACATAGAATTTTCAAAATGAAATATAAAATAGCCCCCTTATGATTTAATTTCTGATAACTCAAATACCAGTTATTTGGCTAAGGTTGTTGGCATATGAGTACATGGACCTTGACACAAGAAGTGATTTCTAATATGTCACATCATGCATGTAGATTTTGCCAAATGGAGACAATACCATGAAATGTTCAAAATGGTGAATGATACGATAAAACATGTTTTGTTCAGTGAAATTTGATATTTCAGGGAGTTGCTGTTTTCCTAGTTCATCCTGTTCAATGTTAAATGAATTTCCATTGCATCTTTGAAACTGAATGCTCTTTCTATTTTTTCAAAGCTTTAATTATTCAGCATTACATGATTCTGCATATAATCTTCTGATTATCGTGCAATTATGGCTTTTGTATAAATGGATATGTGTTCCTCTTTATGTACATTGTATATTTTGAAAAGTACTTTGATGTGCTTATTACAGTGAAAAAGCAAAATGTCTTCTTGTATTTGACAGACATTTTCTTTTGCTGGACATATTTTCAGTTGTATAATTATTAAACTCAAAAAAGTTTCATAAAAATATAAATCTATTGAAAATTCAAGTTTAGAGGAACTCTAAATACTAGCCTAGATATTCAGTTACCTTTATTTTCAGATTTATTTTATTTAGGATGCCAATTACTTAACTCCCTCAGTTATTGACACATTTTTGAACAATTTGGTACCATTAATTCTTGTAGTTAGTGAAAATGTTTTTCTGGCTGTACAATGGATATTAAACCCACAGGCTAATAGAGCACACATTTCAGGATCATGTTTGTGAGTAAATACAATATATATCAATAGCATTGTACACACATTTTAAATCAAATCTACAATTATGATACTGTGCAGATAAATTAATGACCTGATGAAAACTTTTTAAAAACCCAATCTCCAGTTTTGGAATCTTACTTTCTCAATTATGATAGAATCTTTTGATTTTCTTGTGTAAATATGGTTCACAGTGGTTTTCTCTGCATCAACCTGTACAAGTATTGCTGATATTCAGATCTATTTAATTCCCACAGACTTTGTTAGAGTACTTGGTCCTCTCATAAAAACATGCTTTTTAATGAACTTCCATATTTATTTTTCTCTCCCAGCCGTATGTACTTTACTCTAACTACTTATCGCCTACTAAATCCTTAATCTCAGGTATAACTCCGAAGAGAGTCAATGACACGTTATTAAAGGCAATTTTTTATAAATGCACTTATTATGGAAATATTATTCCAATTTCCTGAGTTGCTGAAAGTTACAGTCAATGGACAAAATAAAATGATATTAAGAATAAGAGTCTGTCGGTAAATGTGTTTTCAACCCAATTTAAGTTTCACTGATTGTTTTATGGAATGTAGTAAAAACAGGAAATTAGTGAAAACACACTAATATCTACTATGACACCTTACCCTGCTGGAGACTTTTGAACTTACTGGGTCCAGATATAGCAGTGTTTTCATCCCTTATTTCAACATTGCTGCTAATGGGGAAACCTTACTAGAAATACTGAAGGATGTTCTGAGTTGTAAACTTACTTATCAATAATTTTAAGTAGTAATACAAGATGACTTTCTGCTGGTATATGGAGTGATATTCAAATCATGTATTTTTCATATCTATCATCTGTCAAGATCAGAAGCCAATATGTGAAATGTTTGGAGAGTATGCTTTTCATGAAAGTGTAGAGCCCTTTGATGTGCTTGAATGATATTAGTCTAAAGATAATTTGATATTTTGGAATATGCTTGTGAATGCATAAACAAACATACAAGCCATTATCAGATAAAAAGAGCAATTAAATATATTGCATTCGTCTCCACATTTCTGTGTGGAACCTTTAGCTTGACTAATCTATGGAAAAGTAGTTCTTTTGTTGGAAGGATACTGTGTTGATTAAAGTAAAAAGTGTTGAATCTAGGGCATATAGTGTGTGGGAATATGCACAGATTTCAATGTAACAGTTCACCTGATTTGCCATTACACTGTTACAATACAATGTATATTATATCAAGTATCTTTGTTTGATTCCTGTCAGTTGCAGTATGACTAGGCCATTCAAATTTAAATATACATTTTATATGTCACCACCCACCAGAAGTGGTGACATATTGCTATTGTCTCCATTTTGTGGATGGTTTTCGGTGGTGGGCATCTGTAACAAATGGCAGGTTGTGAAATTTGGATGTTAATGTCTTTTTATTATTAATTTAACACATCCTCCCTCTAAAATTGAGGAAACTTTTCAGGAGACAGACAACGTTTAATGATATTATTATGACTCCAAATAGTAGTTAAACTTGTGATCTAAGAATGATGTTCTTAGTGAAAATGCATTTTACAAATGATGATTACAGCTTGAGATATTGTCATTATACAATTTATTATTTGTAGGTGCAGCATTGTGATCTGATACAGGAGATGGAACATTCAACTGTAGGGAACATCAAAATACCAGGTAAGAAAGAAGTAAAAATAATGCTATATCTTGAAATATTTCATTGTTCTTTTCATATGTCTCTTATACACCAATAGACCTTTGATAAAAAATGTGATTGAGATTTAGATATCTTGTGTAGGTCTGTGGTAATATTTGTAACTTCATAATAATAGGCCACCATGGGTGTAGCGCTATTTTTCTAAGAAGTACGCCACCACCACAGGAACAAGAGTTGAGTGGATCAAAAATTGAGCATTGACAGGGGGGTCTGGGGGTTCTCTCCCCAGGAAAATTTTGAAATTTGGTTCTATTTGGAGCGAATTTGCCACCATCTGGTATGCCTGTGCGTACCCAGCGTACCGGGCGCTACACCCATGGCCACTTAAAGTTTGTTTTCTATTACAATATCCATGAAGTGATTTCCCTTTACGGAGATTATTGTAAAACAATGGAGTCAGTTAACTTTTACCTTGGCTTGGTTACATTATATAAACTATCAGTACCTGAGTTTAATTTTTAGACATTTGCAATAGATATCAGTTATTATGATATTGTGGTCCATCTGCCATTTGACTTCATAACATTGTCATATCCACCACTTCAGAAATACAATATACAAAACAAGATTAATAACTACTGAAAAGAATACAATTCCAAATGAATAAAATTATCATTGTCATGGAACGTCAAAAAGGATGACAAGAATGTAAAATGTCAGTGTGGTATCTGAGTTGCACCATCTTCATGAAAGATAAATGATTAATTTTTGATGTAAAGTTATATAAATATTTTTTATGAGTCATCGAGGTTATCCACTGGGAGGGATTGAATATTGGTTTTATACCATATATTCCATGTGGGACCAAAGGGAATATATCATGCTACATTGCTCTCTCATCCAGGTGTTAGACCCTTTCCAAATAGACAGTACATGTATAGTAATAAATATAAGTATATATTGTAGTTGTTATGAAATAATGAAATTAATTAATCAATGAGTCACAAAGACCCTATGTTATGAAAACGAATTTATGAATACGAATGCATAAAATGTAACAATAAAAAGCCACTTTATCAGTTTATAATATATAACACACAACATATACTTCATTGGATTTCATTAATCATTCCCTATGCTCTCATTGTCACTAGAAATGGTGATTTCAACAAACATAATGAATGATTTAAATTGCCTCAGATCTGAATGTGTTTGTCCTGGGAAATCATCCCAATGAATAATAGCCAACACACAATAAACCTTTCCAGTAGAATGATATACTGTTTTGCGTTACAGTGTACAAACTTTGATAGTTTATAGCTTATTTAGATGGGCAAAACTGTAAGCATTGCAAAGGTTATAATTTAATTTTTTCATTCATTTACTTATCAATTAGCTCTGGAAGATTTTTTACTTTTGATTTTGATTGCTTATAATTGCTTCTACGAGGGACTTATATTCAAAGATAAGTGTATGCTTTTACATTGCCTGTAATATTAGATGATTGCATAATTTTGAATATTTTGCTGTTTTTAAAAGTTCTAAATATGGCTTGCCTTAGTTTACCTTAACTTTTATTGGATATTTTACTTTTAATGATCTGACTGATTGAATTGTCCAAGTTATTCTGAATCAGAGCCAAGAATATATTCCATTAATTCAATGACAGACAAGTGTATTAAACACAATTCTTGCTTTTAGCAACAACTTGCCAGGAAATTACTTTCTGATAAAAGTTGACATTATGCCATTCAGATCAACTGTTTTTTCCATGGCTGTATCCATGCATTATAATCCAGTAATTGAGGATATGATGTAAATGCAATATTTCCTTTATGGAGTCTTCATTTCAACCGAGGCATGAGAATAATATTATTTTATCAAGGAATGACTTTTAGAACAACTTGACTCCGTAATTGGAACAATAAATTTTCACAAAATGTCATTAAAAACAAATTTCATATAATTGTACAAAAATAATATTTTCCAGGATCTTTCTATTCTATCAGTAGGATAATGTTTTTACTTTGAATTTCCTTCATACAAAGGTCCTTCTATGGATGAGTTTAAACAATCCCAAATCACTCCACCCCTTGAAAATATGCATCAGTAAGTAAGAACTCTCAGGCCCAGCTTGTCTAAAATGAAACATGTATTGATAAGTCAATAAAACAAATATCAGGCAAGTACCTTAAAAGGAGATGATTTCTCTACTTGCGGAGAAATCCAATCAAAATCTTAGATGCTTGTAACTGGAGAGAAGTTATCCATGTTTCTATCTCATTGATTTATAGCAATAGACTTTTGATAGCCTGCTGCCTAACTCAAAAAACTGTAATTGTTATTGATGTTTCTTACATTTGAATTGCTCTGTTAATTTCCTTGCTGTAACTGGAAGTTATGGTTTTAATGAGAGATGTAGAGTTCTATTTTGTCTGAAGGGACCCCTAGGGTTAGGCACGTTTTCTTATTGTTTAATTAGTGAGGTCATCAAAAGAAGCAACATTTTTAAAAAAGAAAAAGCCCCGATGGATTTGAAATACAAAAAAATAAAAATTGAATTAAATTCATCACAAAATTCAAATCTTTTACTAATTTAAGGCAGTCTGTTATTTTCTGATTCTAGGTCCAGCTGTTAAATACAGTGAGAGCAAGACTGTTCTACAGGGTGCCCCACCTACCCTGGGCCAACACACTAGTGAGGTACTCACTAACATGCTAGGCTATTCCACAGAACAATTGGAACGTTTATACAATAATGGGACAGTGCAATAATTATATCAAGAGGAGGAAAATGTGCAGTAGCCTAATCCCATAGATAAGGAATAACTTTAACTAAAGCCAAGTTCACACCAACGGTGCTTTGATGGCGCTTTAAAGCGACGTTCAAAGCTTTAAAGCACCGTTGGTGTGAACTTATCTTTAAGATACTTTGATACAATATATAAAACATAATGCTCAAAGATGTGGCAGCTAATGAACATTGGTTTACAGTTGAATTACACAACATGGCAGACTTTTTTAGGAATGAGAATTTTTGCCTTAAATGTTTTATTAGCATTGGAATTATCTTTTTAGCTCATATTTTAAGTCATTTTAATCTTCGTCCAGCACAACTCTAGTCAAATTTTTGATTATCCCACTGGACAAAGTTTGAGTGAGGATACAGAAAAGTCTTTACATCCGTTCATTCGTCTGTCCATCCATGTATGTCTTCCTGGAAGATAACTCAAATACTTGTTGATGGATTTGGTTAAAATATGTACATGTAGATACCTCATGAGCATACACTCTCTGCTCTAGAAGGAATTTCCAATATGGCCATTCAAATCAAAATATCCACCATTTTTTGTAAAAAACAATCTTTGATAACTTAAATACCAGGAGTCAGTTTTGGTCGAAATTTTAAAGGCTAATGCCTATTGCCATGGGGCCTCTAACATGAGAAAGAATTTCTAATATCATTTGGCATCATTGGTATAGATTTTGCCAAAATGAGACAATACTACTACATGATTATTTCTAACATGGAATGTTCAAAATGATTTGAATGAAGAAACATGTTTTGTACAGTGGGATCTACCCAGGGGGAACTACATACTACTCCAGGCAGCTTTGAATTTCTAGTTATACATGTAGTTCATGTACATGTTTTTACTTAATGAAGAACTTGTAATTTAACTTCTGTTGAGAATCATGAAATAAAGCGTTCATGTATAATAATATAGAACTTTGATGTATCTCTCAAGTACATTTACGAAACCTGTAATTATTTAAGTTTTTCAAGACTTATTATATCTACAGTAAAACCTGTCTTAGTAAACACCCCTCTTTAATGAACACCTGTTTCTTGTGATCACCCTTTGTCTGCACATACTCTACTGACTTCTGTATTGAACACCTACCAACACTGAACATTTTTTCTCAGCCAAAAAATGTACGATTCACACAGGTATTACTGTATTTCATTATAAGGATTTTTGAATATTATATCAGCTTAATTCTTTATACTAATTACATCTAAAAATCTTCATCCTTTAGCACTATTCATATTTTCCTTTCACTCACATCTTCTTTCAAACTTCACATTCGTACTCTTGCTTTCAGATAAATATTAGGCATTCAACCCATGTCATGCAGGAAAAGAAAAAAGAAAGCTTAAGATAAATCTTAACATAGCCCAACACCTGACACCCTAAATATATTATAGATTCTCCTTTGAAAGTATTTGAATGTACCCAGTACCAAATGTTGAATTAAATTCTTTGAAAAGTAAGTTTCCGAATCATCCCATTGTAGCAAGTTGTTCATTTATTTCTAGGGCCTTTGAACTCGAGAACATTTTTGTTTTTAATATGAGGCTTTATCCAATGCCAAGTAGAGTTTTAGGGAGATAAGTTGAAAAGATATATCCTGTATCCTGATTTTGAGGTTTCCATATCCTGAACCTCCATATCTCCTGCCATATCTCCCGCTCCAGGGCATATCTTCCCGCTTCGAAAAAAATGAAAAAATAAGAAAAATTGAAAAAAAAGAAAAAATGTGAAAAAAAATTTTTGAAAATAAAAAGTTCAAATAAGAAAAAAATAGAAAAAATAGAAAAAATTCAAAAAAATTGAACTTGAAAAAATAAAAAGTGAAAAAAATTGAAAGAAAATTAGAAAACTCTACTAGGTATAGGATAAAGCAGTTATGTACGGTCGGTTTGGATATTGGGTTCATCCCTCTGGATAAACCCCATATCCAAAACCTCCCAGTACATAACCCTTATATATATTTTTACAATTCCTGAAAGTATGGTCTCTTTCTCCCAACTCAAAGGTTGTAGGTCACTGGATTGTTTGTATAAATTTGACTAAATTGTAGAACATTAATGAAAAGAGAATACCTGTAATGTATCTTTGCCGAACATAGTGACTCTAACACTGTAAATAGACAAATACTCGGTAAACAGAGTATTATTCATATGTGTTGACTGAATATTTATTTTAAGTTAATTAATCCTTCTCATTAAGCATTCATTCAGTATCTCTGATTTCAAAAGGATGCAATATCCCTGCTTAAGGATCTAACCAGACTTAATCTCCATATCAGTTTGTATGGGATTATCAAATGACAGGATCTTATTAAGGGATTTATATACTAATTATCTTGTAATTTAACAGATTTTTGTGCATCCTTGTTGTTGCAATTGGATTTTCAGTACAAGTCATATTGATTTTCCAAAAAGTGCATAAAGAGAGAAATATAAATTGAAATTGGGTGTATTGCTGAACAATGCGTACCTCTACTAGACACACCCTTTGTACTTGCAATTTCCTTAAGGCTAGGTAATATAAATAATTCGTTGAGTATCTCCAAGTCACAGTCAGATTCTAGAAGTCATGGCAGGCCAAGCTTTCATACAAGACAAGATTTGAATTGTATTTTAACAGGTACATGTACGTTGCTATTGGAGAATAAACTGTAGATCAGTATTGCATAGGATCATATACCAGATTGTGAAAAAAATAACGTTAAACATCGAATTTAAATACCATATCCTTGCTATAAGTGAATTGTTTATGAGAATTTTCACACATGGCAGGAAATTCATTTAGAAACTTTTATCAACGAGTAGGCTGGAATAAATGATTGTAGATTAGTTACAGATCTTTGCAGAGTTGAAGTACTCTATCCGGTGAATAATGTTGATATTGGCCCCAGACCTGGTTCCAGGGACCACCAGGGTATCTACCTGTAGGTTAGCTACTTTAGAGGAATATGACCAGGGCATTGTGTTTTCCTGTATATCCAGGCAAAAATCAAACTAATGCCCATTTAATTCATTAATTTCCAGGAAACTGGAAATATATGGGTTTTAAATAGCCCAGGGCTCTATCGATGCAATAAAAAGGCAGTATGGCCATCTCATATAAAACTAATTAGTCATTTCTCTGTGAATCCTTATTAGGAACCTGAGAATGTTGTTACCTTCAGTTGATTTGATTCTGTCATGCACAACACAATGGCATTACAGGATACCCGTACCCTCTGTGAATGGTCTATTAATTCCAACTCATGCAAGATGTCAATAAATCAAAGCTCTCCGTAACACAAGTATTGAAGAGATTACTTGCAAAGTTGGAGAAACGCTTCATTCATCAGTAGCAATCATTATAAATCTACTTAGACATTATTTTGTTCATCCTTAAAAGGATATAACTTTCTTGAAATGATCTTTAAATGCTCATTAGTTTACAGTTGAAGTCTACTTGATTTATCATATTATCATACAGAAAACACCTTCGAATGTGGCAACGGTTTTGTATATACAATTGATATTTTTATGTTGCCACCAAGAAGAAGTGGTATTGTAGTGGTATAGTAGTTTGAGACCTGCATTTATGTTTGTAACAAGTTACATTTTTATAGCCATTTACATTTGCAAATTGACCAGCTCATGGTTTTGGGATATTGGGTTTGTTTTTCTTGACTGGTATGCACTTAGAGTTTGCTTTTTCTTGCTAAGTTCCATTATAACTGTTGGTCCTTTCCCTTTGGCACATGTGCTTAGATATTCACACAATGCCTCATTTAAAATTATTTAATTGTGTTATTTTTTCTGTCCAAAATGATCAAAAACTGATCGAAATGTCATTTGCCTTGTTGTTTGTTCAAATGTGTAAGCGCCAGATCAGACAAACGCTGGATAATTGTGTAGCGCTTTTTCTAATAAAGCGTTAATGACATTGTTTCATCACCCCATGGTGATGCCAAGGCAGTGTACCAATCAAGTTCAATGAAACTATTTAATAAAAAATAATCTTGATGCATTCTCTAAGAATGAGTGGGAAAGTCATTGGTGAATATCTAACTCAGTTACTTGAGCGTTTCTATAGCTCTCGCAATGGAATTCCTGGGAATGTATGAAGCAATAATTATCGTTGGTTTACATAGCAATTCACTGTTTTGACAAACGGCAAAGCGGTCGATAGATATATTCTATACTTATTATACAGAGCCAAGTCAGCGCAAGGGTAAGATTGGATGTATGGATTAATAATCCAGTAGGCTCCGTGAATCTGTCACTGGGAGAACAACTTTGGGCAAGGTAAGATCATCTGACACCCGCAGGAGACCAATGACACGAGGACCAATGACACAGGGGCTACGACAAATGAGGATAAGTGTCACTCTCGGGAACTTTCATTAGAAGAAACAACACAATTACGAACTCTTAAGATAAAATTAGGAGAATTAACTAATCTGGTGATTAATTTCACGAAATGGGCTTGAATTACGTGTGAACAGCGGCGACAGACCTTCGGTAAATTATCTACGTTTCAATAGTTGTGACCAGATTCTAAAATGGTCGGCTTAGATTATGTTTCGGTTTATTCGTGGAGAAGTACAATAAGCTTATTGTAATGAAATGACCACTGTAAAATCAGATATTAAGCTGTTAAACTCTCGGCCTATGGCAACCCACCGTAAACCAGTCGAGCTTAAGATTATCCTCTCGACGATATAACACAACAATACCAAAATTGACTTTGAATACACTTTTGGCACAGTCCGGCCTTTAAAATTCACACCGATACCACATATGAAAACTACGCTGAAATCTGTATCATGGACAGCACGGAGAGAAAGTGAGAGTGAGAGAGACTAAGGGAAGGAAGGACGGATAATACGATGGGTGATAAGGCGATAAACGGAGATGTTGAAGAGATGGAGGAGGTTGTGATTGACCCCGAAAAGGTCAACAGAGTAAAGAGCGTATTCCGAGGAAGCCTCAAGGAAGTACCTCCACTCAGCTCAAAAATTGTCCGTATTTTTACCAGCAGTACTTTTACAGGTAAGTAAAAATGATAATACAGAATTTAACACAACAATGTCAAGCTTATATATGCTTAATATTGTCTATTTACCGGCTTCCAATTAAATGCCCATTTTAGGCAAAATGCCGATAGGCGATGGGTCATAGATTCCCAAGGCAAACTTCGACTTTTCCTGTCTGATCTCGTGTCATAAAACCTATACATAATAACAATTGTTTACCGTCGAACTTTCCCCGTGTAACACATTCACATAAGTGCTCGGCGATCGAAGAATCTAGATTCCGGGGTAGATGTTTTTTGTGATGTATCATTCAGTCAACAACACCCCAAGGAAGTGTTTTATTATCTTCAACGTCTCCATCCTTTTTAATTACAGATAGGGTGACGTATTGAGTCTGTTTAAGGGATACATTGCATTAACATTAATGTCAAATAAGGAATTGTTACTTTCAACAGACGGTTGGTTTTAGTTACATTTAAGCTCTCAAAGTTCATGTTCCACTTGTCCATTAACAATTTGCACATGTTGTATGCCATAACATTTTCCTCTCCATAAAGGTATATAATGGTACTTCAGTTTTTCCTTTATCGTTTCTGTAGAAATTGATCAGATATAAAAATATTTTGATAAACGGATTTGAAATAGATTTGTATCCAATAGCTGTCTTGGGAACCATGCAGTTACTCCACGGAATTAAAGCGTTACATTCCAAACTAAATTGCATTTATCATTTTGGGGGATTTGTTAATATATATGCCGGTTTTGATTATAATAAATGCTTAATAGGGCTCTGTTTCAAAGATATTCCAATTTTCATAAAATTCGGAGTGGCCTGTATATTTTGTACTCAACCAAGACCTAAATACAAAACCATGAAAATGCCAAGGCTTGAATAAATACTCGTTTAGTTCCTAATAAGCGGCATGTATAAATTATAATGGATGCATATTATCAATTTCGAGGACATTTTTAAAATCTTGAATACTTTACAGAAAAGAAGATTTGGTGTGTTAAAACACAAAAATAAAATAGAATAAATAGGATCAGAAATAGGTGACTTATTTCTCCATGGCTCCTTTTTGTACATCAGCATATGAGATAGATAGATTGATGAATGAATAAGCCTCTTTTAACAAAAAAAGTTATTGTAACGTTATTGTTTTACCTTTTACACCATTTAACTTTCATTTACAACAGCCAAGTGACATTTATTAAAATCAGCTAATAGAGACGGGTGGAAATTATTTAGAGACTTTTCTTGTTATAACCAATACGACTCACCGGGAATCATTTGGATCCAATCGTTATAACAAATAGTAGGTGTTGATTTAATACTAAAGACAATAGGATAGTCAAAGAGTCTGCCGAACTTGATCAATTCGACTTTCATTAACGTATATCGACTCTTGCTTTCTCTCATGGGAAGATTACATTTATAAAACTGATCCTTTTCTCGTGTGACAAGAGTACTGGATTAAAATATTTCTGTCACGGGGAAGCATATCAAGGTTGAGTCTGATGGGATTACCTTGCCGTTCTATTGATTCTTTATAATTGCAACTTTCCTTTTATGATATAATAATTGAAACTGAGACCAATTTCAGACTGTATCTTCTTTGATATCGAGGCTTTGTTTTTATTACGTCTGAATGTGCACTCATAAGTTTGATTTCTTGCTGATTCTGTAGCCTGATCCCCAGATCCCTCCCCTTTTGGCACATTTGTAAATTGGATGCTTCATGGTTAATCGGGAGATTGTTTAGTTTTATTGTTGGGACTTTCGTTCTTCGAGCAAGGCACGGCCATTGCGTGTCTCATTACAATGAATTGTATTTATTTCTGAGTCAGACGTCAAATTAACTTTTGATTTCTATGTGGCAATGGAAGCATGGTATTCAATGTTAGAATATATCTCCGTAAACACTGGAAAGAACATCTATCATTACCTGGAACTCATGTTACTAATTACTCTTGAGTAATTAGATACCACTTCTACTTTGTATAATACGATAGCCCTTGGGAGGCCAGTATAAGTAACGATCTATCTTGCTTGAATATTGCATGGATTGATTAGTAGGCATATATCGCCTCTTTTGTTTTATCTAATAGGCCAATTATTCGAATCGGTTTTGTTATAGTACGTGGTAATTTGATTAACTCGTCTTCTGGTTCTGCCCCAGAAACCATAACCCGAAAAACGCAAATAATAGTATCTAACCGGGTCTAACCCATTATTCTAACTGAACTGATCCAAACTATATTTTACTTATTTTTTAGATACAACAGTAGAACGCAATGCGTTGATGGCAAACATCTATCCAAAATTGAAAGAATATTGCAGAGAAAAACATGGATTGGAATTCCAGGTAAATTAAGTATTAATCTAACATATAATTGATAATGTATTATTTATATGTTACGGAATTAATGGATCGAATGGGATTCGACATATGGAATTATTTTGTTGGCAACCCTAAATTCCTATTTTGAATAATCGATTTGGGTGAGATAATTATGACTTTGATGATTAAAAAAGCAAAACATTGGGATTTTAACATGTGGTCCAATAGGGAGTTGTTGTTGCAACATTTACTTTTGGAAGGTTGTGTAACAAGCGTCTGACTCTCCATCTATGAGGTAAAGCACAAATGTGAAAATTAGATATCAATTGACGTGGATTATGGTTTAATCACGTACAGTATATACTTATCTATTGGAGCCCTGTGTGGGTTGATAGTCTACTGATTGCTCTACGACGTCAAATAACGTCTCTAGTTGTTTGGCGTAGGCTTCTTGTACACACAATTATAAGTCATTACGTAAGCAAGATATAACATAATATCAATAGTCAGCAAATATCAAAAAGCAAATACCGAAAATGGACCGGACCGGGAGTCCTGTCTCATGCCAAGATGTTTGAAGAAACTCCATTAAAACTTTCACTTCAGATTCATAGAGAAATTTAAGTTTTCTACAGCAGTACGTAGTTATATTTAGTATTCAATACAAATATGACAATAGGAATTAATTTTGAAATTATTGTCCTTGAAATATCTTTAAAACGATGTTGATGTTAGGATTTTTCCATTTAAAACTTCAAATGTAAGTTCTATTGTTACTGATTTGGCTGTGACATATTTTATATAAGGTCAGATAACAATTTATCGTGTTCTTCGGATTTATTCACTATCGGTATGCCAATAATCTTTATGTGTATTCATTGCAGTGAGGAAAGTAACTTCCACCGTCAAAATAAGTCCATTTCAAATCAAACTATTGAAACTATTGAAAAACAGCAAGAAAAAGACGTCTGAGCTGAGAGCAGGACTAGTAATAAGGAAAACAAACCTACGATATCCCCGATTATGCACAAATTAACCAGAACATCCAGGAATGATTAACCTAGTCCCGAACTACAATATCATTGGACATTTCATTCATACTTTTACGTTACATACTTTCTTGGATAGATTCCATTAACTGATTATACTATATTATTATGCAACAATGGGTGCACAAAACATCACTTCTACCATGGGGTTTGGCAATACTTGTATATATTATGCGAGTACTTGGTATTTTGTACCATAATTCTTTTTAAATTGCATTAACCTCCAGTTCCAATATCCAATCTTAATCCATAATAATGATGTAATGTAATACTTGTTTAGTTGAAGCTATTGATTCTAAAATAGGTAATAATATCATTATTTTCAAGTACAATAGATATTTGTGGGCGTGAATATGATCTAAAAATTCTATTTTTAAGGAACAAGTAAATAAGTCTTGCCTAAACAGGGAATCAAACTTAGGGTATAACAAAACTGCGCTCACATATTATTCTCTAAGATTCCATAATAGTACTGTTTTCCAGGGAAATAATGAAGGAATAAAAATCGTATTGAATCGTATTACATGAAAAAATCGTATTGTCCCCAGGAAAAATCGTATTGGAACGTATAACATGAAAAAATCGTATTCTCTTAATGTAACATTTTAGAGGGGAGTATTATGGAATAGATAGGTTATTTCTGGTTGGGTTTGAATATGGGTTTTATTCCTTTGAAAATATGATATTGACCTTGGGCGATATGATATTGACACTATCAATATATCACATTGTCCCTCGGAATAAAACCCATATTCAATCCCTCCCAGTAAATAACGTATATTTATTGAAAGGCCCTTGTACAATGTACCTGTAATTAAATTCCTTAGTGTTCAATTCATTCAACTATTTCGTCATATTTCCAGGTAGTGGACATGAGGTGGGGAGTCAGAGACGAGGCTACCGAGGATCATATGACAACTGAGTTATGCATGCAGGAAATCCTCAATTGTCAGCGTCTCTCTATGGGACCAAACTTTGTGGTAAGGGAACTTCATAGATACCAGTCAGATAATGGCTTTAATGTATAAAAACGTCCAATGCTAAGAATCGCTACAAGCCAGGTCGATTTGGTTACTATTTCCAGATCAGAACCAGATCGTATGTAGTCTCTTTAGATCTCGATTTTGAATATACTTACCACACAGAAATATCTCAGAATGCACAATTTAACATGAACAATCAACAATCAACATCATTAAAACGTTAACATTAAAATTGTATCTTATCATATTATGTAACATAACTACAAATCGATTCACGAACTACCTGTAGTTAGTACACAATCAATGCTCGCGTATGTTGTACATACGCTGTGAAACCTAATACTACAAGTAGTTTGGTGGGTGTTGGCAGAATCCCTACCCAGTATAATTGAATCTCCTGGCAGGTTGATTTGTCGGAACCGATCGTTACATTAAATTAATCTCACAATGTATAATATTTGGGAAATCATTTCAAGTGACCTCCCTTTTGACTTAGCTAATATTTAATTCACATAAGAGTATAGAGCAAGCATTTCGAATCTAGAGCCATGATTTGTACATTCACATTCGCTTTGTTTGTCCACAATTATTACATCGTTAAGTAGCTTGTCATCTGCATTTTATAATTGTGGCGTTCATTTAGCAATTTAATTTATTCTCGAATTGCGTTTCTCATTGATTAGCTTGGGAATTAGAGTATCATAATACACTACTCTGACAATGTCAGCATTTCAGATGACATCCCACCAGGCAGGCAAGCTAAACTCAGACCAGACACGTATAATTAACCAAACGATAGTTACAAAACCCCCATGCACCTACAATAGATCTCGAAAGACGCATGGAGAATGTTGAAACATAATCAAAAGCAATAACCAGGATTTCATTCAACTTATTTGTTTGATCGACCCAGGTTTTAAAGATAGAACTCTGAAGCAACAAGGAATACTGTATGAGTGTATCATTTCCACAAGAGACGTGATCCCTCTGGAAATATATCTTGAATTAACAAAAGCTTCATTGAACAAAGTTGTCAGTTTATAGATTTTCGTTGTTTCAATATAATCACTGGTAAATATCTATTGGCAATGACGGCAGATCTGTGTATATAACTGACTTCAGTGTGTTGAGGATAATTTTACAAAAGTCCTTCCTTTTACAAAATCGCTGACAGATAATCTGATTCTATATTATATAGTCTTCATTTCTTTTTGTAACACAAATGTCGGTGCAGGAACGGAAAGGTCGAAATTCATTGAAAAACAGATAGAAAAGTAATATGTGATCACAACTTGTCATAATAAAAAAATCCCCATCATCCGAAATAATGATCTAATGCAAAACAAAGCAGTATCTAACACAAAACAAAGTTATCGGAAAAAGTAGATTACATAATGTATCAAATGGGCAACTAAACTCTCTGTGCCCTGTAGTATATTCTCCTTTATGACTTTAATTTATTAAGTTCTGGGTAATGAGATTTTCTTTGCGTAGCAGTAGATTAACTACAACTCATTTGAAAAGCGATTAAGAGTGAAGTCTCTCTAGGAAACACTTTCACCCAATATGTCAATTTCTTTGTAATTTATAATGCCAATGTCAGCATCGTTTCATCCATCATACGGCTATGTAGAAACACTGGTGTTGATTAAACGATATTTTGTTGACTTACATTAATATCTTATGAGGTATTTCCGCTAGTTAAGTTGGACGCACTGGCATGTTATTTCTCGCAATTCACAGTTGCCAAGCGTCAACGTTCATGAAACTTACATCTAACATGATTTAACTCTAAGTTGTCTCAAGTATAGTCCGAGACTTGATATTCAATAGAATTCGACTTCGTTTCAGATTTAACATGGAAAGGTTAGGAGTTATCTAATCTTTTAATCCAGTGAAGACATCATGATGATAAGTTACAATCGTCTTGGAGTTTTTTTTAATCAGTTTTGTTTATTTTTCGAATTATTAATATCAAAATCTAACATTTTAAAACACATAAGCGCAGACACACGCACGCCAACACGGCAATATAGCAGCTTTTTAACATTCGACGGGTTTTAGGGTATAATTTCCACGCCCCATTCGCGGATTACAGACATGTTCACAAATAGTGCAACATTGTATTCATCTGTCTTGATATTTCAGGTTTTCCTAGGTCAGAAGTATGGTTATCGGCCTATCCCCACAATCATCCCTGCTAAGGAATTCGAGATGCTTCGCGAAGTAATCAAGGGAGTAGCTAGTGAGCTGGAGTTACTAGACGAGTGGTACAAGAAGGACGACAACGCTGTACCTGCTATATATGTTCTACAGCCCATTAGCACCAACTTACCATATTTTAATATGAAGGTGCGCTTCATTAACTTTTCTTAACAATATGTAATTAGAAGTAGAAATGTAATGCAAGAGAAAATATCAAGGTAATTTAGGTTTCTCCTATTTCCAATTGGATTTCTATTTTGTTTTCAGCGTAATCCCAAACTTCAAGAGAGGGACCAAGCCTTATGGTGGGAGACATTTGGCAAGCTCACCAAGATGTTGAGAAAAGCTGCAAACGTGCTTTTTATTGCTAGGAAGTTGACTCGGGAGCAAATGCACAGCTACTTTATGTCAGGTGCGTATAATTCACCCATTTCAACTGATCTGTATTTACATTGAAATACCTCTCATACAAGTAGATCAGTTCAAATTGTACATATTTTGTACATCCTCCATTCGAAATGCTCAGACCTCAAGTTTCCCCGCTTTAGAAAGGTCTGAAGATCTGCGTTTGCAGAATGGGTTAAGTATGGCAGTCAGGACCTATTCTACTGCATTGTTTGCAAAACTCGCCACGTTCATATCAAGGACGTGCTTGTCCACATTAATATTGCATGAAAGCAGAAATGTATAGGTACACCAAAATATTTTATTAATTCATTCGCCTCCCTTGTCGCAAAATACTTATCAAGCAATAGAAAGTCACTTTGGTTGCTGTTCCATCATTCAAACACAGTTTTTAATGATATCTCCATGGCGACAATGTTTTCATATGTAAATGTTTGTATGCAATTCTTGGGTGCCATGGTACCTTATAATACTCAAAAGAGACTTAAAGATATGTTTGAATATGATTAAGCCAACCACTTAATGCATTTGTCATGTCAGGAAAATTTATCGAGAAAATATTTTAAAACATTGAATTTTTTCTGTACAGGTGTAATCAATCATAGATTTATATTGGTCCAACTTTAATTAAAACTACTAAAGTCAAGGATATTATGTAGACGCTAAACTATATCCCTTCTATACCTGTCTATTAAACCAAGAACATACCTACTTGACGGTAAAACATATTCCATCTAGATTCTCAATCCAATTCAATAGGCGTCAATAGAAAGTTTTATGACAGTGCGGAAATTCAAAACTCAAGTATTACTTCGACGAAAGTCAATTATAACTTATTTTTCTTCGTATGTCAGGCTAAGAACAATTTATTTTTTCCTTTGTATACACTTGTTATTGATGCTCTATTTACATTTAACCTAATAGAACCAAATCCGTTTTATATAGGATTTATTCATCGTTAATGCCTATATATGATCAGTTGAAAATAGTAAGATATGTAAGTTAAAGTGCTAAAGAAGATGTAGACCTATTACAAAACATCAGGAAAATAGACATACCATAATCTTATACACAAAGAAATATATGTGACACCCCAACTCCATTTAGGAATCATACCATACCACTCTGGGCATACCACCCGATAAGACATTGACAATTTCATCCAAACTGAAGTCATTGCGATTACGTGTTATATACATCGTGTATTGGAAACATAACATTAATATTGGTAATTCTTTTGTTTTCAGTGACAGAACGAGAAATCCATAAAGGAATTTTGAACGCTCAAGATACACATGAACATTGCTTGGCCTACTTCCGTTACATCAACAACATGAACACAACTCTCCTTAAATTCGCCACAAAATTTGTTGACATTGCTGCAAGATCAGTTGACAACGAAGCTCAAAAACTATTAACAACTCTCAGAGAGACAAAAATTCCTGCAAAAATTACTAGCGACAATATTGTTAGATACACTGTAGACTGGAGTGGTAAGGAAGGTATTGATGCCGACTCACACGCTGATTATATTAATGAATTCTGTAATAGTTTCCACGACCGAATTATTGACTTGGTCGACAGAGCCGTTAATAAACACGCTCAGTTGACGAACGACAGGGTGTATGGCGAGAGTCTCCAGCATCTGCATATGTGCATGAGATACGCAAAGATATTTCAAGGCAGGGAGGAAATCATAGCACTTATAAGGGAATATTTTGAAGGCCCTTCTCAGCTCCCCCTTATTCTGAACGGTGAAAGTGGCTGCGGGAAAACATCATTACTTGCAAAAGCGGCGAGCATGGTTGGTCCTATTTTTATTTTTGTTATCCAATTGATTTGATGAAAAAGTTATTTTGATAATGTTTAAATTAATATCGTGTTGTTTAACTGAAACTTATTTATCGAATGTTTTTGGCCATGTATTTCTAGATTACTGAATGGTATCCTAAAGACTGTGAGCCAGTAATGCCATTAAGGTTTCTTGGTACAAGCCCCGACAGCTCAACGATCATTCCCCTACTGACCAGCCTGTGTCATCAAATCGCTGCCAACTATGATCTACCTAGGGACGAAATTCCCGTTGAATTGTCACATCTTAATCTCTACATGAAGAAGGTAATCCAAAATGCTACAGCTGAGAAGCCACTCGCAATCTTCCTGGACTCTATGGACCAGTTGTCAGGAGCGGACGGAGCTCATCAACTAGCATGGTTGCCTATCCAATTGCCACCACATGTAAAAATCGTCATATCAACCCTCCCTAATTATTACGGTCTCTTGGATAGAATGTCCGTGATGATCGATGAGCCAAACAATCCGAAAAACTTCATCAAACTTTTCCCATTAGGTGAAAAACTAGGAGTACAAATATTGAAACTATGGCTTGAGAGTTCCAATAAAAGTATTACCCAACCACAATGGGAAATAGTTATGGACGCTATAACAAAATGCAACCTTCCTCTCTTTGTGAAACTTGTCTATGATTTCATCGTAAAATGGCGATCATACAGCAAGCCTTCTACCACAATTCTAGCGTACACCATACACGACATGATAATGCAGCTCTTTGATAGAGTTGAAAACATACACGGGAAGATCCTCGTGGCGCAATCATTGGGCTACGTCACTGCGTCCAAATCTGGTCTCAGTGAATCAGAATTGGAGGACCTCCTTTCCCTGGATGAAAAGGTGTGTAGAATGATGGGTTTTAAACCTTTGCCTTTAATTTCAAAAAACACAAAAATAGTAGATTCAAAATGTTTGTATTGAAATTGTTAGCTTTTACATAAGGTTAATGTTGACTGAACTGAATTGTCTCATTTAGGTTTTAAACGATGTATACCAGTACCATCTTCCACCAGTACGTCGCATACCTCCTCTTTTATGGACGAGAATTCGAGCAGATCTTCCTGGCTACTTTAGCGAGAGGGACGCTGATAATGTGAACGTCATCAATTGGTACCATCGGCAGTTTATAGAGGCCGCCAAAGAACGATACTTTAGGAATCTGAACTACGTGGCAGAAATCCATTCGAACATAGCAGAATTCTTCAAGGGGACTTGGGCGGGTATTCCCAAACCGTTTGAATATTCTGAGCTGCAGAGGAAAAGGTTCTGTTTAGATGATAAACACGGGGAATCTGATAGAAAGATGCCTCCCCAGCCCCTGGCATTTACCAATGATGAAGGAGAGATTGTTCGCTACAACCTGAGGAAACTCAGTGAATACCCATTCCACCTTGTTAGATCTAAGAGGTAGGCATTGCTTTAACTAGGTGGTTATATTTATCTTTATTGCTCTTTATTATGTACTGTTGTCGTACGATGTCCTGTTTACTAATTTCCATTTTGTGTTCACTGTATTTTGGGGATTTCAAGTCATAGATGAATTGCTTTTCCGTATTGAATAATATAAAATTGAGATTTCATGATGGTCGTTTATCTAATGTTCCGCGTTTTTTCATCTCAGGTATGATGAGCTTTATAGTGACGTGCTGTTCAATTACAAGTGGCTTCAAGCAAAGTTGAGTTGTATGCCTCTCCAAGCAGTGCTTGCTGACTTCGAGGATATGCTTCAAGAGCAGTACGACAAGGAAATAGATCTTTTGGCGGACGCACTTCGACTTTCAAGTTCTGTGATCAGCCATCACCCAAGTAACCTAGCAACACAGATAACAGGCCGCTTTCTACCTTATTACTCCGCCAGCCATAAGATACGTAATCTTATGCAACAATGTGATAGTGATGGGCTGGCTCATTGTGCACTTGTTCCTACGTACCATTATTTACACACTCCTGGAGGTCCTCTACAGTACTCCCTTGAGGGCCATCCCTTTGCTCCATTTGGTATCAAGATCACATCTGACGCCAAATACATCGTATCCGTGTCAAACAAGTTCATCATCTGGGATTTGTTTACATCTGAGGTGTTCCGAATGATTACACCTGGTATAGGAGGTATCATGCAAAATTTACTACTGAGTCCAGACGACAAGTATGCAGTGAGCTACACAAACAATAATCAGCTTGTGTTCTGTCATGTAATGACAGGTGATTTCAAAATTGTCTCGGATGTCTTATCCGGCGATGATAACATTATTGGTGCTACGTACACGGACAAGGAAGTTGTGATGTGGACGCCAAAAGAGTGGATAGCATATACATTTGAAGGAGACTTCGTGTCAAGGAATAAAATATCAGGTAGTTGGCCAATCATACAATTCAACACAGGGCCTGACAAAGGCTCCCATCATGTAGTGAGGAAGACCGGGTCTGATTCGGACAGTGATCTCACTGTGGAAATACAAAATGAAAGCACGGAACCGTTTCACTTCCATAGTGCAATAGCTTTAACTAAAGACATGAGAACAATGTACTGTTGCATTGAAATCAGTGATGACAACATTGCTGTGTATAAGAAAGATGAGAACGATTGGAGATATGACCGCACACTTGGTGATAACATGGAGAAGGTGTTTGCAATGACCTTATCGCCCGATCAACGTTATCTTGTAGCTACAGTTACATCTGGATACAAAGTATGGGACACAAATAATGATAGAGAAGTCGTCATGAAGCTGCCACAGGGTATACGCAACATTCCAGCCAAAAATCAAATTACAAGTTTGGTTGTTTTTACCAAAGGCACAGAGTACGTTGTGGCCGGAGTCCGAAAAAACATATACGTTTGGGAAATTATGAAGGGCACTTTAATCAAAACATTAGACGCTCATTTTGGTCGGATAATTGCACTTGAAGCTGTAACCAATGGTATGAATAAGGTGATATCAGGATCAATCGATAAGACCATCAAGGTTTGGAACTTTGATAACATTATGGAAGACGTGCATGCAATCGATAGATTAGAGAAACCAATCGAATCTATTTGTCTCGCAAATAATGCATATCTCGCTGCAACAGTAACAAGGAACACTGTTGGTATATGGAATATGGAGAGTGGGCGGCTGGAGAAGATGTTGGCAAATAGCGCGCATAGTAGCATCGTTACCCATGCAGCTATTACCGATGATGGTGCGCACCTTGTCAGTGCAGAGTCTGGCAATATCCTTATCTGGGACGTTAAGAAAGAAAAAGTCCTGAAGCTTGATCCCCAAAGGGATGTTCTCCAACTGGAATTGAGTGACAATGATACGAAGGTGATAGCAATATCTCGCACGTCCGGGACAGGGAATGCAAGGTGCATATGTAGAAGTATTCCCAGTGGCGAACATCAATACAACTTCGAGTTCGAGTTCAAGAAGTTTAGAAATGGTGTTATTACATGTGATGGGGTTTTTCTCGTGTTGAGCATCGTTGATAAGAAAGATGGCAATGCACTTGGACTCTTTCATGCCAAGACAGGCACACATATGAACAATCTCCCCGTAAAGAACACAGAATTCAACTTTATGGTTGCAATGCCACACGATCCAAATCAGATTGCAATAATTGACAATGAAAAGGGATGTATATATGATCTCAAAAAGAAATCAATCACTCGGCAAATTCAACGATGGAATGGTCAGTGTACTGCTAACGGTAAATATGGCTTATACGCTCCAACTCGAGGTGGCCTTGAATTGTTAGAGCTCCGGCATGGCAAAACAGTCAAGGTGATGATTCCGAAGGTTGCTGAAGGAGTTCACGAGGTCAAGGTTATGTTTACGAGAAATGACCGCCATGTCTTGTACTATCATACCGGCCATCGCACTCTCCGACTGTTCAGGGTATCTGACGGCGAAATGATAGCCAACTTCAAATGCCACGCAGAGTTGAATGGATTAGCAGGTACAAAGAGCGGAACGTCTGTAGTATTCGGTGCTGTAGACGGGAGTCTCACAATGCTGACTATAGCTGACCCAATGGACGAGTCAGCTATTGAGTTTGTACAGAGTCTTCCCAGTCGGCAGGTTCCCACGACGGAAGTGTCAAAGAAAGATCCTGATGAAGAAGGTCAAGTGGAGAAGAAGACAAATGGAAATGTTTCAATGGGTGCAACTTTGAGGGTTGCTGCTTTTGTAGGAAAGGCTAAAAATCAACAAAGATCTCGAGCTTGTTTGTTGCAATAAACAGAAACATAAAAAATGATAAATGTAAATATAGAACATTTTGCAGTAATTTATTAATTATATATATATATTATATATGTTACCTAATATAATCGAGCGTCCGTCCAGCGATTACAGCGATAATAGTACATTGGATTAAGGTTGACTGTTTTCTTACTTGAATGAAAGACTATTAGAGTATGTAATGACTATTTTAAGTGTATGCCAAATTTTGTGTTGTAGTTGATTTCAATGGCTTTTGCTAAATTTTGGAATGTACAGGGTGGGCCATACAAACATCCATATTCTTTTGATATTTCTATTTTGATTATGCATGGATTTTAAATATACTAAGCAGCAATTATCAATTATAATGTAATAAGGGAGATTACAATTGATTCAATACCAAGAAAACTGACCTGTTATGCAAATTCTGGGTGAAATATTTATAAGTCAAATGCTCTGTTTTTGGCCAGGAGTTCAAATGAACATTGAAAAGCAAGTGCTATAAGTTGTGGGCTCAGTCTTGTTGATCTTCTTTACTACAAAGTACACATTCTCCCGAGCACCTTTTTGTTTATGCTAATATGCTTTTTTATGTCTTTCTCACAGACTGGATATTAAAGAAGTTTTGTAACAATGGATATAATCACATCAAAATATGATAATATTGGACTAAGAAATTCTTAACTTTAAGAAAGTTTCTATTAATGTCCCAGTGGTACAATTATTAGAGTATTGTGCATATGGATGATATCAATATAAAATTGTTGTTTCGATTCGATTTGATTCAATTTACATTCAACCCTACCCCCAGCGCTGTTAATCTTTCTTAACCAGAAATGCACGAGCAACAGTTACAGATCTGGACTAACTCCTTAACATCTTTAATTTTTTTTCAAAATCCATGCATTATTTAAAATGTAACATCATGTAAAATTATGAACGCTTCTAGCCCACCCTCAACATGTATATTATCATAATGCCCTATCAATGTTGATATTTTGTTGACCTGTGTCTATCAAACATCTATTTTTGTGTGAGATCACAGATCAATTGTAAAACAATAAAAACTGTATATTATATGTTATAATGAGATTTCCGACTTGATTGATAACTAGATAAGTAGAATTAGTAGAAAGGGTAACCTGACACGGACACATGTACGTAGACATAGATGAAGCCAAGAATGAATACAATCAGTCACAAGATACTTGTCCAGGGGGAAATAACTATGGGAATGACTGACGCAGTCATTATAATACACCCTGTAGAAATACATCTATCATACCAATCCCTTCCGAGGCAACCATAAAACGACTGCTCCTACAATAGAGAGAGCATTTTAAAGCTCATTCAGTTCGAAACTTACTGAAACAAAAGACTTTGAAAAACAAGGTTTGGGCTGTTGGGTCTGATCCTCATTTTGTAATTCCAAGCTTCGCTTTAATTTGTATTGCTATTTTGAAGCTCACGAATTATTGAAAGAATATTCTGTACAGAATTATGCCTAAGAATATTCAAAACCTATAAGACAGATAAAAATTGCTCCTTTTATAATATTAACAACCTCAATAATAAAACAACAAATTATTTTAGGGCACATCTTTTCTTGAAATATCAGCATACGAGTTGGCATTGACCGCATTAATTTAGCTGAACTAACGAAAGATTCAAAGTCCGTGAAAAATAAATGAAGTTATTTGTCAATGGTTCAGGTATACCAATACTTCAATCACTATATTCTTAATTTCTATGGAGACCTTATGTCAATTTTGTTAACCATAATTTCGCTAATAAGATAAAGTATACCAAGAATGCATGAAGAAACAAAAAGAAAAAACGGGAAATGTTAAATAAAAAATGATGACATTTGGGTTAACTTGGGTATTCTAAAAATGAGAATTTGAAAAACAGCTAGACATGATGTTTTAAAAAGGCCAGTCTACGTTGGGTACAATGAAATGTACGTACATCCTATAAAATAAGACTATTTGGGTATTTGAAATTGAAAAGCGCTTTGATACATTTCTTGATTTATGATATGAATCCCAAAGAGACCTCTTTAAATGAAACCTCATCAGAAACAATTAAACAAAGCCTAGTTAGCATGAGAGATAGATGGCATAATATACTGTTGGTATTAACTTGTTCAATTCTTCAATGCTATCAAATGTACACCTGCATTAAAAGCTATTACTTGTGCAAATAGAGCCTCTAGTTTACACTGCTATATGAAAAATGAATGGTCATTTTGTTTTTGTTTATGATGTGCATATAATTAGTTCTTTTCAATTAGATATTTACTTGTGATTCTCTTGACTTGCGTATCTTCTTTTCTTTCTCCAGAAAGCCCCATCGTACATGAGCTAGATTATTGAAAGTACTTTATACATTTAGGCCATTCATTGATTTATCGAATTCGCTCAACATGTTTAGATAAACAATGCAGACAAATTATATTTAAAGGAAGGAATTATGATTAAGGTATAATGAAATGTTAAAACCTAGTTATATAAAACTTAGTAATACTGACGCCATGAACGCCATACTAGTTCTTCTGACAAACTGGGGGTTTTGTGAATCAATGAACCTTTATTTTGAGGGAAACATACCAAAATTATACATTGTTTTCTTACATAAATGTTGCTCGGTGCTCTCGTTCATTTCATAATGAATTTGTCATAGTGACTTATTAAGATGGCTTTTCTAGGAAATATTTGCAATTCATCGATTACAACAAATGCATCCAACGTTTCGACAACGAAGTCATACTGTTGTACTCCGTTTTCTTCCATCTCTCTCGATTCTGGAATATTATTGCCTAAAACCCTTCAAGTTTATTTTTATCGTAATTGCTAATCAATTGTCATTTTGTAGTAAATTCTTTATTGTAATCTGATAATCATGACAGTGCATAAAGTCAGGGACTGTAGTTAGTCTGCCAGGGGAGGCCTATGATATCGATCGCCAATGCAACGGGGTACCTGAACATGTTCTGTATACCTTGTAATTGCAATTTGCACCTGAGCATGAAGACATTCTAAAGCTCTTGTAGTCAGGTGACTCAATGGTGGCTTTCTAGTTATAATACGTATATCAGATTATCAGATTGAAAGTATATTTCCAACAAAACATACCACCAGAAAATGAAATCCAAGGAGCTTGCTGCTAATCAAGGTTGAGAAAATGTATTTACATCAATAGGGTAAGTTACCAGTGGCTTTTAAAGTGGTCTTGACATGCCAAATGCGTTTGAGTTTATTTGAATTGGAATTACCATCTACGAATACCCACAGCGACATATTGATTGATCAGAATATATTACATCAGAAATCACTATAGGTATTGTTCATATTCACATTATAAACCATAAACACTATTTCATCATGAGTATTTATGGACTATTGGTACTCTAAAGAAGAATATCATCAGAATTGATAATGCATAAAATGATAATAATTTCGAATGTCGAGCCAAAAACGAGTAATCAGCGCACCAACATAAATGGCCCTGATTCGAAAGTTCTGGAAAAAGATGTCACCGGGTATAGTACTAGAATAGTACTGCTGTCACGTCCCTAAATGGATTTTTTAATTTATTTATTTGGAAACTACGCTTTTACAACAGCGGCACACAAAATTGGTGCGTCCATGCGTTACATGATGATAAAAATTGTAGTTTTAAGACATTGCATTATTTCAGTTGACTAGAATCTTGATCATTGTATCATCACAGGCTGGTATCGAAATATTTGTCCGCTGTGACGGAGCATGCTATTTTTCATAAAAACACTAAGAATACTTCACGATTTATTTTTTCAACCCATATGTTTCGTTATACCATACAAAATTACTTACTCCATGCAATGGATATATCATTTGCGGGTAACTTTCACTTCTGTTTGAAGTCCAATTACGCTGGGAAGAAAAGCTATTGAAAATGGCGCCGGAGTATCATACTTCAAAATGTACCATTTCTTGTTTAACTTTCTAATGGCACGATATAGTGACACGATAATATTTACACATGGTTTCAACATAACTATGAAGGTATAAATGAGATGTTGATGTATTAGGTCTTTTTAATTCTTTTATAAAAAATAATGTTTAATTTTTTTGTCCGCTGTGACGGAGCAGTTGCAAATGTGAACTGTGAAAATGCTCCGTCACAGCGGACAAAAAATATTGATATTATTTTTTATAAAAAAATTAAAAAGACCAAATGCATTAATATCTTATTAATACATTCAGAGTTATGCTGGAAATAGTATATGTTAATATTATCGTGTCACTATATCATGCCATTAAAAAGGGAACGTTGGCGTCCTTTTTTTATCAAGGAGTTGTCTGTACAAAGACAATGATGACTTTTCATTAATTTCGTCTTTAAGTTTAATTTCAGTTGAAATAGATTTAAATTATAGAGGTTGCCATCTGGTTCTGCAGTTCATGCAAAGGTCATGAACTTTTAATTATGTCTAGATCATCTAATCACTTCAGCTACTGCAGCCAAGCACTAAACATGTACTATTTTTAGCTAATGCTCTCTGTATTAATTAAGACAAAGTATAACAGAGAAAAATATAAAAATAATAGTAAAAACCATGGAGGAGTTTCAAGCCAGTAACAGACTTACATCTGAAACTATGAGGACACTTGAAGCGAATGGATTCGACTCTATTGAGGCACTCGTTACACTGCAAGTGCCTCAAGATTTACAGGCAATGAAACTAAAGCCTTTAGGGCAATTCCGCCTCCTAGAAAAGGGACTTAAAGCTCTTAAAGGAGACATAGATGGCCCTGGGATATCACCAGACGGTGCCCCTCGGGGGGAGAGAGTGTCAAGAAGCAAGGGACACATTGATTGGATTGATCAGGTCCCTTGGTCTGAGCATAAACTGGTCAAAAGTGGAAGGACCTACACAGGTTCTAACTTTCTTAGGCATAAACATTGATACTATAAAAATGCAACTGACATTGCCAGAGGAAAATCTAAATAGCTTGAAAGCATTACTCATCGAATTTTCAAGCAAAAAACGCGCCGCTAGATCCCAGCTTGAATCATTGGCTGGTAAACTTCATTGGGCAACCCAGGTCGTCAAAGGGGGTAGGCATTTCCTCCAACGGATCCTGGATACCATACGATCACTCAAACGCAGCAAACACAAATACATGCTAGGGACTCAATTCTATAAGGACATAGACTGGTGGATTAAGTACATAGACACATTCCATGGAAAATCTTTAATAATGGACAACAATCCAGTTGTGACTGTCGAGCTGGATGCTTGCAATACTGGAGCAGGATTATACTATGATGGAGATTGGGCATATATAAATTTCCATCGTGATACCCCTTCTCTTAAGGATTACCATATCAATTATAAGGAGATACTCTCTGCATACTTCTCTGTATTGAGATGGGGGCACACATGGTCAAATAAGAAGGTTCAACTTGCAAC